TTTCTGGTGATTATTACTTTGTATTGTTTAGCCGTTGTTTCATATTATGTTATTAGTTGTCTGTGTTAAAGTATTAAATCCTTGTGAAGAAAGATTTAACACAACGACTGAAACCGGTTTTGTCAAATCACAATCTGATGATATTCATCAAAATGAACGTGTTTATAATGATCATAAATTGAAACAATAACAAACAAAAAACATATAATTCTTTTCAATCTGAAAGTAAGAAATAAAATTAGAACTCTTACTCTAAAAAGTTAGGTAGGTAAGTATATGTTTTCATTCATAGGCAAGCATAGGCAATACTCTTATGGATAAATACCTATTTATTAGATATTGAGAATATAATAATGTTAAGTATTAGTCGAACATATTTTGTGGCTTAATTTACACATTTATTTATTTATTTATATAGGACAACTTACAAAACATACACTAATACATAATTTACAAACATGTTTTACAATTATTTTCTGAGTGTTGTCTTACTTACAAGTTGCCACGGCATGGTAAGGGATAGTTGCATCTAAGATTATACAATGCAATATCTATAATAATATACGAAACATACAGAACATCATCGAAATTAATTAGAAACAGTGATGCATTTAAAGTGGTCTAAGTCTAAATGACGCAATAACTTTGCTCTTAAATTTTGGAAGACTGTTTGAGAAGATGTCTACATCAATTTCACGATTTTTCGTCAGCTTGTTATAGTGGCTTTGTAGTCTATTTATAGTAGCGTTCTGACCCAAGTTGGTTTTAGAAGATTTAATAGAAAAAGGAGCGTATTTATTGGCACGGAGAGATCTTGAGGGAGCATTTATATTTATTTTCTCAATAAGAATGGGACAGTCTAAGTCACCGTTAACTAATTTGTAAAGCAAAATCTGATCCAATAACTGCCTACGATCGAACAAACTGTGGAGATTAAAATGTTTTAAACGACTTTCATACGTCAGCAGCAGTTTTACTTTATTGCACTGGTATGAAAGGTGCCAAAGAAAACGCTTTTGGACACTTTCGAGACGTTTGATATGTACCTCGTAGTGTGGTGACCAAACCTGAGCACAATATTTCAGACCAGATCGAACCAAGGCCGAAAAAAGTCTAATCTTAGTCTGGGGCCTTTTAAAATCTTTAGAGTTCCTTATAACAAAGCCCAACATTTTAAATGCTTTAGTTGTTATTTTGTCAATGTGAGTGTGGAATCTAATTTTGGCATCCAAATCAACTCCCAAGTCCCTGACACTTGTAACCTCCTCCAATGTCCTATTATTAATGGTATATGTCTGCGAGTTCAAGTGAGTACTGCGTGAGAATCGTATGTATTTACATTTGTCTATGTTCAGTGCTAAGCCATTTCTCCCACACCAATCGACTAAGCAGTTCAAGTCTTTTTGTAGAAGGAAAGCGTCATGTTTGCTTTTTATTTGTTTTGCGAGTTTGAGATCGTCAGCGTAAAGGAAGCAATCACTGTTCTTGAAAAGTGGTACAATATCGTTTATAAAGATCTTAAACAGAATCGGCCCCAGAACCGATCCTTGGGGAACACCTGAATTCGTTAAAAATGATTGAGAGGTGTATCCACCAACAACCACCCTGGAACTTCGATTGTTGAGATACGAGGAAAACCATTTTAGCAAGTTACCTGTTATACCAAAGGTGGAAAGTTTGTAAATAAGGATATTGTGGTCCACTGTATCGAACGCTTTGCTTACATCGGTATAAATAGTGTCAACTGGGATATTAGAATCAACAGAATCAGTCAAAAAGGTCACAAATGAAGTAAGGTTGGTTGTTGCGGATCGAGCTTTATAGAAGCCAAATTGTTGTGGCGATATCAATTGCTTGATGTGCCATGTAATTGTGGGTCTTATTAGTACTTCAAATAACTTACCGAAGACCGGTAATATAGAAATTGGCCTATAGTTTTTTATAGACGCAATATCCCCAGATTTGGATACAGGTACAACCCTAGATTCCTTCCACGCGGTAGGAAAGAAACCGGCTTTTAGTGAACTGTTATATATTATCGAGAGTGGTACGGAGAGCGCGTCACGGCATTCCGTTGCAAATATACATGGGATACCATCGGACCCAGCTCCTTTACTTCGATCTAAATGTTTCAGGCCAGTTAACACATCATTTTGTGAAAAGGACAACCCTGCCAGACAACTTGCAAGTGAAGCGTTCGGGAATGTAGCGTTATGATAGTGTACTGAAGTGGAAGAGGGGACCTTATAGACAGACGCGAAATAGGACGCAAAGAGATTGCAAATGTCAGAACCATCGGAGGCTCGTCTGTCATCCAGATGCATTAATGATGGATACGTACATTTATTTTGACGCTTATTTTTTAGGTGAGTCCAAAACAACTTCGGATTTTTGGACAATGAGTCCTCAATATTACTAACGTACTTCGTGTAACACGATTCGATTAATGAAGAACAACGTTTTTTTAGCAGTAAGAAAGACAGCTCGTCCAAAGGATTTTTATATTTACGATACCTTTTACGTATTTTATATTTCTCATTTAAGAGGTTTATAAGTTCTTTAGTATACCAACAGGGATACTTTTGATATGTGGTCTTACTTAAAGGTACGTGTTTCGCGATTGCCTCTCTGATTATCTTAGAAAACATATCCACCATATCATCAACACTCGTCAAGACTGAGAATTCATCGCCCCAAGAAACAGAGTTAAGTTCGCTTATAATTTTGTCAAAATCTGCTTTGTGAAAATTAAACTTGTCACCAGGAATCTTGGGAGAAAGACCCGGCGTACTGCAATATGATAAGACAAATTCCAAAGGCGGGTGGTATGGGTCAATTTTGCTAAGCACATTTGTGCTTTCTTGCATATGCTCAATTTTTTGAGTCGAAAGTACCAGGTCAAGAATTTTTCCTTGGCTATTGAGAATTGTATTTTGTTGCCTTAAATTATTAAGAGCAATAAAGTCGAGTAATATGTTCCCGAGTGGGCCCGTTAAGGAAGCCGGAAGGGAAACGGTGTTATTATTGTTGGGCCATGTTACTAAACTTAGATTAAAATCACCCAGTATTAGTGTGATATGGTGTAATTCTAAAATTCGATACACACACATACTTATACTCGTATAACTCTTAAGAACACAACATAGTCATGAAATGTATTGTGAAAACATAAAACTAATAAATAAATAAATCTTTACGAACTTTTCGTAAACTAGGCTATGTTTAAAAAATAATTATGGGCAGGTAACTAATTAAATGATCTTCACAACAGTATTAACAGCTAAAACACGATACATTGTCTCTTCTTATCGCCTTGCACCACTTTTTCCTTATACCTGTATCTTTCGGCGTTATTTTGGCACGCAGGAACTACTCAATACTTATAATAAACTTTACTGTGCTTTTCCATGGTAATAAGTTGATTTTATCACTCACTTTGTTAACTTTATGAGCAAAAGACTTCATTGTTGACATTGTAATCTGACGTCACAGAAAAAATGGGCCAAAATAGCCGCGTTTAAATCGCCCGAAAATGATGGTGATTTTGTAAAAATTTTTTAGCTTCATGGTTTATATTTTGGGTGTTTTATATTTATTTTCGGTAATGTAATAACTAGCAGTACCTAACTTTTAAATAAAAAAAGACATGCATATTCCCTATTGTCTTTATTTGGGTGTTTTTTGTTATTTTGCAGCATTTATAACTCTTACTATTCCTGTACATCTGTAACTGAGTCATTTCAATACTATTCAAAGAGTTTTTGGTGAACATTTGAATTATACACTTAATTCAAAAGTTTTACTTCCATTTGCTATTAATTTCGGAACAACGCCATCTCTTAACAAAAACGATTATTTCTAACTATTATATTATAAAAAAATATATAAAATATTTGATAAACAAATATCTGTAATTGTAAAATTATCAAAAAAAAAACAGAGAATTATAAGCGCCAGAAATTCTTACCCATTAATTTACCCATAACCCTATTAAAATTCTAAACGTACTCCATTACGTCACTACTGTCAAAACAAATGTCAAGTTAGTCATTTCCAAATGTTACTATTGTGTGCGTACCTAATATGGCATGGGAAATATTATGGTCTCTTTCATACACGTTGGAATAGTCTTTCTTTTTCTTTCTTTAACGTGTGTTTAGAACAAAATATTTACTGTAAACTGTCATATGATAAAACATCATGTGTTAGAAAATAAACAAAATAATTTAAAGTATAGTATCGTCATTCTACGATAAAATACAACACGAACATTAGTAAGTATCATTTTTTGACAACAAAAATATTTAAATTACTTAACTAAAGTTTTTCTTGGGCCTTTTAACATTTGTTTATTAATTAATATTATTTAACGGGAATTAACGCGATCTCTTATTTAGGGTATTACATACCTCTGGTTTGCCTGAGATCGCGTTAATTCCCGTTAAATAATATTAATTATCATGGAACGCGAAAGTTTAAAAGTTAGTATTTGTTTATTACCCATTTATAATTATTATACTGTATAGAAACAGTCAAAGTACCTGTATCTTATACTTTAATAGGCAAATTAAAGAAAACCTCACAATTTCAGGGATCAGTTATTTTTATTTTGTTACACATTTGTACATAGAAGCACCCAGTAGTTACACTGAGTAGAAATTGAACTTCCTATCCCTTGCATGGCAGTCAAGTTATGCAAATATAAGTAGCTTTTGCATGGGTAAGAATGTTTTGCATGTCAGTGTTTCCCTTCAAAACAGTTCCCTTTTTCTATTTGGCAAATACCCTAGTATCATATATGTGAGTATGGTAGTATAGTACCTATGGTAGTTACCAACTAATTTATTGACGCAAGAACACTTCTCTGTTACAGTGCTAAAAACGGAAACTGAAAATAGTACGGATAATAAGAGCTCTAACTAATTATCTACTGATAGTATATCTGTTATAAAACAAAAGAGTCCCACAAGATCTAAAATCTGAGGCTAAAAATAAAGAATATGCATAAAAACATAGCCACGCAACAAACTCGCTCCATTTCCCATCAAAAAACAGGCAGTTCTAATCAACAAAATAATCATAGCAATTTGATTCAAATTAATTACCTAACTAGTGCTAATGAGCCTATTTTCAAAGATGTACAAGAGGATATATTCCCAATTAACAATGTTTCAAATATTTCTCAAGATAATTTAAAAAAGTCTAGCTGTATACCTCAAGGTATTTCTAAACAAACTTTTACCCATTTTCTAGTCAACCTGTTCAACCTGGCAAATGTATTCCCAACAAATCTATTAATTTAAGGAATTCTATTCTAGCCAATCCAAATACTCCAAACCAATCAAATCAACAACCTAATTGGTTAATTCCTAAAACAGGACTGGGTCCCAAATTTAAGCCTCTACAGGAAGTGGAGAAACCTCAACTCATGACAAATATTAATAAAAATATTCAAATGCCAAGATCAACTGGTGCAGAACTGAGCATGTTGCAAAACAATGAGAGATCTCTTATTACTCTAGTTGGTGTTCAGGAGGAATTGTAAGTGAAGATTAAAGCAGTCACATACACTTTCTTTTACATATGGAAGAAACCTACCACTGCTCTTCTCTTCTCCTAAATATTGTCTTTATGACAAAACTTTATTGACACTTCATGTATGGCAAATGCTCAGAACTACCTTCCTGATGTAAAAGAAAAAAAAAACAATAGTTCTTTCTATACCTTAACCGTTATATAAAGACATGAGAAGAAGCCCTGGTCCAATACTGTTCTACACAGATAGGCTTTTGAAATAGTGATTTTGGTCCGAAAATGTCTTAGAGATTTAGATTAGTTGTGTGTGATAGTGTTGAAAAAAAAATTAGTAAATCCTCTCTCTGTTAAATAAAAATATTCTTGTTATCAGGTTGAATAGAACTTAGACCTGTTTAGCCTCTGTGACTAGTGGGTTAATTACTTTTATGCCATTTAAATTTGATATACCTAAGGTTAACAATGCACTATTGGCTACATTATGACAGTTACAATTAATAAGTAATAAAGAAGGGAATTTCTTATTTAACTTAACATACACAGCATTTAAAAAATTAGGTGTACTTACAACAAAATTGCCTAAACGCATCACATTCCCTATCTTTCATTACCATGCTATATAGGATGCTTCAATTGCAATGTGTACATCCCATGATTTCACCATGAAAGGTTCCTTCAAATGTATCTCGCCTGATCAGCAAGAGTCTCACGATGGAGCAAAGCCTCACGGCTCAAGTTTCAACTGCTGCAACTTCTGCTGTGAGGCTCTGCTCCACCGACGCTGCTACAGCTGTAAAAACCTTTTTTTTATTTATCAACACTATGTTATTCCATTCCAGACACTCCAACATTTATCAACAGAAAACACTTAAATTCCAAATGAAATCGATGCAACAAGATAAAGTGCGCCAAGTGAAAGCGGTTCAACAAGCTACCCCGAAAAAACAACCTGTAGTAGTTAATAATTTTGTCAACTCGAGTGAAGGATTCCGAAATCTTGCTGCGACAGATGCAGTGCAAAATCCAGTGACTTTGCAATACCCTGTTGGAATGCAAATGACCATGGATACACCTAATAAGGAAAGTTCTCAAAATCTTATGGAAATGCAGAATTTCAAGGATCCACATGGTGTGTCTAATGTTACTGGAATGCAAAATGTTACAGGTACTAACAAAGTATCTAGTAATATGTATAATGTCACTCAGAAGCCCGTCCCACCTAGTAAGTATTATTTTGATTGATTTTCGACATACATTTCTGATGTGTGAGTGAGTGCTTAACAAATGAAAACAGGGAAATATTACCAATAATTGTGTTAGTTAATAGTCTTTGGCTAAAAAACTTCTTTTATTTCATCCAATCCAACAATGACAAAATAGTTAAATACACAGGGTTCGTCAGACCTCCACCAACTTACTTATAATCCTAACCTTCAACTAAAATAATTCTTTCTTATCTTTAAGAATTCACCCCAAGGCAAGGCAGATAGCCACGGTCTTAATGCAAAGGACAATCGTCAGTTAAACACATATTCTGTACGGCCAATTATATACCTACTTTTTTATTTTACTATGAACTTTAATAATATTCCTATCTTTCTTTTTGTCTAATCGTCCATGTTTTATGAACAGCTCAGCAAAGACCGCACGCGCAAAAAATTAAAAATAAAGTGGTGACGCTGGTTCCAAACTCTTTACTGCAGCCTGAACCCGAAGTCGTAGAAACTGTATTTCAAATGTATAATGATCAGACACGTTCTTGTAAGCAATTCATCTTCTTAGATATGTAATTCAGGTTGTAATGCAGTTATGTAATATGCATACGGATCACGAAATAAAAGAACAAATATTATGTTGGTCCTTTACAGTACTACGAGTTAATCGTGTTCTTACATCGTACTCACTTTTCCTGTATTAACTATCAATTGACAATCCGTTATAGTAAGCAAATTAATACAGTGTAACGAATGTAGCTACTTGAGATTTGTCTTGTCCAAGTGAAAGTGTAAATCAGGCATTTTATACATCCTGTATTTAGTTAAGTGTAGTTACAGCTCAGTATAAATTTGTTCTGTAGCTAAAGGCTATATTTTCGTATTTAAAAGTATCGTAGAAGCGGGTTACGGAACTATACGCACTAGACAAACACCTTCACAGACATCCACATCTAAACGGCATTCTCGTCGAGGAATGTGGTTGAAGCGCTTGAAACCCCTAATAAAGTGAGATTCCTGCGTTTTTCCAACGACTTGATATCTTTTTTTTTGTATGGTATAAGCATACGAGCAGACGAGTTACCTGATGGTAAGCAACTACCGCCGCCCATGGACACCTGCAACTCAAAAGTCACAAATGCGTTGCCGCCCTTGGAGTCCCTCTCGCTCGAGTCAGTGGGAGGGGGGATTTGGGCTCCGCTTACCTCACTCACCCAGTGAAAGGCAACGAAAGAATTGCTTAACACCGGTTTTCTGTGAGGCCGTGGTGTCACTCCGGTCGAGCCGGCCCATTCGTGCCGAAGCATGGCTCTCCCACGGTGGAATCTTCATGTACCATTAACTTATTAGCGCTTCTTAAATCTCCATCTTTTGTAATTTCTAAGACTACCAATCATCATCAATATCATGATTCTAAGCCGTTAAAAAGAAAAATACGATCAATTATTTTGTTACATTTCATATTCCGCAGTTACACCGTCAATAAGTCCAAAACCCATGAACCCAAGTAATCAGCAACGAAATTCAATAAACAGGCATTCGGGAAGATCTAAAAACTACCCAGTAGATCCATATGGTAAGAATAATAGCCACTCCTCTTTACATTTCCGATGTAATGTTGGCTTAATACAAGCCTACATTTGCCACAGTGAATGAAAATTATCTTGAAACATATTACAAAAGATTTCGATAGCTAATCAGAAAAAAATATAGAAATTGTACTTGGATTTTATTTTATTTCGTGAAATGCGGTAAATCTAAGTAAGTAGGTGATGTAGTAGTTTGATAAGCATATAATCACACCTATGACTAATTTACAAAGTCACTGCAACTTATGATTATGATTACGCTAGCGCCAGACTCGCGAAAGCTCTAAATGTAAAAAAACAGGTCGTAGTCTTTGATTAAAATAAATTTGTTTAAGTTTTGATAACATCTATCTTGTCTATGACCAAATGACAGTAGCGATTTATCACAGGTTACCCAAAATGTATCATTCCATTAAATGATTATGATTTAAAAGTAGCAATAATTTCCATCACTAGCGACTACTCTAAACCTCGCTAATTTTTTTTTTGTTTTGGAGATTTTTACTATTATATCCTAGTAATTATCCTTGCTATTATATTCTGTATATCTTTTAAATCTGCATTTGGGATAAAAAATACATTTCCTACATATTGATTTAATACTACTAGTAATTCATTACTAACAGCTGCTCTGTGATGTGAATGAGTTTGTTTTAATTAATAAATATTTCTGTTTTAGCCGTACATTATCCAAAAGGTACGTTTTATTATATATTCTTATAGCACGTATCGCTTATTGCTGATATATTTTTGGGAATTTAAATAAATTATTTTGTTCAAACTATTTCAAAATGAAAATGTAATTGTTTTATCATTTTTATATATTTTAAAGTGTATAGTTATTATCATGTGGTATATGCAGATTTTAAGCAGAAAAATGTTTTAAGCATCAATTGCGCTTGTTTTCGCTTTTTTTACACTTATTAAATATAATTAAAGTAAAAAAGAATTCATTAAATCCGTTTACAAATGCTAATTAAATGTTCAATGGAATTGAGACTCCTCCTTATTGGAAACGGTTAAAAATACTTTTAGTACATATATTTAAAAACATTATAAGGGGCTCGTGGCTAAGTTGTAACCGTGTAGGTTAACAAATTGTAAAGTTAAGCAATATTAAACAGGTCAGTCTCTGAATGGGTAACCATTCTTAACACATTGAGACCCCTTCGTGCTTCGGAGAGCACATTAAGCCGTCTCTCTGTAGCAATCGTTACGGGTAAAAAGCCTAAACAGTCTTAAGACTACTACAAAACTTCGATATCGCCTAGTACTTGGGTTGTGGAAGTACGATGGAAGTCGCTCCACGTAAAAAATCGAAGTTCAGCGGTATCGTAGTAGACTTAAGCCAACCCCAACCTAGTTTTAGAGGAAAATTAAAGAAACATTATATCTTAATCTGTAGGTTTCTTACTAGATTAAAGTAAAAATTATCTATTTATTTATTATGATGCAAAGAAAGCTATTGTTGCAAATATCTGATGAAATTGGATGGCATTTAACAGGTATACCGAGGAGTTTCTTAGTTCAACAACAGCAACAAACAAGCTCACAAAAAGGTCAGTATATCACTCTATAATTATTATAATCGCTGTTTATTAAATCACTCACACTTCCCGATCCATGCGTAAAGGAAACTAGCAAACCCGATAGACGTTGTCCTGTACACACGTCTTAAGCTAAAAGATTTTTTTTTTTTGTTGTGAACCGAATTAAGAATCTTAACCATTCTCGAATCCACTTTAACACACAGATTTTTTTTATCAAAATCGGTCGAGACGTTCAGGAGGAGTTTAGTCACATACACACGCACAGAAGAATTATATATATATAAAGACTAAGCAACATTGCCCTCACTTCTTGTCTACCTTTCCTTACTCTAAATATTCCCATCTAATCAATAATAATCCCATAAAATAATAATAATTTCAGACATTGACACACAACGCCAGGACCAAATGTTTGCATGATCGGAATCGCCCCTATTATTGTATAGACTAATATTATAAAGCTGAAGAGTTTGTTTGTTTTAATCAGCACACTAATCTCAGAAACCACTGGTTCGAATTGAAAAATTATTTTGGTGATGGATAGCCCATTTATCGTGTAAGGCATAGGGTATATAACATCACGCCACCTCCACTAGGCGCCGAGCATCAATGACAAAATGTTGCAAAATAGACGAAAATGCTTTTGAGAGACAGACGAAGTTGCGCTGATCAGCTAGTTATAAAATATTGATCAAATATTGCCTTTTAACACGGCTCTGCGTACCTCCTTCAAGATTATCGGCCTGAGTCTTTGTAGTTGTTGAAGTTTTTTAACGTTTATGTTCCTTAGTATTTTTTTTGTAAAATTATTCGCATGTTTTAATGTATTTCAGGCCACTCTGATGGACCAATTTGGCCAAGCTATCAACTTAATCCGCCGATGTCAGTCCAACCTCCTGTAAGCGAAACACATGCGTCTACTCAATCAATGGTTATAACTAGTGAACCACATGGTTTTCCTGAACCATATTCCCCATCTGAATTGTACACTGATTTTGAGAATTCCAATGGCCCAGGTAAGTGACTTTTTTAATAAAATACTAATAGAAGGGTCCTTCTTAACCCATCTGGGCCGTTTTATGAAGCTGACATATCGACATATATGTCAAAAAGTGACAAAATTGTCGAATTGTGGCGATTAGGGTGTTTAAAAAAAGTGACAAATATGTCAAAAATCGACAGGCATATTCTTGACATATTTGTCATTTAAAAATCGTTTACTAAAACTCGACATATGTCAAAAAACCACAGTCAAATTATTACTGACAATGGTTGGTGACAATTGTCGGATTGTTGTGACAATTATGTCGACTTTTGACATGTTTGCAAATAAATATGTTTCTGCTTGTAACATGTTCAAGTCGATGACTTATTTTATCAATTAAATATTCTACGGAAGTTTTTCTACGGAAATTTTTCTTTAAAGGCGAAATCTGTAATTGAGAAGGAGAAATTGATTTTGCTTTTAAATGATCTTTGTCGCCTTCTCGTTTGTATTTGTTCCAAGTATTCATCATCACTACTCTCACTACTCGAGGTAAGTTCCATTTTTTGTAATAAAACTTTTATAAACACTTTCTTACACCTTCAAAATTCAGAATATGATTTAGCGACAGAGGGTAACGTTCCTGTCAGAATTGTCGGACAATTCTACAAATATGTCAATATGTCATGACAATTTTCTGTTTTATAAAGCAGATTTGACAAGTTTTTCACGACAAATTGTCACCTGTCACCTGTCGCTCAAAAAGTTTCATAAAACAGAAAAATGTCAGATTGTCGCGACAATCCGACATATTTGTCAATTTTCCACCTTGACAATTTTGTCGCCTGTAAGTTTGATAAAACAGAAAAATTGTCGAATTGTCACTTTTTGACATATGTCGGACTTGTCGGATTGTCAGCTTCATAAAACAGGGCCCTGGCCAAACTAAATGCTTATGTTAGAAGTAGGTAGGTACTCCCCTACTTTCTGAAGCTCACACCTCGTCGATTTCGAATATTACTTAAAAAAAACATTAGAAATGTACCATTTAAAATACTTACTCTATATAATATTCTACCATATTCACACAACGTGATCTCGTCCCAAACTAAGCAGAGCTTGTACTGTGGGTACTAGACAACTGATATAAATACATACTTCCTTTTTTTTGGAAATATATACAAATTATACATAGAAACACCCAGACCAAATGAAACAGTAAATGTTCATGCACACAAATGTCTGACTGGAACTGGAATCGATCCCGCCACCTTTAGAATAGCAGTCCGTTACACAAACCACTACTCCTATCCGGTCGTCTTTATATATCATATATCAAATTTACCAAAGTTTATAGGAATGACAAACAGAGAAAGAGAAACGTTTACCTATTCTGACATTCAAAGGATAGGATAGCATATAATTATCACAATGTAATTAAAAAAGACACAAGTAATTATAAGGTCCTGTGCAATGCCAGAAAAGGCACCTATCTCAGCATATTAACATCACGAGCATATTATACATATATATATTGGAAAAGGGTGGGAAAAGAACCAAACCTTGAACAACGGTAGATTACAAAAATTAGGCCTAGGCAGAGAAGGCAAACTTGAAACAATACCCATACCAACCCGTCTAGCCAGCGTAGTAAGTTGAGACTTATGACCAGCAATGGACTATTAAAGGCTATTGATGATGATGAGGCCTATGTATACCAGTTACTCTAACCTTACCTTATTTAGGTACAATAGAGTAACTGGTCTAACTGGATATTTACTTGTAATCTGAGTCTCGTATTCTTCTAAGGCCCTGTAAATACGTGAGTAATAAAATAAATACCTACTTAGCTCTACTTACTAAAATACGTTTCAATGTGCTTAATGGATGATACAATGTTTTTTTTCTCCTAATTTTGCCGTGCCCGGCAGGGTCCATAATTGTTTCTTTCTACATTGTGTATAATTATGGAGTACAATAAACGAATTGAATTAAAATTCTTTCGAGGATATAGGTGGAGAAGATTTGTATCGCAATGCATGAGCAATACCTAGGACTGGTGTTTTATATTACGTACGTACCTATTTATTAATTGGCGCTCAAAACCGCCTTACCATTAAAGCGGATCGTGTGTTGGTTTCGAGCGTGGCATAAAAATAACCATAAAATTTACAGATTTTGAAGACGAAGAGTCGCAAGAGACTAGTTCCACTTCACAGAAGCGTTTGAGCGCTTTCCAGCGCTTAGGTCCACAAACGCAACCAAAGAAACCGAAGCTCACTATCAGCGTGACTGTAAATGATGATCAGGAAGTCAGGTATGGTGAATCAACGATGTCTATCGAATACTCGTTTAAAGGCTCAATTGAACATTAACTGTTGTTTTTTTCTCAATAAACAGGGAAGTGGTTGATGAGACAGAAGAAGTCGAGGAGATAACACCAGTTCACCTTCGCGAAGATATAATAGTGAGTACTGATGAAACAGTAATGAAGTACCTAAAAGCTTGGCCTTGGAAGAGGAATGTTGTTGTTAAGAAGAGTGTGACAGCTAGGAATTCTAAGGTACGTTATTATAACTACATATATTTACTTACTTTATTACTTATAGCTTCAATAAAAAAAATGAGTACATAGAAGTTCCTTCACCTACGCAAAGAGACTAATTTATACTCGCAAATATAGGTAAGGCTTCGGGCAACTTCTGTGTGCATATAACTATAAGTAATTAGGGCTGCGATCTGAATTACACTTTATTGTGTACGATTAAGAGTCAATATTTATTAAAATTATTTTACTTAGTGGAACTTCTGTACTTGGACTATTATGTGTGACACTACTAAAACGTTCTTTCGTTATTATCTTAGTAAACTAATTAATATTTGCAGACGGTGATGATGTTAGAACGAGAGCAAATGGAAGAGATATATGACAAAGATACTCTCTTCGTACAAGTTACGGTATGTGAAATATGAATTTATTTTTTAATCTTTAATTACAGGGTAAAAAATGTGTTATTTAAAAAAAGAAGACAACTCCCGCACTAGAAATACATCCGGTTTTGCGGGGGACTTTACAAACATAAATGAAACGAACACAAAAAAATGCCCCAGACTCAGAACAAAAATTTGTGACTCACACAAAGTGTTGTCCCATGTGTGAATCGAACCCACAACACTCAGCGCAGTAGAGAGCGGTGAGGTCACCGCTTAAACTGCTGCGCCATCTGTGCAGGCCGTTGTTTACTACTTATGTGGGGAAACTTATAATGTTATATTTTTAAGAAAAATCTTTTTGGTCTTAATCCCACTTACATTTCCACTATTGTATACTTCTGCAGGCCAGGATGAACAACAGTCACCAACTAAAACATTAGGTATGAATGACACTGGGTGAACATAGAAAGTGTAAAAGTTGAAGAGGGCCAAGTGCGAGTTTATCCCACATCAACTCGCTCTCGACAGCGAGCGCGTTTGGCGTTGCCATTGGTCCGCCCTGAACTCCACACCAATCACAGCGCCAAACGCGTTCACCGTGACGATCGAGTAGAAGTAAAATAAACTCACACTAGGCCCTCACGTGTCCATGAGCAGCGGTAATCACACCATCAGATCGTTTGGCCCCTCTATCGTAAAAACAGCGATCTGACGCGTAACAATGTTTATATTATTGGAGCCTTGACATTATTAATTGCTGCATTTACTTTAAATGAAAATTAAATTTAATATTTCAGGTAAAAGGATACCCATCATCCTGGAAGAAGGAACAAGTATTGGATACACTGATGGAAAATATTAGAGGATATACCTTCATACCCTGTTTTATTGAGGTAACGTACATACATGCACGAATGCCTTATCCCCAAAGAGGCAGGCAATAACTTTTAGTGCCGTCTCCAAAAATGTATTTGTTCATATTTTAATGAGCAGCCGTACCGTTCATTCGACCACTTTAAAAAATTGTATTTCCTATAAATAGTAAAGCGTAGCTTTTCAACATCAACAGTAGGGTGTCCCGTCAATGTATGGGATTTTTTTTTTAAAGCGACGGCTACGCAAGAGGTATCAAAAGTTGCGTTTTTGTGAATAGATTACAAATATAACAAAATTTTATTAAATATTTGTCATCTTTAGGCCTCTACCGATCCTAGAAGTTTTTCAAATTTGCCATTTTTAGAGGTTTCGAACATAAACTATAAATGATACAAAAATAATGTTTTAAAGGTTTTAATCAAATTTATAGGTACTACAAAGACATAAGGTAATGTTCAGTAAAGTTTAAATACTTATAATTAGTGCTTATTTCAAATACGAAATTGGTTCTTGTGGCCAAAATTAGGCATTTCCGCGCGAGATTTTAATCTGTTTCTGATTAAACCATCCCGAGCTGTAGCGTCCGTGACACTTAGAGAAGCCTCCGTCACTAGCTTTACACATTTTTCCACTGATTGTGTATGACAGGGGAAATCAATAACATCGAAGCTTTGTTCTTTAGCCTTAATTCTCAGTTCGTCGTCGGACATCTGTCGCAAAATCGGTGGAGCGGATATCTCACACTCTTGCCAAAATATCAAATCGATGTAATATCGCGCATCGAAGTTAAGTTTTGGTACTTTAAACACCCTGCGAGTATTGCTTATTTCTGCTTCTCTTGCCTTTAATATTTTGCGAGCTGCAAGCTCTCGAATATGCTCTCTTTCGTCGAATAGCATGGTGACAAGTAAGTTTTCAGGGTGAGCAAAAAAAGCGTTTCTCTCGATCACTGAATTCACAATAGATCTTTGCTTATCAGGCAAAAATCGGGAGTATGTAACCATTTGAAAAATATGATTGGCTCCATCTTTGAACGATGAGTTTTTCTTAATGAGGAACCAAACTGGAGCATAAACTTTGACCACATAATTGACAAGCAGCTTTAAATTATTTGATGGCGAAACAGTACTTACATAAAGTCTGAGTATGCGATTGGCAGTAGTTAGCCATCTTGAATGCGCCATTTTTCCAGGTTGGCGGCTTGCTAACTCAGGGGAACAAGAACCAGTCGTCACAGCATGACACATTTCATACAGATACTTTTGATCCGTACTTAGTTCCTTCACAATTTCATCAGGTAATTGCCAGCCACTGCACAAAAAGACACTAGTGGTTTACTTTCACAAACATTTAGCTGTTTTCCAATAGGTCCTGAGTATTCTTTCGGCCCAGATGTGCTACCATCTAGAGACATAAACAAATGGCGAAGCGGTAATTCATTTGTGTGAAGCATACAAACACACCATTGTAACGGTCTCTTCAAATAGTCTTCCAGGTATTTAATGACACCTCCTTTCCAACCTGTATTTGTAGGAGTGCCATCGCAACCCACACAACTTACTTCTCCTAAGTTCCATCCTTGATTTTCTAACAATTCTATAATAGAAGTGACAATCCCTTTCGCAGTACCTCGACTCGGCGTCGTATGTCCCAAGTAAATAGATCCCGGCTCTGTAAGAACTGAAATGTGTTCTTCTAAGACTTCTTTTCGGTGGTACCGGCTGTCTATTTTATTGATCTTGAGAGTTTTATCTTTTCGCCCATCGAAGTAGATACTCTTTATAATAATTTTATCGATGTCTTTGCTGGCTTGGGTACGTGACTTTGAAACAGCTCTGTGAATCTTATTTTTATCAATCACAAGGTTTAGATCTTCGGAAGATACCATTCCTGCGTCAACTAAGACTGCTGAAGCGACTGCAGCTGCCGAACGCGTTGATAGTCCGTATCGATCACATACCTTAGCTACTGTTGGCAGCGTCAGAGTGTTCCGACTAAATGAATTAGATGGAGACTCCTTTAAGTCACTTTTAGTAGAAGGTTCTATTGAAAGCGACTGTGAACGAGGCGGCAACACGCGTACCGGTACAGTATCGGTTTGTGAAGTACTCGGAAAACATGCTTGCTCTGTCCGCTTCAAATTTTCTTGTCTTTGATGTTTCTTTAAAAGCCTTGCAGTTTCTTTTGCGTCTACGCCGCTTATTGCCATTTTCCTATCATTTCTTTGGTCCAGTAAAAAATCTCTTTCAGAAATGGGAACTTTCTTGGGTTTAGTGCAGGAACAATTTTCAAACGAAGTGCACTTACAAGCAGCGATGTCAAAAAGCTTATTTGACGATTCCAAAAAGCACTTAACTTTGTTGTCATAGCTATCGTTTCTCTTACTTTTAGGATATCTTATTAGTGATAAATATTTGTTAAAATATGGGGTTAGCAGTTGAGTAACCCGTACGTTAGAAACGATGGGAATTGAAGCTTTGGTCCAAATTGTGTTAAGTTTTCCAGAAACTATTGAAAAGACTTCTGTGTTCGATGGATCTTTTCCGTTTTTCTGTAGTTTTAATTCACTTTTAGTAAATAAAATGCACTTAATAACGTCTTTTATAACAGGTAATTGGCGATCGTCAAGTTCTTTATAAGGTCCCAATATAGTACAAGTAGTCTCACTTCGCCTTGAACACATTTTTATTATTAAGTAACGCAAATTACGTTTTTCTTTCAAAAAAGAATAGAACAACTCCTTACAAGAGTAAAATCGAAATAGAAATGAGACGAACTGTCTTGTTGTAGAAGTAGCGCACGTACGAATATCAAGTCAAAACATGAATTTTGTAGGAATTTTGCAAGTCCGATCCAAACCGATTGATCGCTAAAACAACCTGTCGATACTTGCAAATCATAGCCGAGGCTTTTCTTATTGATAAAATTACAAGACAAAACAGGATTGATTCATAAAACATAGAATATACGACATTGACTACAAGGTTGTTTTTGCGAATTTTCAGTAAATAAAAATGCTGGTAGAGCCCTAAGGATATTTTTAAATATTTTTTTAATTATTTTTACGCTAATCTACGTCTAACAGCGCAACTTTTGAGAGGTCTTAAGTAGCTAAAATAAGAATAAAAAAAATTCGGGACACCTGTTGATTAGCAACAGCCTTTAATAGTCCGCTGCTTGACATAGGCCTCTCCATAGATAGGTTTTGGTGACATTGGCCAGACGGGTTGGTATTGGGATTATGTCAAGTTATCCTTCTCTTTGCAGTGCAGTTCTGCGTAGTTTGCTCCTTCAGTCGGCTCTTACGATACCCACTGGATGAAAAGGGGTGGTGACACTCCGTATTCTTAATCCGTCAACACACGGATAATAGCCCGTATAATTTTTACTAAGATACATACATTTGTTCCCCAATGCCACGGTTATTAATAAAAACTATTTTTACTTCTTTTTTTCAGTTTAACCTTCAAGAATGCAAATTTTTAACCCTTCGCTGTCGTTCAGCGCTTCTGAGTTTACACAAATGTGGATTTATCATACGCAAGAATGATGTCGAATTGACGGTGACGATAGCACAAACTGAACTGACTCTCAATCAGCTGGACTTCGTACCCAGACTTGTGTTAAGGAAGAGATTAAACATGTGTATTGATCAAGAGTCCAAATTAAATTTGAGTGCGTTTACATTGAAAGAAGGTAAATTTAAAATTGTATAATCTGTTAATTAGAACGCCTCAAGCGTTCTTTATTTAAAAAGCGTTTGAAATTAAATAAAAATTTAAACACATAAAATAGAAACTTGAAATTTTGACAGCTGATGCTTTTTATATCACAATCATCTAAGAAAGGATATTTTAAAATTTCGCTCCTGCGGGGGTAAAATAAGGGATGAACGGTCGTATAATTTAAAATAATCAGGTAAACGAAACCGCGGCTAATAGCTAGTACTACTCGTATATATGTTTAATGTGTAAAATTTTGATAATATTTTCATTTTTTTTTATGGCTACGTAAGCTTTTTTATGGCTATGACTGGTAAGTGACTACCGCCGGCCATGGACAACATTTGACTGGCCTGTTGGTCTAGTGGTTAGTGACCCTGACTGTAAGTCGGAGGTCGTGGGTTCGATTCCCACCCAGGACAAACAATAGTGTGATGAGCACGGTCATTTGTTCTGTGTCTGGGTGTAATTTATTTAAAATATGTATCTATTTACAAATATATAAGTATGTTTATCAGCAGTCTGGTTACCATAGTACAGGTTCTTCTTTTATTATGTTTTCTTTTAAAAAAAGCCAACGCCCGCACTAGGAATAAGTCCTGTGTTGCGGGGACTTTACAAACATACATTAAATGGACACAAAGGACATCCAGACTCAGAACAACAACTTGTGGATCACACAAAGTGTTGTCCCATGTGAGGATCAAACCCACAACACTCAGTGACCGCTTAAAACACTACACCATTCGTGCATATAAGACTTTGAAATAGAAATTTAAAGTATTCTATCTAGCTTTCATAGTAGAAGCTCTACTTAGTTTGAAACTAGATGGTGTTGTGTGTTAGATGTCCGATAATATTATTATTATTATTACACAAATAATATAAATCGAATTCTCGTTACAGATATCAGCCACTTCATATACTTCCCGTTGAATCGGTTGATAAATCAAATGGAAATATTTGAAATGCATAACGAAATCACATGGAATTATTTGACGGATTTGAATTTATCACACAACAGAATTGAGTGAGTACATACATATTGGTGTCTTATTTAAAACCACACATCTTTCTTTTCTCTTCTTGATAGGGCTGGGAATTCAAAAACTGTTCCTTAATATTTAGATTTTCATATTACTGAAGGAATATCTCAGTGAGAGAAACGTAAACGTAACTATAAGTGACATGACTTGAAAGATGATGGAGTGTTAAGTTAAATAATATCATCATCAGCCTATCGCATTCCAGTGCTGGACATAGGCCTCTCCGATCGATCGAAGCGGCGTGCAATGGATGAGGCCTATGTCTAGCAGTAAATAATATATTTTTCGGTAATTCGCTTAAATTCGACCTTGATCAACATAATCCATTCGTATGGTACGTAGAACAAAAAAATCAACTGAGTGTAATCGGAATTCGGCTAATTTGTATAAAAGGTAGTTTACCTTTTAGTTTAGGTCGTTAGACCATACAGCATACCAAACGCAGGACTTTTTTCTGTAGCTATCCAGCCGTCCATCGCTCCATACATTTTCCATAGTGATAACCCTTTAAATTTTAATTTACTAAAGTTCCACTGAGCAAAATCATTCTTCTTAGGACTCTTGCCCCGACAGAATAAAGTGCAAATTAGGTTGTACAGACCTAATACCGTGCAGTGTCATTTACCTAGAAGGCGCCTAATATATTATGTTTATTACAGATCTCTAGACGGATTTGATTTGGAGCAGTCAGCACCTAAATTAAAGCATCTGGACTTGTCCCACAACTGTTTGGAGAAAATAACGTTACTATTGAAAATTCGGAATCTCCCTCTGAAAACCATACATTTGGAAGGAAACCCTTTATGTAGAAACTATATCGACCCCAATCAATACATAAAAGCAGTAAAAATGATGTTTTCTAGTGTGAATACTATAGTAAGTATAGTAATGGTAAACATTTACACTGAAGTATATCAAACCTAATATCTAAACATCATGGATGGTGTTTATTATTTAAAATGAAGAAATTCCTACTTGTTTGATATCACTGGACAGTGTTAACTTGAAGTGTTATTGTGTAGACTACATTATAGACATACCATGACTAATCAACATATGAACTGGATGCCAATATTTTTTTAATTACCAACAAATATTATTTAAGAAAATTAAATACATATATATAATAATAAATAATAATAATATATCTCACACACTTACACACGGCCGTCTGATCCCAAACTAGCCAGTACTACGGTAACCAGACTGCTGATAAACATACTTATATATTTCTAAATACATACATAAATTACACCCAGACACAGAACAAATGACCGTGCTCATTACACAATATTTGTCCTGGGTGGGAATCGAACCCACGACCTCCGGTTTAGCAATCAGGGTCACTAACCACTAGACCAACAGGCCCGTCATATATATATTTTTATTGTCTCAGTTTTTCTATTCCTAAATTTAAAATATTTTAAATTCCACGTGACTTCCTGAAATTTTCTTAAAACTGTTGTGAATTCTCACTCTCTCAGCCTGTTTCGTCCCTCGGGTGGCCTACACCTGTACAATGTACGCCACTCATCTGATATGCCACGTGATCTTGTCACATTAATATTGTATAGGTAGGTAGGAAATCGAAAAGGACGATGGAGCTGGAGTAAGACATACCACAAGACCCGGATGAAATTATAGACGGAACTGAAACTGACAGACTGCTCGAACTACCCGAGACCTCGTAACCTTACGACCTGTGATTGGAAAGGGCACTAGGATAGGAAAATCAACTTGCTTACATGACAAATAATAATATCATACATTTCAGGACGGCGTAGCAGTTCCTATAAAAGGAGAAATGCCAAAGTTTCATCGCAACTACTGTCCAGAAGACGCGCAAGTGGTTGTTGAGAAGTTTCTAGAAGTATATTTCCCACTCTTGGATGGTGACATTGAACACAGGGAGCTGTTAGAAGCCATGTATGATACTAATGCTAATATGACCATCACCTTTAGTTATAAAATGGGTAAGTTACAACCGTAAAATACTGCTGCTAAAATACCGGGGTGATACTACGGCTTCACAGAATTTATAACCTCACAGATACAAGTGCGTAAAATGAGTTGTATACACAGAATTCGAATCGTCAGATTTTTTGAGTGACCAGTAGAATATATCTTGTGTGGCGGGGAACTTTACAAACATTTATGAAATGACTGTGCGTTTGCCAAGTCACTCTAGTTAAGTTATATAAAAATGTAATATTAGAAACTAACAAGGTATCAATTTATGATAAAGTGGTTGGAAAGCTGCTCTCGTAAATAGGTACATACTGTACTGAATTAATCGACTTGGCTTTCATTCGATTTCACAACTTTTTACGGCTGAAGAACCGCATTAATGGGATAGGTTTAACTTTTATTGTACATAGACTTTTGTACTATGACAGATTATATTTATAGTGAACAACGGACGGATTAAGAATACGCAATGTCAACACCCCTATTGATCCTGTAGGTGTCGTAAAAGCCTACTAAAGGAGCAAACTACGCAGGACAACAGTACTGTTAAAAAGAAAGAAACCTTGACACAAACCCTATACCAACCCGTCTGGCCAGCGTCGTATAGTAGGCCAAAAACTCCTTTCTAAGGAGAGGCCTATGTCCAGCTGTAGACTATTAAAGGCTGTTGATGATGAAATTTTTTTTTTACTAAGTAGTACCTACTGTTCGTAAATATTATATTTATGCACTTTATCTACATCCTATTGCAATCATTAAGTACTTATAAAGTATTTCATAAAATATGTTTCGTTTAAAAAGAGGTATTACTAATTTTCTTCAAGTATTGATATAGACTTAATCATTCCATTTCCATCTTTACTTCTTCAACTTTGCCAAATGTCAACAATGTCCTAAAATTCTAAGTTCCTAATTTACATGGTTTTCTCATGATGACGACAATGTCAGCCTTGTTCCTGGCTGCTGGACTCAGACCGCAACGGAATGTTACCTCTTGGTAGCACGTTGTCAAGAACGTTTCCTGTTCTTTGTGATATCTTCATTGCTCCATAGTAGAAAAATATCATAGTGAGGTGGTTTCTCCTACTTGCCTTCCATACCGCAGTACGGCACTGCGGTATGAAAGCCAGCGTTGCCTGCCTGCTGTTGTCCGATCAAGAGCCATTGTGGAGAATGCTTCCTCCGCCTCCTGCTGGTACGGATACTACTGCTGCCTGGCACCAGAGGGATGCTAATTTAATGGCGGCGTTCATTCTCCACGTCACAAAGTTGTCTTGGGACTATTGTAGCATTTAATAGGCGTGGTTTTCCCACAAAACACCCCTCCACCAAGTCCTGGTAACCTTGCCGCTGTCAGTTGAGGACTACTTATTCAATATATTCGCAAAAACGAAGAAAATATAGGCGTGGCGATTGCTCCACCGACTAAGATCCCTGGCCCTTAAATTTTAAGAGAGAGATTTATATACTCAAATTAAAGAGCATTAAATTACCTAAAAGAGCTTTCTAGTGGAATAATGAAAAATATTTTTTAAAACCCGTAGAACTTTTTTTAAATGAGCGAAAATTTTCAAATTTTTTTTATCGGCAGTTTTCTTAGAATTACTACAGGACCGAACATTATAAAAAAACTATGCCCGATCTAAAAATTAGATATAGAGCTATAATTTGCATTTTTTTTATGTTGCTGTACGATCATTTTGCTCGGCGTTACATCTTGTTGAAAATCACCCAAAAATCGATTTTTTTTAAGTCCTTTAATTTTTGTAAGTAGTGTATATAATTAACTCATTTTACGTATTTGTATCGCTTAGTATAGTTGTCTTTCTAACGTAGTAGGTTTTCGCTGTAGTTCCTTCGCCTGATGCTATTTCTTTTAATTCCAGGGTTTAGTCCAATATACAAATGCTTCAGAACTCTCTTCGCAGGCGCTAGAAACCTTGAACAGGGTAATATGGATATAATAAAAGGTTCCAAAGCGATAGCTAAAACTATCGCGAACTGGCCGCACATGGAACACGATCCTGTGACGTTCACTGTCGATGTTATTTATCATAATGTAAGTAATAATAATAACGTGTGTTACGTTACGTTATCTTACACACGTATGCCGTCTGATCTCAAATTAGGCATAACCTGTGCAATTGTGATCAGCTAGTCAATTCTCGTAATAAAAATTAGTTCTAAATTTAAAAATGTCATAAATGATATTCTCGTAGTAAAGTATTTAACATCCAACGACTCTGACCGAAAGTTGAATCGGTATTCTGCTAATCTTAGTAATACTTTACTACGAGAATGCCTTTTATGACATTTGTGTGATCGAGAGTAGATTGGAACGATTTTTCATTGCGAGAATTGACCGTCTGACTGCTGAGAAATTACGCTCAGAGGCAGAACGAATGATCAAACTCATCACATAATATTGGATTAATGGTACTACGAGATCAACCGCTGAAAGTAAACTGGTGTGAGATGTAATCGTGAGACAATTTCTGTGGAACGCACTGCAAACTCCGGGCTAGAATAGATACAAATTATGTTAATATATTATTAATATTATTATTATTGTTTAAGTAATAATATTTGTGTCAAATAAAAAATCAATTCCACAAAGAAATAGTCAATTGTCCTTAGTGGGAATCGATCACAACGACCTTGGGCTTACTGATCACGGACGGTAACTACCCGTTAAATGTGTTGTTGTTCTTTGACAGGATTCAACCACAATTCTCCGCGTCGATGGAGTTCTTAAACTCACGAGAGAATCCTTAGCCGACGATGAATATCTGGTCGCATTCTCCAGAACCGTAGTGCTGCACACTAGAGACGGAGTGGAGTATACGATCCAAGCTGAAACGCTTTACTGGAGTATTCCTATTGAGAGCTATGCGCGATCCGCGTTCACTGTCACTACGGTAAGTACGCAATATTGTTACAAAAACTACATATTAAAAAATCTAGGAAATTCAAAGAAATAACGAAAAATAATTTGATGAGTACGGCAAAAAGAAATACCTACAAAAGTGAGGCTGTTTATTAGAATCAAATCTACTAAAGTCACCCGGTGTGATTTGTAATGATGTACTGAAATAAGTGGACCGTCGGTATTGCAAGAGTATATTTTCAACGATCCACCCATCAAAATAACCCTCTCCTAGTTCAGATTTACCTCACTTTTAGAGTCACTTTTTGCTATTTGTCCACAAGAGTATAAAATAATCTAGTTTTAGTCTTTTTTTAATAAAAAAATATTAAAGACAAAGGACGGTATAAATCCTGTGTCGCGCGGGACTTTACAAACATTCACGAAACGGACACGCACAGTATAGTAACAAATTATTTACGTTTGTGTAAAAATTATATCCAAATGAGTTTATTTTTTCGGAAAAAAATATTTCTTCTTTGATCTTGAATTAAGTCAGTTGTACTGTACTGTACTTGTACACTTTTATGTGCTTTAGTATGTTTTTTTTCTTGAATCATTTTTTCTCTACAGCTAATTATTTTATGTTTATGAAAATACTATCATCGTCACTTTTTACTAATTATAAGCACTAAATACATTTTTTCACCCTGAATTAACTACTTATTATGTGGATATTATGCTTCTAAAATTTTACCTTGCCTCTAAATAAGTATGTGTAATAGCAGTCTGGTAAGCATAATACAGGCTCTGCCTTGTTTGTGATGAGACGGCCGTGTGTGATGTGTCTTAAGTAAGAATTTATCTTGCCTTAAATGTTATTATTTAATGTATGTTATTTGTTTAAGTAAAAAAAGTGCACTTAATTTTTACATGTCTTGTACCGCATAATGCATAGGTGTACTCCTTATTTTATGAAATAAGACCTTAGAAAAGCCTTAAGAAATTAATTTGCAGAAACAAAGTTGCATAAAGACCTTTGTTCCAGCCAATTAATTTCATTTTGTGTTTGGCAACTGGACACAAAGTAAATGATTTTACATTAACAGTCCTGTAAGACTTCGCGACTTATCACTTCAAGCAATAAATGTACCTACACTTTTCTTTTTCTGTGCGGATCTCCCCTAGTATACCACCCACCAGTGGGTGATTACTCAAACCGACCAAAAACCGCACGCCGTCTCCAGGTACCAGTAGCCGGGGAACCAGGTATACTCTAGAAAAGAAAGCCCTAGTACCCCGACGTACCTCAGGCCATTTACGGCTTATAGATGACCCCTCCTGTGTGGGAACCCGGATGTTCCCTTACTGCTCAGAAGGGCGCGCGCGCTCCGTAGCGCGTCGCGCCATTACCCACCCCGGCCTGCCTCTGCTAGAGTGACAGATATCCTCACCTGTCACCCTCAGGCCTGCGCTTATTGAGGACGGAGGTCGGTCTCGGGCCTGGCGAGCCGGGAGGGTTCTGAACCTCTCCCGGTCTCGCTCCGCCATCTCTTTCGCAAGCATAACCTGCTCGCAGAAGGAGATTTAACAATATAACCCTATTTAACAATATAATCGTATGTATCTAAATGATATATACTGCATTAATACATACAGGTATCGGGTATACACAAAGACCTAAATAATACCATTTTGGCAGGTGTGGCAATGTATGAAATCTATGTACTTGTAAGTCATAAGTAAGTACAAGTACGTTCACAAAATACGAGAGACAATTTTGATATTTCACAAGAAATGCGGATGAAACCTGTAGAGTGTTTTTCCTTAAACCCCGTTTTCTCAGGGGCCATTTGTCCTTCAACCTTGTCGAACGACACAAGATATTTTTCTACCCTTGACATTGCACAAGATGTCGCTCGGGATAGCTTGTGACATGTAATGGTCAAGGGACATGTCGCCAGCCGATCCTTGACGAGAGTATACCTCGCACGAATTTCATGCTCTTCGACGATCGACGAAACTAAGAAAGTATAAACAAACTCTTATTAACCATGTCCTCAGGTCAAGTTTCAGGTTCCGTTTCCGTTTCCTCAAAATATAAAAAATAATTTTTCGTATCAAAAAACTGTTCAAGCCTTTAAGAAAAAATAAAACTATCTCATATTTGAAATGGTACTTATATTTTTGCCCCAATAACATTTTTGTGAATAGGTTTATGAATTAACAAATGTGCGATCAAATCTTCAAAATATCATGTATATGTTTTCGATAATTTGATTCGATATTTTCTAAGTAACAGTGAAATGTTCAGCAGAAAATTCCAACCAATATGGTCTCGATGTCTTAAATTAAATAAACCGTAGAATCGGTTCATCCGTTTAAGAGCTTCTTGATGTCATACAAAAATAGAAACGTTAACCCTTTTCTGCATCACATCGAGGTTTCAAAATATTAAGTTTTTATTGTTAAGTACCAACATATCGCACCCTCGGTGCAACAAAGTCACAAGTAGGCAAAATTGCCAAAATGACTTAAGTATGCCAAATTGTCTATAAACCATTTCTTCGTTTGGGAAATCAAAGACAGCCGCGAAATTATTTGAATATATCGATATATGGCATTAGTGCCTTTGTCGTTCTTGCTACTTTTTCGACGAATATTGGGAGAACAGAGTATGATTGGTAAGTAGAGACCCCGCGCCCGCATGAGTCAGTCGTGACTTGGAGCTACACCGGCTTAAAGGTATTAATGTCAATTTTTATTCACGTATATTGAAATAACAAAGTGCCATTATAACGATTAAATAATTAAATTATATTTGTACCTGGTGCGACATAGTCACAAGTTACGACTTTTTTTTGTTTCCTTTTTTTTCAATTTTCTAATAAATTCAAAGAAATCTTTTTACATGATACTGTAGTTAAAAGAACAAATAATATAATTTTAATGAGATATCCCGGCTGCTGTAGGTAGTAATCTAGAAAAAAGGAAAATTGATCGAAAAAAAACTTAAAAGTCCGTTCCTGTAAAATTACAAAATGACCTGTTGAGACTTTGTTGCACCGAGGGTGCGATATGATGTTAACGTGTTCTTGTTTATACACTAAACACACTATCGGAAATCTCACAACTTTACAACTTACCTATCTATAAATCACATAGTATTACAATGAAGTAAGTATAACGGTTGTTCGATAATTTTATGATACTGAAACAATACTGCAATAGAAGTCAGGTTCGATACTTACTGCATACATCATAATCAGCCTTAACAGCCCTTATCAGTCCAACGCTGGACAAAGGCCTTTTCATAAAAAGGCGATTTTGGCCTACTATACCACGTTGACCAGACGGGTTGGTAAAGGGTTTGTTTCAAGTTTTCCTTCTCTTTGCAGTGCTTCTGTGTCCTGCGTATTTTGCTTCCTTAGTCGGGTCTTACGACACCCACGCCGGGATGAATAGGGGTGGTGACATTCTGTATTCTTAATCACCACACCGATACTTACTGCATTACATGAGAATAATTAGATAAAAAATACTATATAAACTATTTAATTACTAACAATTGTAGAACACTTTGATTTTACGAATTATTTTATAATTATTTCAAAGATTTAATATTTTTACCTCATTACTATTGTAGAAATAAAAAAGTTGTTGAAAAAAATAATTATCTTTATTCATGTTTTCGACTTAAAAACTATGTGCAGATTATAAATGGGTTTACGAGCATAACTACTTTATTTATAAGTCTAGCTTATTCACAGAATTTCATGTTATTACTTATATTAGCCATCCCAGTATTGCTATGGTTTGTAACAAATTGAAATGAGTTTGAACATCAATATTGATTCAACTGACAAATTGGCACTATCGGTGGCATTACACACACTTAAAATAAAAGCCTTTCTTAAAATAAAGGATTTTAAACCAATGTTTAATTCCATAGAAAGCAACGGCTAAGTGATGATCAGACAGTGTCCATTGATTCCTCATTTAGTGGTTCAGTCTCCATTTCCATATATCTGTCCTCAAATCCTGATGTATACTTCAATCTCAACTTCTCATAATGAAGTTGTTCCTTAGAGGAAACAGAAGGTTTACATTTCGAAAGAGCAATTCTAAAGTCTTCAAATGTGACAAAAATATCGTCTTCGAGAGTCCCGTTTTCAATGTGTTTTGTCAATGCATGTGTGGCAGCTGCTCTAACTAGACCAGCCAAGTCTGCTCCCGTATAGCCCTCTGTTAGATCAGCAAAAACATGCAGGTGTACATCAGGTGCAAGTTGTGGTTTTGTACCACCTTTAGTAAGTTTCTGTAGTATGTCAATGCGATCATCTCTTGCTGGCATTCCAACATACATAACTCGATCCAAACGACCCGGCCGCAATACTGCAGGATCAATGATGTCTGGCCTATTTGAAGCTGCCAACACGAAAACTCCTTCACGAGTCTCTATGCCATCCATTTCAGTCAGCAGCTGATTCACAACTCGTGCTGCACCATTGTTGTCTTGACCTGTTCGTCGAGGGCATAATGCATCAAATTCGTCGAAAAATATGACGCACGGCGCTGAATTTCTAGCCCGTCTGAAACACGTGCGAACAGCTCTTTCGCTCTCACCTACATACATATTAAGCAGCTCAGGCCCTTTTACTGATATGAAGTTTACACCTGCTTCATTTGCTACAGCTTTTGCTAACAAAGTTTTACCACAACCCGGAGGGCCACATAGTAAAACTCCACTTGGGGCACCTAATCCCAGTTTTCTCAGTTGTTCAGGATACTTTACAGGAGCTAAGACAGCCAGCTGTAGTTCTTTCCGCACTTGACTCAGAGATCCAACATCATCCCAAGTAACATCCGGTACTGTTACAATACCCTCTCTCACTGCACAAGGTTTGGTAAATTTAAGTGCTTTAACAAAGTCTTCATGTCTGATGGCAAGTCCTTTTAGTTCATCTTTAGTGTAAGGCATATCTTCTAAAAGAAGAAGAAATTCATCTACAGGATCAACTGGGATTATAGGTATTTCTTTCACATTATTACTATCTGGAACAACTTTTATAGGAGTACTATCTAAGTCTTCAGCAGGTTTATCAACATCTTGTAGTGGTGCAGAAGGAACCTCTGTAGGAGCATCAACAGCTGGAACAGTCTCTTCACTCACTTTATCTCCATTTGGTATTACTGCCACTTCATCTTTAGCAGGTTCCTCCTCACTGGGTTTTGTTTCTACTTTAATCTTAGCTGTTTGAATTTCAGTAAATATTCTCTTTACAGCATATGTGCTAGCTTTATTTACAAGAGCTTGTAAATCAGCTCCAACAAATCCAGGTGTGATCTGTGCTAAGGTGCTCATATTAACATCCTCATCTAAAGAAATTTCTTTACAGAGAATACTTAGTATTTCTTTCCTAGATTTTAATGAAGGTATGCCAAGTGCAATTTCTTGCTCAAGACGGCCAGACCTCCGTAGAGCGGGGTCTAAGGCATCAGGATTATTTGTAGCAGCAAGTATTAACACCGAAGACTTCGTTTCAGACAGGGAGTCTAAGCTAGCTAATAACTGGGCGACCATTCTCTTTTCCATGTCTTTTTGAGCATGAACTCTGTTTCCACAGACTGCATCAATCTCATCTATGAATAATACACTTGGGGCTACTGATATTGCTCTCTCAAACAATTCTCTGATCCTTTCTTCAGACTCTCCTGACATTCCTCCTACTAATTCTGTACCAGTTATCGCAATCATTGGTAATTGTAGTTTTCCAGCGATAGCGTGTGCTAGCAATGTTTTTCCTGTGCCTGGAGGGCCATGTAACAATGCTCCTCTAGGAGCTTTAATACCTAACTGACTATACACCTCCGGGTGCTTCATATGTAATATTAAATCGCAGATCTGTGTTATTATGTCTGATATTCCACCAATATCATCAAAACTAACCTTAACATTTTTAACAGTACCAACTTCATTCTTTTTCTTTGGTTGTGCAATTTTACTTGTATCAACTTTCCTTTTTCTGTCATTGGTTTGCTGATTCTGCTGTGTTTTAACTTCAATGGGCGTGCTGTTTTTATTCTTATTCGGTACGTGGGGGGTTATAGTAATTTGATCATTGATTTTGGGTAATTTTGGCGCCGCACTACCATCGTCATCACTACTCAAGATATCTATAGGTTCACCCGACTTATCTGTATTTCTTCGATTTTGTGCCGGCCGTTTTTTGTCTTGCATCTTATACATGGCGAGCAAGCGGTCATTGAGCTCACTATTATTTTCGTCTAGTAGTTCTAAATCAGATTCTTCCTCTGAACCTTCCGACGTGGTCGCTCCGTCTAACCCGTAGCTCTGTAAAACTACTTTATATGCACTTTCTACCATCTGGCAAAAGGCATTGTCGCTTCTGTTGTTATACTCGCGGTAGCGCTCTTTTAATGAACGCGCCATTTGACTAACATCGACGAATGTCTTGTCCACATTCTCGGCGAGATAATTCTTAACGCGTGACACTATTATTGGATCATTAATAGTCTTTTGTCGTGTTTGATGTTTCTTCATTTTGCGAAAACGTTTTAATTAATTTACTTCAAATAGATTACTTGTATGAAATTGTTTCTTTCCGATACGACAAAACGTAATGTTTGACAGCGGCTTCTCTGAATCGATGGAATGGTTACCACAGATAAAAAATATTGTCATAGCATGTGCAATGCTTCTAAAGCCTACGGAGGTCTTGAACAAAAATTGCACTTGGCATACCTTCGTTAAAATCTAGAAAAGAAATTCTTGGGATTCTCTCTAAAGGAATTCATGAAATGTATGTATATTTTAACTTGCGTTCTTATTTCCCGTTTTCATTTCAGGTAAAAACTAAACAATCCTATCCTAAAATTGATTCGACTACTGATAAAAACCTTCAAGAAGAACTGCTGAACATTTTTATGAAATTAACTACGATGAATAAAAATATAAGCGAAAGGTAAAAGCTCAGCACTCAATTTTCAACAAGTATTATGTTTTTTCATATCCTGACTACAGAGAAATATATCCTAATATTAGACACTTTTTTCTTCCACCTAGTAAATGAACAATAGTATAATCACGACTTCCTTGTCAATGATAATCTATCTCTTTTACATTCTGCAATAACCTAATTACCTCAACATGCAAGTATTTTATGTATAGATTAAAAAACTATAATGAACTTAGCTACTTAGTAGTATATTGTTATGCAAAACGTAACCTAAATACGTATTTGTTCACAGGTGCCTGGAACTCAAGAAGTGGAATTTAAGGGAGGCCTTAGACTATTTTACAAAACTGTATAAATTGGACGCTTTGGAGTCTCTCACAAAAGAAGTTTCATAAAGTTTTATGTGCAATGTCTATAGTGTTGATGCAATAAAATTATTAAAAAGAAAGACTTATTTCTGAAATTTATTTTTGTCTGTGCAACACATGGGTAAATTTCCAATCTAAGAATGTTGTTTTTGGTAGTAGTTAGTTTATCATAAAATAAACCTAGTATACTAACATAATAGACAACTGTTCGTCTATTACGCTAGTAAACTAGATTTTATTTTAATGACGACTGTTGTACTTATCATCGTGCATCGAAACAAATGACCGTGTCTGCCTCTCTCATTGACCTAAGAATATTTACCTACCTACCTAAGAATAATATTTTCTTCCTCATTGGCCTCTCTGGTATCTGCAAGTTATACGTGTGCGTTACCCCAGCAAAATAATGTCGAAAATGGTCATTTAAAGTTTATAGATAATTAGTTGCTCCCCTTCTGTAATTGTTAAGCACATTTTTAAATTTGTTTCACTTAAACTTTTTTAGTTATTTCAAAAAAACATTTCCTGCTGGGGTAACGTTTGAAACGTTACCGCAGCCAGACATTTTCTTTTTTAATTGTAATATTGAAATAAATTTTAGCTACATAATTAGTTATCTGGACTAGGTAAATGTTACAACTTATTTGGTATTTGTATTTTCTGCGGATGCGAAGTTATTCGAAATCCTGCTGGAGTAACGTTTGTGGGTTTGCTGGATCTCTGAAACGGGTAAGCGGATTGTAACCATCTTTTGTACATAACTTCTTAAGGATTAGTTTTAATTTGTTCGACAATAAAATAACAAACATAATGGACCGTTTAAAAATTATTTAGGTAAGTATGAAAACACTTCAATACGTCCTAACACTTTAAATAAGACCTCTAAAGACTTACTTGAAACGTTATTCTATTGCTTGTAACTACCTTCAAATGTATACGAATTTTCGTAAGAATACTGTAAGTGACTAAAAAGTTATGATGAAATGTAGCTCTCCACGTTCACGATCACAATGTGTGCGGCCTTTTTTGGCCACCGATAAACCTGTGTGTGGGTATATAAACTGAATGTTATGCCAATAATTAGTTGTTTAGTTCAGTTGTCTACCTGTAAAATTTCAGCGTAGTACATATAATAATTTACGAGATAATTAAATAAAAGTCATTAGACGGTGCAAGACCGTGGTAACCCGACCATGTTTAGGTGGTTACAAAAAAACGATCACCCAGTACATTTTGCTGGCTTTTAAAATATGTAGGATATTATTTGCAAGTTTACTACGGATATGTACATAAGTGTTACAAAAAACTACATGTTTTTTAAATATTTTTTATTTAGGATTGTTTATTGCATAATTAGTAATTACTAATAATACTGATTTTAATCAGCCGGGAGATTAGGTATTGTTTTGAATGCTTTTGTTTTCTCGTAATGTTTAGGTGAATTGTTTATAGTTGTTCATAGAATTGGTACCTGCGTAGTATTTGTTAATTGAAGTTTAATTTTAGGGTAGGTATAGGTAATTTAAGAAATATGAAATGAAATGAAATGAAATGATAAGTTTTGAAGAGTGTAACGTATGCGTTGTAAATAGGTATTTTGTGAATAGATGGGGATTTTTTTAAGTGATGAATCGACTTAGGCTAGCATATCGCGAACAAACTCTGTATTGCATTATTTCTGTAATAATGTTGGAGAAAATAAAATATTTGATCACAAAATCGCGGTGAGTTAAATTATAATAAAATAAATTATTTATGTAAAATTAGTAATAAGTGATATACCTACCTAAAAGTTATGATCGTTTTTAATTTGTTCACCCTGAACGAAATTTCAATATTAGCATTAGTAATTAATATCCTAAGACAAGAATTGACAATTACTTAAATTGAATCGAATTAGCATTAATGCCTATTATTAGTAATTAGGTACACACATATTGAAGAACTCTCAAGAATACGATAAATATTTGCAAAAATATAAAGCGGAAGCGCACACGTACTTTACAACACGTATATTATCTGCCTAAGGGTCAAGTTTAGTGCACTAGATGCAAATTGCAAACAATGAAGTATCCCTTCGCCCCTCCCCTCCCGCGTTCTAGCGAAGGATGTATTATCAGCGATTCTTGATTGACAAATATTATCTGACCAATATGGAAAATGGTATATGACGTGCATTGTTTTTTGAAAAGGGAATCTGATAAATTAATTGATTCTTTAAAACAAATCAAAAGTGAGATTGACGAAGCTACGAGTATTTTACTCAATCATACGGACAGCAGCACTGTAAATTTAAGCCAGATAAAACAAACTGCAGAAGTTATTAGGGCGGTTATTATTAAAAACTGCTTTGCTCAGGCTAGGTTATTTGAGGTACCATCACATTATCATTATAATCATCACTAATTCAGAAAACAGTTTTTTATCTCCAAAATAAAAATTGACAAATTCTGTTTTAATTTTTCTACTTCCTATAAACTTGTTAAAAATCCTGGGTAACATAATTTTTTTGGATATTGGAACTATAAACTATAATAATGACATACACATACACTCACGCATACACACGCACGCACACCACGCACACGCACAAACAAAGTACATTTTTTTTTTAACATACACGTTTATTACTACTACTTAAGTTTTAAATGTTAATACACATGGAGACCAATAATACTGGTTCAACCCAGTGCAGGCTCCCATCTCCTACAAGCACAATAACTGTCTGTATATATTCTTATAGCTTTTACCCGCGGCTTCGCTCGCAGTTTTATCTTTCGTAAAAAATATTATTTTAATAAAAAGTATCATATGTTACTTCTAAAACCTCCAAGAATATGTGTAGAAAGTTTCATGATGATCGGTTAAGTAGTTTTCACGTGAAAGCGTAACAAACAAACTTACATTCACATTTATAATGTTATATAGTATGATTACTTACTTACCTTTTGTACCTATTGTTGAGAAAATAAAGAAATTCAAATTTGACGACTCTGGCACGTGAACAACTTTCAGAAGTTACACTCTATAACATTAACTATTTACTAAAGTTAATATTTGCGTGCGCGATAGTACCCATGCGCGGCTATCCCTTCCACGTTCCGCTCAGCGCTAGACTTACGTGCCGCTAGTTATAGATGACTTGTTGATTTAAATATTTTGATGCATTCAAGTCTAAGCTCTATACACCCCAAAATAAAATACAATTACTTTAGTGTTATTTCTTTACAAATAAAAATCTTGATTTCTTCTTCTTCTTCTTTTCGTTTTATTGCAGTCAGGTGAATCGTTCATACATGTATCTACATATTTATAATTTTAAACTATAGTGCCAGTGCAGATTTTCTGTTGATTGTAGCTCCGGTAGTAAAAAAGACTGAATAAATTTTAAGTAAAGAAACTAGTGCTTAAGATCAATTAGGGAAAAAAACAAAATAAATAATAGGTAATAATAATGAATAAATATTGAATGTATTTAACACTGTACGCAACTGTACCGAAATCGTAAGGTGTATTACACTAAACATTTTAAAAGACAGCGCAATGTACTGGGTGATCGCTTTTTTGTAACCACCCAAACATGGTCGGATTACCACGGACTTGCACCGTCTAATGACTTTTATTTAATTATCTCGTAAATTATTATATGTACTACGCTGAAATTTTACAGGTAGACAACTGAACTAAACAACTAATTATTGGCATAACATTCAGTTTATATATCCACACACAGGTTTATCGGTGGCCAAAAAAGGCCGCACACATTGTGATCATGAACGTGGAGAGCTACATTTCATCATAACTTTTTATTCACTTACAGTATTCTTACGAAAATTCGTATACATTTGAAGGTAGTTACAAGCAATAGAATAACGTTTCAAGTAAGTCTTTAGAGGTCTTATTTAAAGTGTTAGGACGTATTGAAGTGTTTTCATACTTACCTAAATAATTTTTAAACGGTCTATTATTTTTGTTATTTTATTGTCGAACAAATTAAAACTAATCCTTAAGAAGTTATGTACAAAAGATGGTTACAATCCGCTTACCCGTTTCAGAGATCCAGCAAACCGACAAACGTTACTCCAGCAGGATTTCGAATAACTTCGCATCCGAAGAAAACACAAATACCAAATAAGTTGTAACATTTACCTAGTCCAGATAACTAATTATGTAGCTAAAATTTATTTCAATATTACAATTAAAAAAGAAAATGTCTGGCTGCGGTAACGTTTCAAACGTTACCCCAGCAGGAAATGTTTTTTTGAAATAACTAAAAAAGTTTAAGTGAAACAAATTTAAAAATGTGCTTAACAATTACAGAAGGGGAGCAACTAATTATCTATAAAGTTTAAATGACCATTTTCGACATTATTTTGCTGGGGTAACGCACACAAGTTATACAGGCATATGATTGAGATTTAGTGTAGGGACATTGTCGTCACAGCACTATCCATGTCAAAAAATAGGCAATCGCTATTTTCAGTATTTTAGTTTATTATTAAATTATAGACAAGAAACGAAAATAGCATCGTAATTTGTAAATAACTTAATGCTTGTTTTAAAATTTGGATTGTAAAAAGTACATGCTGTATTCTTTCCTGTCTACCTTTTGCATCCGCCCACACACCTCACGATTACACTAATTTATGTAATGGAAAGCCTATAACCGTCGCCAAGAGTAATGGATAAACAGGGATATTATTTATACGTATGGATTAGAGTGTAAGCTCAAGAAGGTCATGGTCTCATACTCGTAATATAAATAATAATATTACTTAATAACAGTATTCTTTAGTCACAGAATGAAGTGTTCTATTCACTCAAAAAATTGCAAAGCAGTTTGTATTTTCATTTGTAACTAATAATTGCCATGATTTTTGTTTATCTATAAGAAGTACTACGAGTATACTACTTACTGATATTTGTCTTACGTTAAAATAGTAAAAAGTACATTTAACAATAAATGTGATTTTTTATATTACCTAAGGTTTCCAATAAAAATGAGAGAAAATTAAATGCTCTTTAGAGGAAGTGCACCAATTACGAAATACACCTTTTTTATCCTGTTCACATTATGCGACTGAGCCTCCGAATTCTCTAGCATAACATTAGCATCATATTATAATAATATATCACTTAGAAATACATATATTTATCAGTAGTCTGATTTACCACACCACAGGTGCTCTATCCTCTAATTTCTTTATTGGATTAGCGATTGAACTCAAAATCGGTCTTGGGATTGATTTGGAGTTTCCAATTCAAATTTTGAAGATCTATTTTTATTTGAATAATGCGGTAGAATTATTTGTTCATATCACTACGTACAATAGAACTCTTTTTATGTGTATAGTATAGCATAAACCAATTATTTATACAGAAATACTCAATGCGCAGTATCATAATTTACATATGGCATCGTCTTTAAAAGTTTCATTTTTAAAACTACACTGACAAGTTCTCAAACAACTAGACTGTTGAGTTTCGTGTTTAAATAACTTAACAAGGAAAACAAATGGTTTCAAATGGATTATCTTTTAGTTAATCTCAGCCTGAAATGCCTTTTTATAATGTAATGCAACATTTTTTACCAAACAGAATTTTCCTTAAGCCCGTGAAAGAGGAGGCTTCTGCGCTTCTGGAAGGAGCTTGGTTGGTAGCCAACCTTTCCTCGACGCATAAAGGACCACTCTCGAGTCTAAATGTGGAAACCGGAGCCCACAACCAATAACAAATTAATAAAAAAAAATGATTTATTTATTTCTCTCCGTTCTTATTTCATAAATTTTCTTAATAAGATCATAATAATAGAAACAAAAATATAGTTATATGAAATTTTATTACTTTAAATTTGTAATACATATTACTTAATAAACTATCCTAGACAATCATCTCAAGGTGTCTGGCGTATTCAATAGTCTGTCCTGCCAACTCGGATGATGGCAACACATCAGCAACAGCAGCACATGTTTCTGATGAGGCATTGAAATGGTAGCAGTTGTCAGGACCTAGTACCCAGTTACGCTGTGGAATAATATTTAAAAATAAATCTTTTACATTCCATTTCATCTGGTTTCAATATACCATAGAAGTTAAGCAATTTTAGTAATTGTACAACTATTCCTCATAGTGTGTGTGTGACTGATTGTCTAATATTGTTGATGATATTGACTAATAGGTGTTTTTTGATAACTTAGGGAATAGCAAAATTGACTTAAGTAATTACACTTGGTTGCATTGTGCTGATTAAGTAACATCTGGATATTTCTTCTTATATTATGCAACCATCAGTCTCATGACTGTTGAATGTGTAACTCCTGAACAAGCAACAAAATCCTACAGAAAAATCCAACATGACATGAAACATTTTTGTTATTGTTTTGTATATAGATTGACTATTGATAATCCTTTTCATATGTTTAAGATTTATTACGACTAATTATGGTATTCTTACGGTTGTAGTAAAAGTTATTTCTAATAAATAATTAAATTTTAATAGTTTTTGAAACAGTGTCAGCAAATGATGATCATCATAAAGGACAAGTGACACAGTATTGCTGAGTCTCTTGTGTGTTGGGTCCATTCCATGAAAATATAAATTTAACACCTTGTTCACTGTTATGAATTTAAACATTATGTTTGGAATGATGTTTTATTGAGTAATAAGTTATGGGTCAATGGTTTAGAAGCATAATTTTATTATGGTCGGATTGTGACTTTTAAGTCATTAGTATGGTAAAGTTAGTACCTTTTTCCCATATTCAAGCGCAGCCTGTTGGGAAGGCAGGTTTAGCCTCCTAGCAGCTTCAGCACACGATATGCACTGGTAGGCTTTCTCAATGCAAGCAGCAATCTCGCCTCTTACAGTGTCTAGCAAAGTGTCCATAAAGAGGGTGTAGCTTTCAGCTGGTACATTGTCCTGGAAGAAGTGTTTTGTTTATACACAATTATGAAACTGTGACTGCGTTTTTGGGGATGGGGAGCAAACTCATTTTTAAACAACCATATATAGAAACAGGCAAATGAAACACTATGTTCAGCTAAGAATATTTTTTTTACTAGTAGCCTAAGCTCTAGATACACATCTATTTTTAGAAATATAGAATTATATTTTTGAGTGGGTGTATATTAGATTAATTACAGTTGAATTAGCATTTTCACTATTTGTGTCTTATACATATTGCATTTGTTTTTAATATAAATCAGAAATTTAAATAATCTTAATTAATAGTTAATAGTGATGATTACATATATGTAGTCATACCTTAGCTAAAAATATTTTATTGTAGCTCCCTTCCATCAAATATTGCTCCAAAGCCAAGGGGTGTCTTATATATGGATCAGCTCGAATGATGTCAACCGAAAGGCGTTCTAATTCAGTATGGAACTCTGCTACACGGTTTTGAGAGAGAAGGAACAACAAGTTTAGACCAAGGAGTTGGTACATGAATGCTGATTCAGGAAGACAGGATCTGAAATAGGTAATACACTTTGTAGCATTGGAAATTGTACAGAATAGATAGATGAGACAAAAAAATATTTTCTTACAGAGTTGGTGTAGAAATAATCATTTGACAAAATTTGAAATAAAGATATTAAAACAACTTTATAAACTACCTGCATTAAGCATTACATATTAAAAGAAAAATATGTTTTTAATTATATATTATATCAGTTTTAAACATAAAACACCTAAACCCTAAATTTTTACATGCTGTTTTGTATAATAAGATCGTCACTAAAGACATAAATTTCATTGGATGTATTTAGAAATCACAAAGGCAGGCCCTTTGGATATTTAAAACAAAATTAAGTGCTTTACTTACTTGTAATCAAAATAATAACATTTGAGTTGAGACATGAATCGTTCGTAAGCTTTGACATCCTTTACAGCTACTGCCCATTGAGCTCCAATTTCAAGCACATCCCGTGCTAATATCAACTCTTTCTGATTAACCGTAGTATTATTGCTAGGTAAAAACGATAATTGGGTTAAAGCGATCTGAAACAAATAATTTATAACATGATACTTTACATTTTTAAACAAAGATTACTGTCAAGTCATCGTCATCTATTTACCTTTATTTTGTTCAATAATTCACCACATTTGTCAAGTTTTCGAGGTTTTTTCGACCATTCACTTTTTAAGTTTTGATATAAAGTCGCAACTTCTTTTACTGATGCCATTTTAATTTATTTTATTACAATAAGAACCACTGTTTAGCTTTACCGATTGAGGTTGTATGTACTATGTTGAGAATGTCTCGTTCTGAATTCGAATATAGAATTTTGTAGCAATGAAAAGATAAGAAGATTTATTTCACACAATCAAACTAGACTTTTATAACTTGTAGAGTATTTTTAAATATTAAGCAAATATTAAAGAACTTTAAAAATGTTAATGAAACAATATAATAAAACAAAGTAAGTATTAATTTTAAACTTTTATTGAAATACGGGCTTCAATCTGGACACTTATTTTAGAATAAGTATTAGAACGCACCACCATGACATTTCAAAGTAGAAATTATTATTGTCTATGATATGAAATGTAGAACTCTACACTAAAGTATGTTGCCTATAAGTACTATAATCTAAAGCCACCTATTCATGCATGCTGCATGTTCAGCTTTGTTTTGCACAAAGCAATAATATCGTAAGTCAAACCTTTGACCTTCAAACCTTCAAGAAAAGAGCGTACTCCTTCCTAAAAGGCTGGCAACGCGTTTGTGACTCCTGAGTTGCAGACGTTCATGGGCGGCGATTGTCAGTTTCCATCAGGTGACCCGTCTGTCCCCCTTTAACATAAAAAATCACATCCAGTTCGATATAATTTCTTAGTATGTATCTATTGTGTATGTATCAGTAAAAGTATGTACTAATCGATTACAGTTTTAGAGATTTTTGAATGTTACTATAAAGTCCGTGTAATGGTACATCATAGGCATTAGGCAGGTACTTAATCTTAATACTTACAAAATAAAAAATTGACTAATATTAAAAAAAACACTCAATTAAATAATTTGAAAATTACTAAAATAGAATATTGTTGTATAAAAAATATTCTATCAGTCAATCTAACTTTCATAGTATAAATCTACAAGCTCTGCTTTTAGTTTAAAAAAGGTGTAATTTTTCACACGTGTAATCACAGTGACTGAAATCAATCATTTCATCAAAAGAATATGATTTAAAAGTAGCAATAATTCCTATGTATACTCTAAACGCAGCCTAAGTATTGAGCTTGTCAAAAGTTCCAATATGAATCTGACAGTAAATTTGTGCGGATCTTACGTATCGACGGAAGGTGAAATTGAGGCAAGCTTTGTTTGATTTAAATTAATAATGAATTATATCAAACAAAACAGCAGGCGGTTAAACTCGAGTGTGCAGAGAGTGTTTAAAATGAAATAATGATACGGTGATACAATGTCTTCGGCTTCAGCTGTGGCGTGCCGTGAAATTTTTGACGAAAACAGTCAACCATCAGCCGAGGGTTTGTAATATTAAATACTATTCTTACATAGAAATTTTAGTTATTAGTTTTAGTTTGTTTCTTTTTGTTATTTACATTGGCGTCCATGACGATTATATTTCATACGTACTTAGTAGTGGTTTAAATAAAAATATCTAAACCACTACATACTAAATAAGATATAAAATATAATTTGAATAAATTTGAATTTACTGTTTTTTTTAAAGAGTTTACGATTTTTCTAATTACTATTGCATATATTAAATAGACCATATTTAAATAGAACAATATTTTGTAAACCTTATGAAATATAAATTTCACTGTAAAACCTTACATTATTATAATAGAGTTAATTTATTGAATGGTTTGATATGGAGTAAAGCGTGTACTGTTTAAAAATTCAGCCATGGTTTTTAAAGCTAAGCTATATTTGCTTAATTCTTTTATGAGTTTATTTCTTCAAACTAATCTGTATGCAATGTATTTAAGAAATCTCTGAATATGCTGCTCAACTGGGTATTGATCCTGAAAGTGAGAGTCATCTACTCCCATTGGCTCGTGATGGTCTCATGCAAGCTCTTCCAGCACCTTGGAAAGCTTAGTAAGTATTTCTCACATAAATGTAATTAGAGACTTAAATTCTATTTTGTACTATATTAAGTTTAAAAATATTATTATGCTCTATAATTTTAAACCAAACTTTTGTAAAAATTTAATTTACGTGTTTAGTCCTTTGTACATTAAGAAAAAAAACATTGTTCAGAACAGTTGGTCTGGCCTTGAATGTTTCACATCAAAATCAACAAACCTCATTATGAATAGTATTTTACATCTACTCGCTGCCGAGTTGCGAGACGTTCTGGGGCGGCGATGGTCATGGCTCCTCTGCCTTTCACATAAAAAAAACATCTCCAAAATACAATAGTAAAAAACACATCTCTACATTTTGTAACATCACCAAGAATCTTTTAACTCATTCAAACAATAAACTTTAATATGTAGTAAAAAGGTTTTTTTTCCAAAATAGTTTTGATGACAAGATACAATCTCACTACTACTATAATGAGGAAACTAAAAAGACACAATGGGAGCACCCACTAGACAGTGTTTACAAGGAATTGGTTAAGAAAGCAAGAGATGCATCTGTTGTGGATGATACTTGTGCTTCTGTACAGGTAAGTTAATACATTTTGTTCCATCTCAATATTTAGTTATTTTTATGCTTTTCTGTGTTGATTCCTACGTACGCATGACTGTTCCCTTACGTTTCTGTGTTGTCCTCTATTCGCTCAAGGTTTGCTGGAAGAAAACTCACTGACATTTCCTTGTAACTTATATATATGTATGTATGTATTCAGTGAATAAATAGAAATAGTTTCTGTGGTAAATCTTTTACTTTGGTTTTTTGATGATAGTATTAATATAAATAAATAAATAATAATATGTATGTAATAATAATTGTATGTGACATGACAATCAATGTGATACTGGGTCTTCAGAAGGTCAATTCTCGTAATACAAGTTCGGTCTAAATACAAGTCTCGATGTCCCAACTCTCATAAAAGGTATTTGCAGTTTCATTTGTTCAGTTCTTCAAAGTGGTGCTTTATTCATATAAATTTCTCAGATTTATATAATAATATGTTTATGGCTTACATTTATGTATGGCTATAAAAATGAATTGTATAACAATCTTTCAATATTTGGCTGCGAGCCATAACATTGCCAATCTATACAAAGTTAACCACAGAGTTTCAACTAGTCGATAAAGTAATACAGTTCTTATAGTTCTTACATTTAGATGACCTTAAGAATATTAAAAATAAAACTTTATTTCTTGTGCAAAATTCTGCTGTCCTTAAAATTTTGTATGTCCATTGTAAGGGCTTGTCCGCATAGCGATATTTCACGTCATGTTTTTTTTTCGCATAACTCTGACATGTGGGATCTCTAAAGGACAATCCGCACAGGCGGAAAAAATTCACGAGAAAAAAATATCTGTGATTTGATGCAAATTGAACGCGATACGGTGTTGATCTATTTCCGCGCTTATAAACACCTCACGGTGAAACGTCCCTAACTTGGTTTAGTCGACAGAGGCGGAATGTTAAATAAATAACACAAACGTTTATAAATAACCTACCGTGGGAGAGCCATGTTTTCGCATACATGGGCCGACTCGACTGGCGTGATACCACGGCCTCACAAGAAAATGGGCTTCTCGCCGAGGATTAGGCCACAAATCCGTTGGGACACTTGTGTGTCTTTAGTTGTGTCAATGGGCGCAGATAGTCACTTACCATCAGGGCCTCTATGGTGACTATCTGCGCCCTATTTTGATATTGTATCAATAGTCTGTCGATGGAATGTCGTCTTAATATTTTTGCACTTTTCGTGTTGGCTCCCGATGACTGTCGATAAATGTCGTCGATGTCTTAATAGTTTGGTGAACGGTACATTTATAAGGAAATGATATACTAATTTAGACCAGATTATTTTACAATGTTGTTGATATCACCATTGTCACTACATCGACAGTCTATTGTCACAGAATTTATGTTAGTAGAATACCGATATTTTGACTATGTCACTCAATAGCGGGCTTAATGGAATGCCTGTGGCTTGTACTTTAACATAAAATAGCAGAATGAAGCCCCAGGTCTGCTTCTTTACCATACCATATCATATAAAAAGGTGTAGTCAAACCTGACGTGCTTGATAAACCAAGTTTTAATCAGTATCAGCGAGTGAACTCTAATATCCTGTCGTTATTCACCTTCGTGTTTTACTTTACGATCGTGTCTAATCAAACATGTACTTACGTGTCCCGCATGACTGACCTGTTTGTTATGCTTTTAGTAAGCATAACATCAGAAAGTGGTAAATTTTAGGTCATATTGTGTGATAACATTATAGAGTAGAGCACATTTAAAGTAATAAAAGTAAGTTTGTGTGTAGGTACGTTCTTGACGATGATTCTGATTCTGGTTCTGATTTTGATTTTAATTCAAAAGCTAGATTTTACTGATGAAGTGTTGATTACTTATAACCGCGGATGGGACGCGTTTCGGTGGTTTCGTACTTCCCTCACGCTCATAATATGACTGTTTTTAGTGAAAAAAACCGGTCAGGTACGAGTCGAACTCGTGTGCCGAGGGTTCCGTACCTACCCAGATTTTACGTAGATTTTCGCGAAAGTTTATAAGTACCAAAATTTATTTTAATTTTCGACTTTTTTTATTTTTTGGAATTATTCCTTTAATTGTGCTGTAAGACCTTTCTTATTGCCGTTTTTCGTGATTCTGGGTCAACGGGAACTACCATATAGGTTTTCGACCCAAACCCTATAGGGTACTTCCGGTTGACCTAGAATTGTCAATTTTGGTTAAAAGCAAGGTCTTACAGCACAACTAAAGAGAAAATTCTGAAAAATAAAAAAAGTTGAAAATTAAGGTAAAAGTTTGGTACATACAAGTTTTCGTGAAAATCGTAATTTGCCCATATCTTTTTATCGTGTTGACTCAGGACCTTGATTTTTATACACCTAATAGGAACCATAGACCATAGTATCTGGTATAAATTTCAACTTGCTAGGTCTACCCGTTCCTGAGAAAATCGGTGGTGACAGACGGATAGACTGACAAGAAAGTGATCTTAAAAGGGTTCCTTTTTTCCTTTTGAGGTACGGAACCCTAAAAAGTTGTAAACTGAATTGTACTCTCTACTAACAGCCGGCCTCTTCTAGTTGTGCCCAGTCTGTCCCGTTTCCATACCCGAGACTCACAGATATCTCTTTTCCTTTCCTTAATAGCAGTCAGAGGAAGAAAGTAAATTGTAGAATTTACTTTGTGCCTCTAATTCCTCCGAAAATTAATACTCGTAATTCCATAGTAGGTTGGCCAAAAAAACTTTACCACATAACACATTATTCTGAACTCGAGTAAAATTTAAATAGGGCAAGCAGATGATGGTAATATAAGATGAGTCACTTAATGTATTTAAAAAAATATTAAACGAATAGTTTGATAAGCCCTCTTGTTCAAGGAAGAAAGTACAAGGTAGTATTTCCTTAGTACTTCCGGCCTCAAACAAGAGTTCTTTGTAATAAATAACACATCGGTTTTTTATATTATTTAATTTTCTATGCCTATTTATGTCTGGTACATATTAAATAGGTTAGTGTAAATGTAACAATTAAATAGGTACATTTGGTATCGATTTTTGTAGTAACCACTGCACGATCAAGGTTGTAGCCTAATTCACGCCTTGTTTAGACGTCTTTATGGAGCGATAAACGCAGTGTTACCCTAATTGACCCTGTAATTGAACAAACGAACGAACTTACAAATACATCTTCGTGTAGTATTTACCTTAGCTAATATCTTTTTCCGTAGCGTTGTTTAATTAAATAGGTACATTGCTTGTTTGATATAATATAATATAATATATATTCTACCACATACACACAACGCCATCTAGTCCCAAACTAAGCAGAGCTTGTACTATGGGTACTAGACAACTGATGAATACATATATACTTTTTTTTTTGTAAATACATACATATTATACATAGAAACACCCAGACCAAATCAAACATCAAATGTTCATGCACACAAATGTTCGACTTTAGCGGGAATCGAACCCGCGACCTTTGGAATAGCAGTCCGTTACACAAACCACTACGCCATCCAGTCGTCAACAGTATGATACAACAGATTGGACGACTCATTTACTTTTATTTTCCGGAGATCCGGAAAGGTCGTGGGAAGCCGTTGGATGCGGCACAGGACCGGATTTTGTCTCGAAACTTGAGGGAGGTCTAAGTACCTGAGATGATGACGATGATGATTATTTACTTATGCAAAAAATGCTCTCGTAAAGCATTTTTATGCCAATAATACTCATAGAAAAACTATGAGTCGTAACTCATAGTTATTTATTTGATTATCATTATCATCATCAGCCTATCGCAGTCCACTGTTGGACACAGACCTCCCCCATTGCACGCCGCTTTAATCGATTTTCGGCTGATTATATTTGTAATAAAAAGGATCTCAAAAGTTGAGCAATGCAAAACTCCAATAATCGTTCAGAGTTTAATTTTTTTTTAGATATGACGGACAGTAATGTCCGCAGCGCGTTAATGGCATCATTTCAATTCATTACAAAAATGTCTCGCTTGATGTGTTTTTAATGGACTTCAAAAAAGGTTCTCAGTTTGTCGTAATCTATACAAATAAATAAAATTGAAGTGTCTGTATGTAATGTCACATTAATAGGTTTTTTTCATGCTCACACACATATATTCATGATACCTATGCCTAAAAACCAGTTTAAATGTTTTTTGTCTGTCTGTCTGTCTGTTTGTTCCGGCTAATCTTCAAAACGGCTGGACCGATAATTTTGCACGGTCCGGGAATCGAACCCACTAACGCAGCGCTTTTCAAATTCCACGACGACGAAGTCGCGGGAACCAGCTAGTCTTTTTATATTACTCAAAGATAGCTGGGTAATTAGGTAATCACACCCTGACCTAATAATAATAGAACTAAGAAAGTATCCTTAGTGCTATCGTTATTAGTACCTCCGCGTGATTGTGGGATTGTGGAAAAAGCATCACCTATTTTTCTATTAAATCCTTACATACTCGTATTAATGAAGTTACCCGGCCGCGTCTGTCTGTCTGTATGAACGCGATTAACTGGAAAAGTACCGACCGGATTTTTGTACGGTTTTCACAGATAAATAGTGTCATTCCTGAGCAAGGTTTAGGTGTATAATTCATTGTTTTTATGTAAATTAACTGAAATATAACGTTTATTGTTTGTATAATAGCAGAGATACATTAAAGTAATGTAAAATACAGTAAATTGAGAATATCCTAAGTAGATATAACTACCTTCTTAATGTTAACAAAAAGGATCACGGTTACTGAAATCCACGCGGGCAAAGCTGCCGGCGGAATTTTAAACAGAATTAAAATGAAAATGTAAAATATACTTTTATTGAGTATAGATTATTACTTACAGATCACCATTTTAAGTAGGTTTTCTGTTAATTTCTATAAATAAGGTGTTTCTTAGGTCAAACTTTATAAATACTAACATTATTATAAATGCGAACTAAAAAAAAAACATTTACCTACGTTAATCATGACTTACCTATTTTTCTAATTTTGTTACATAATATGTATATTACAAGACTTTTTATATTTTATTAGGTACTCAAGACTTAAATTTATTTATTTATTTGGTACTTAGAACCTACTTTAACATCATCATCATCAGACTATCGCAGTCCACTACTGGACATAGTCTCCCATTGCACGCCATTGCACGCCACTTAGATCAATTTTGGAGCTTCTATTCTATTTTAACATATTAGCTGATTATATGACATTTTCGATGTGTCATTCTTGTTTGTTGTCTTAACACTCCTTTGTTCTGCAGGAAATACCAACATCTGAGGACTACACTAAGAACTTGGAACGCGTCGAAACCAAAGTTGAAAGCGATGAAGAACTTAGCACTGACAGTGAAAACCATGGCTCGGAAGTCAGAGATAATCAAACTTTGACAGGAGCAAGACGTCTCACTCCTTTGGGCAGACCACCACCTTCACCGTTAAATAGACTGGATAAAAAAGTCAGTGATACGCGAACATCACCTTTAAGACGTAGCGTGGATAGCACACTATCCAGTAAACCTGGTCTCATGAGAAATTCTTCAGACCGCGATTTGTTTAGTCGGCCATCGTTCGAAAGGCCAAAGTTACTTTTTAAACAACAGTCAGAGATTATTGACTTGAAGATGCATGTCTTGAATAGTCCGGAAGAAGAGAATTTTAGTCCCTTATTGATGGGGACGAAAATTGAAAAGGGATTGCCGCTTACAGGTGACTATTATTTTGATTATTAGTTGTATAATCGGCTTCTTTTTAATTTGCCATTTTATTCGTATGGAAACAATTGGTTAAAATTATTTGGGAATTCCGAGGAATATATCCCAGAGATACGGAACCATCAGCTTTGACGAGCTAAGGAGAACGAAGCTAAAGGAAAACGAAGCCCAACTTGAGTCTATTTAAATACGATTCTGCAACACTCAATATTTTTATATTGTATTAAAAACTGATTGTATATTTCTTAACTTGTTAAGAAATATAAAATCAGCTTTTTTAGATTAAAAAAAAACAAGCCATTTTCCGGCTTTCACAAATGACATAGGCGTGTTTCTTAGCAGAATTATTTTCCTTAACTTGCCAATTTTTAAGATTTCTTGTAGAACACATATAAACTTACGAGAGTTCTCAGACCTCCTTAATCCGCTCCTGTAGTAAAAAGCTACCATTTCTTTGTTATATAAATAATAATAATTTCTTATTTTTTAGGCAAAGGCAACATGTTTCTAAAGGCCTCTAAATCCGACCTTCCGAGTCCTGAAACAGAAAAGTCATTTGCCATGAATTCTGTTACGAAAAGTGATCCTCCAAAAGGAATTCTTAGAGAGAAGCTGTCAGATGCATTGCATAAAAAGGTTGATAGTATTTTTGTGGGAAAGAAGCAAGCAGCCAGTTTTGAAGAAGATCGGAAAAGCGTCAGGTAATTCTGTACTTACTGCCACTGAGCAGTCATTGAACTCGCGACTCCTGATTTTGGAGATCAAGGCTGTGTCACCGCTCCACATAGCTTATCCAAAATAATGCAATGTTTTTTGTATGTTTTGTAATGTGTATGGAGATCAAAAGTTTATTAATCTACCAATAATTTATTGAAAGGGAAGCAAAGATAAACAAAGAAGATAAGGTCTATAAGTATTGTATATTGTGTTAATATTAATTACATTGACAGAGAATAGAATTATCAATTGAATTAATTTTGTTAGTATTGACAAGAAAACTAACAAAAACAATTATAAAACTATTTTTACATTACAGATTCAAACTGGAAAACTTGGCTGAACCGACTTTAAGTCCAGGCTCAAACAGTTCATCCGAACAAAATGACGGTCAAAGTTCTATCATATCTGCTGCACCTCCAACCGTCCCATCTCCTATCATTCCTTCATCACCCGTTATACCTACATCACCTGTTATTTCACCCTCTATTGTTCCTTTAAACCAGATTGTCTTGACCCCATTAGCGACCCGCCCCCCATTGCCACCACGGCCTAATGATAGTCCGAGAGAAGTAAAGAGCTTGTCAGGATCTGAGAGGGACTCTGTAGGTAAGTGGCTACATAAAATATATTTTTTTAACATCCAAGGTATAGTCAGTAAGTGGATTGACAGAGACTCATAAAAATTATTTGGAAAGATAGACATTACAACCTTCTTTATGCTTTATCCAGATACCTCGTGTTCCTCAGAAAAACTACCGTCACAAAGCAACCCACCATCTCCAAGCGATCTGCCGTCACCAGGCGATCCACCCTCACCCATTCAAATTCTAGTACCTACTCCTCTACCAAGAATTTTATCTCCATTGAAACAAAAACCAGATCCGCTGCCTCCATTCGACAATAAGAAAACATCCACTGTCGACAGTCATAAAGATTCAAATAGTTATTCTGATTCTGATGGTATGTACCTATGTAGAATTTTATACATACCGGGTATTGGAGTGGCCCTCTTTAGGTGCAGTAATGAGAGCTCACCAGACAGATGAGATCATCATCATCATCAACAGCCTTTAACAGTCCACTGCTGGACATAGGCCTCTCCTTAGAAAGGAGGTTTGTTGAGACAGATGAGATAGTTGTGTAGAAATAGCTGTAACGGTTCTTTCTTAGTGTAAATAGTGTAGAATTTAAGAATGACTGTATAGAGCGTAGATTTGAGCTAATGACGTAAATAGAATCTGAGTACATCGCAAATGTATGTACCAAGTTAGTCTTTATAGAGTTAATTTAGATTTTAGCGTTTAAATGTTTTTTTTTATAGGATAGGAAGCAAACGAGCAGACGGGTCTCCTGATGGAAACCAATTACCGCCGCCCATGAACGCTTTTATCATTAACTTACCATCTCTTCGTAATCCATAAGTTGTTCCTGATAATTGCTCGTGTTAAATGTTCACAAACAATTTACTAGGGTGATGGTACTTAAATTGCTCTATGTATTAAAGCTGTGAAATAAAACATGTGACTGTCACAAGAAATTCTGTCACACAATCACTGTCACAAGAAAAAAAGTTATTAATGGTTTTTCATTACCTGTCAGATTCATTTTGACAGTTAATTACATAAGCTAAATTAAATGAGGTTAAGATAAAATATATTACAACTACACAAAGAGCTTAATGGATTCTGGCGTTTGAGATGTCGTTAGATTCATCTTAAATGTGATACTGAGTTACTACATTTTCACGTAGTCGTGTTTTTCGTTGTTTTTTCATAAATTACTTTTATCGATACTCGATTGATGCTGTTTGCTGTAGTTATAAATGTTTTATGATTATTTTACATTTTTTACACTTAAACTACCCATGAATTCGTCTATCAACAGTCGATTTGTCAGTCCAAAGGAGTTGCTTTTTAGCGATAACGCTATTTGTACATGGTCATTAATTTGATGTACTCTTGTATGTATGATGTACTGAACTGGCGTATAATAAAGTTTATTCTATTCAACTTAGCTTGTCATAAATCTTATTAAATATTCTACATATACTATTTTTTTCTGTGTTTATCTTTCCTTGACTTCTCTTTTAAAGCTCTCCATAGACATATATTTATTGCATAAAACTGTGTATACATATAGATGTTGTACATATTAGTATCAGAATCAAGAGTTACCCAGCTCAGGTGTTGCAATTTATTTAAATTAAAATTATTTTTTTAGAATCAAGAGAATCAAGTAATTGTCTCAGACTATAGAACACATTTGTTTCACATCAACAGCCTTTAATAGTCCACTGCTGGACATAGGCCTGTCCTTAGAAAGAAAGTTTTGGCCTACTACACATTTGTTTACCACTTTTAAACAATTTCTGAATATTTCAGTTTAATATTTTTATATCTACGGGAATGTGATTAAAAACACGTATAGCAGTGATATATTTGCTTTTATAGTACATATATGGTATTATTAATGTTGGTAAGTTAATGTTGTATTCCATAATGAACTAACACGCATTTAGCGATATGCGATATATACAGTCGTGATTTAAACCACTGTGAAATTGCGATTCACTGAAAAACCTAATTAGTTTGTCTTGCTCAAACAGTATTATTAGTATTAGTATTATTATTGAAATCGTGTTTCACCGTCACATCGCGTGTCTGTCATGTCAATAGATTGTTACTGGCTTCAGAGCTTTTTGTCAATATTTGTTCTATAACATAGCAAGGTTTTAGGACTTTTATCTAGTGTACACTGGTTATGTAATGTTAGGAAGTTTATGCCCAGTGATATTTGAATCTGTGTATAAAAAGATGGTGTTTCATAAACGTAGTAAGTGTATACGTGTGAATAACGTGTGTAAAGAATTAGGGTTTTTAAAATTGCAATTGAGTTCTATAAAAATAATGTATTTTACAAATGTTGTCTCTTAACACCTTAAGGTTGGCGAGACTTAAAAAAATACAAAAAAATATATATTAAATAGATCTTAGTGTTAGTCAGAAGACAAATTCAGATCGATTTAATATACTCTATTATAGTTTCAGAAAGTGACAGCCACGCTCCTCGCGGGACTTCGCCACGCCGACGTGTACTGCGGCCCCCTCCTGGTGATTACATCAAACCGGATCTATTCCAGAAGAATTTTCAGAAGATATCTGACTTAGTGCGTCCGGGTGATATAGATACAATTCCTGTTAGTTTGGAGGAACCTCTGTTTTTAGAAAAGGAGGCTAGACCAAGGTATGTATAGAAGTTATTATAATGTCAAAACCTGTATTCGTTTAGAAGGTAAAGTCCAGTCAGTCAGTTACACACACAGAAGAAATAATAAAGTAGAAAGCGATGTAGGCGGGGCAGGCGCGTCGAAGTTAAGAGCGAGTGTGCGTAAGTCACTGAAAATATTCGTACTTGCGTATTACTTTTGCCGGGAACGTAGCTAAATACTACTCTTACAATACAAGATAGAAAACCGTTGTGAACAAATCTATTAAGTCAGTTATACATTGTGTAATCAATTTCAGTACTAACTATATTGTACCTACGAGAGCACGCAATGAACTGCAGGAACATTTCGATACATTTTGCACGAATTTTTTTAGTAAAGTTACATTTGGTTTTGGGCATCTCCTTTCTAAGGAGATGCCCATGTTCAGCAGTGGACTATTAAAGGCTGTTGATGATGACATTTGGTTGCGATAGTGATGTAGTCAATATTATTTTAATCCATTTGACATCGATAATACAACAAAAATAAAGCCATCGATGGTATTACTTTTTGACAATGATTTTCAGTTTAATAGGCTGATTTAAATGTAAAATGTTTTTTAACCGACAGCAAAACAGAGGGGCGTTTTGTTTGTTCCCATATTATATTATATTTTAATGTACTTATATCGAAGATCATGGCATTAGTTATAGCGAAAAATGAAACGGTAATGTTACTTTTCCAAAAGTTTATACATATTTGTGACGAGTTGACTTAATTTTAAACCTAAAGTTGTGATAATTGACAAATAGTGGACGGAGCCGCAGCATCAGCTAGTATTCTCATAAAGTTGAGCTTAACTAAATAAGAAAAAAAACTTTAAAAATTAGATTTATGTAGTAACACTTAAAAACACATCCTACTTTCATTGCAGATCACCAATGATCCCACAAAAGAGTAAAATATCAATAAATCTCATGGAGAGTATAGAATCAGAAACATCAATAGATTCCCCTGACAAAGAATTCGCTAACCTAGATCTCAATGATCTTGACGAGTCCATTGATAAAGAAAAACCGAATGAGAACGTAGAAAAACCAAGTCAACAAGACGACGTCAGTTCCGAGAAAAAGTCCATATCCGATAAACAGCGATGTGATAATGTTCCAATACCTCAAATTAAAGTTCCTACTTTAGATTTCTCGAAGTCCATTCAATCGGATTCGGATGAGTCTAGAAAAACTTCAATTGTCGAAGAATCGAGATCAAAGTCTCACGAATTATCAATAAAATCACACGAAGTGTCTTCAAAGTCACCTCAGATAAAAATTTCACCGACACCGAGTTTAGGATCTGAAATGCGTTCGCCTAGAATTGACTATGGTAAACCTTGGAGTCCATTGTCTACCTTCAAACCTTTAAACAAAACAGTAATACCTCAGATAAGAACTTCGGACTCGGCATCTAGTTTAGGAAGAGGTCTGGCAAGTCCTAGGCTAGACGGAGTTATTATCTCTCAAGGAAAATCTAGCTCTGACAATGTTGTAGTGGTATATCAGTTCGAAACCCAGGAGGAAAATTATACAAAGCCAATTAAATCTCCTCTCATTCCCGATATGGGGACCAGAGACATGATAGAAAGGAACAAAGCAGATGAGAAAAGAAGACTGGAGTTAGCTTTACAAAAAGAGTTGGAAAGTATTAGAGTAGAGTGGTCAGGGAGAGAAAAGAAACTAAAGGCGGAATTACAGGCGGAGTTGAAAGAAGGCGAGGATAGATTTCAGACAGAAAAGAGAGTGAGATTGAATGAACAAGCGGAAAGACATCGCAAGGAAATGGAAGAAGTGAGTAGAATTATTTTTAACCTATTGATTACTTCCTTTAACATCTTATTTTACTATCTAACAGAACTTAAAAAAGCGAAAGGAAAGGAAATAAAGACAAAATAATTGAGAACAATTCATTACTATGTTGTTAACTAATTTTTATATAGATATTATTTGATTAGATTTTTTTTAAATGTAGATAGGTACACATCGGCAAGGTGTAGACGTAATTGGCAAATAATCTTCAGATTTCTACATTCTAAGAAACGTACATTTTAGGCACTCAGCACTGCGGAAAATACCCACAAACAGACCTTGGAGAAAGTAACGCTAGAGTTAGCAGAGCGATGTCAGCGCGATATCGAAGCGGCAGAGAAGCAACACATAGATAATATGAATAGATTACAGCAGCAGTGCAGGGAGAAGCTTATTGAGCAACAGCGGCAGTTGGAAATAGGTAAGCTATTAGAGATCTACATAATATATACCTATTTGCTTAGATTCTATTGACTGTTATATTGGTGCGCGATGATTCTTATGTATTACTTCTTTGATATTTTCATTTCTTTACAAGTTTACTTGAATATTTTTGCTTTAATACGTAAACTATTTGAAACTTAAATATGCAAATGTTGCCAGTCGTATTTCTTTTAATGAGAGTGTTACACATATGAATATAGAGTAAGCCTTGAGAAAAAAACAACCTTGACATTGTTGTTTTCAAAATTCTTTCAGAAATTAACAAATAATAGTGCATCCCTAATCAGTTTAGCCCTGTAAAATCATTTTTATTTTCTTACTTTAGAAAACGAACGCGCCTTATCAGATCTCCACGATCAACTTCAAGCGAACCTTGCAAAAGAAAGGTCGCGTATGATAGAGGAGAACAGAAATACAATAGAGTCCCTTAGAGAAGAGCACACGGCTAGAATCAATGATTTAAGACACGATTATAGAGCCGAGGTAAGGTTTTATAGTAAAGTATTGTATATATTAGTTTAAATGTAGTTTATAAATATTTCTAAAAGAATATGTTTGTGGCGACTTCCACATATAATGATAAATATACAGAAATATGTTTTTGTGTTTGTGTAACTTAAAACGCCCATTGACATACTATCTAACGAAGACAAAGAAATCTATAGAGTAACTGCCAATCTTGTATCACGCAATGGAAGTTCTCGCGCAGCAACTTATCAACATCAACTGTATGATCACCTTGCCTGATCGGAGGATTCTCCCTTTGTCTTGAAGGTACACAAAAAAACCGTTTCTCCACATGTTAGTAATTCAGGTTATAACTAGTTCATGTTAATCATTATAATCCTGCTTTTATAATATCAAGAAAATTACTATTAACGAAGAAATTACCTATGAAGGTAATTTAAAAGCTAATTAAAACTAAAGCGGAAATCTGAGCCACTCAAAAGGTCACCTGAAAATTTGTTTTGGCTATAGTAATCAGTACTCGTTCTAGGCTCCAGAGCCAGCGCTAACGGCACGTTCAACCAACAAAACCAGCTCGACCGGTTGAGTTATAACTACTGTTTATCTGACGACGCGTAACGAAACAAAACAAATGGCTTTTACATTGAAAACGTTAGTCGTTATTATATTGTTACCTCAGGTGGAGCGGCTCCGCACCCAACACGCGTGTCACCTAGAAGAAGTGCGGTCCCGCCTCGCGAGCGAGCGCGCCGCCTCCGGCCGCCTGCACGACGAGCGCGCGCTGCAGGATAAATACAAGTGTCTCAAGGAGAAATACGTCCGGCTGAAGCATGACGTCAAGGTATTCTCCATGTCTATGTAGCAAGATATACTGTCGAAGCAGTATAGTATTTCTTTTATGTATTTTTAGAAAAAAAACATTGGAATATTTTTTCTCCTACCTTAAACGGAGTTTTGACATTATCATAATTCAATAATTTACTGTCGAAATTTGGCTTTAAGTGAACTAGTTCATTAGATTTAATAATTACGTAATAAATAGAGTCACTTTCTCTGTGTCTAACGCAAAAGAAATTATCGTAATCTATTCTGTGCTAATTAGAATTTAATTTCAAATCTTCAAGAAACTAACTACTGAATTATAACATATTGCAGATGTCGATAGAACGCCGAAATAAAAGAAGAGAAATGAGTATGACTACGGGCTCCGAAACTGAAAAATCTAATTCACACAAAGCTAACCAATCATTAGAGAGGCAAGTATCTATATAAAGTTAATCCGTGAAAAGTAAAGAGTCACTTACTAAATAGCTTACTACATGCTAGCGTTCCTGCTTATATGTGCACGTACGTGTGCGTGTACTTGTACGTGTACGCATCCTTACACACACGCGCTGATATGTGGAAAATAAATCTCATATATATGATACTTAAAGACGTTTTCTCCAAATTCTAACTTATATTGTAAAGTATTGTCCAGACAGGCATTGTCTGATAGCCTTAGGCGATGTATCCTCTCAGTCCCCGCAATTAAACAATGCTTCAATCATCTGTTCTACAGATGTAAAGAGGTGAACGAAGTGTCGGTGACCGCAGTCGTGGAACCTTTGCCGCTTCGTGTGAACAACAACCCGACCGTCAAGTACAATGACAACGAAACTTCGTACTCGGAGAGCAACGCTCACAAACCCTTTGATAACAATAACGATGAATGGAAACTGAGTAGGGATAATGTGAGTAATTACACCCCCTAATCTTTGTCAGTAACAGTCTGATTTCAAAAAAAAAGTGTGTGGTAGCTCCGACGCACGACTGGAGTTTACTCCTTAAGAACGCATACGTAAAAAATTAGTGATCAGCCATCTATGTAAATGCAAGTAAAATAATTAGAAGTCACGTTATCATCATTATCAGCCTATCGCAGTCCACTGCTGGACATAGGGCTCTCCCATTGCACGCCACTTAGATCGATTTTGGGCTTCTCGTATCCAGCTCCTGCCAGCCGTCTTGCGCAAATCGTCACTCAACTTAGCCGGTGGGCGTTCTACACTACGTTTGCCGAGTCACGTATTAATAGCCATTTTATTTTGGGGTTTATGCGGGTTTAAAACAATTTGAATTTTGTAGTGGATTACTCACTAAATTGAAACGAATTGCAATTATAGAACAAATAACACCTCAAACATATATTTATTAACACCACGTAAAAGTAAATAGTTGAACCGCCATCACATAACATTTAGAACTAAAAAACGTAACGAGGTTATTCGATCACTAAATTTTACTCGTCATATTTTTTCATACAGAATCGATTTTCATATAAGGCGATTTCATAAAATCGATTCTTAAGGAGTAAACTCAAAAAAAAATTCCTGTGAACACGTGGGTGAGCTATGCTTCGGCACGCATGGGCAGGCTCGACCGGGGTGATAGCACTGTCTCACAGAAAACCGGTGTTAAGCAAAGAGTCGGGAAACGAACAACCCGTTGTAAGCAATAGTTAAGAGAATAAGTTAAATTAAATATATTTTGTATCACCAGTGATAAAAAACAATAAATCTGAGTATTCATGTGACTACGGCCATTGCAATGTGGTTAAAATGTCACTCAGTTCAAAGATATAGTGCGGTCGCGAAGCAGGAAGATTTTCGTACAATGACCTTTGTGCCCATTGAGAGAGGTCAAAAACAATTTTACTTAAAGTGCAAGTCCATAAAATTTGGCAGACTATATTACCGCGACGACTATAGATTTACGCGCGATCGTAGGTTAATAACAAAATGTGCTCCGCGACTGCGAAATTCTTTCATTAAAGCTGTGATCGTGGGACAGCCATGCTTCGGCAGGAATAAGCTGTCACAGAACCTCGGTTTTAACCTTATCTTTATTACTTTAACCGAGTGAGCGAGGTCAGGAGGCCTGACACTTCCTCTCTCCCCTTTAATTCCGCAGGGAGAAGACATAAATAGTGGCAACATACGTGTGTCTCTTAAAGTGCAGGTGTCTATCGGCGCTAGTTGTCACATACTATCCAGTTACTCATAGTAACTCATCTAGCTGCCTGTTTGCCTCCTATACCTATAAAAAAAAACTTACGTCATTGTTTTAATTTAAGTAAATGTATAAAATTGAATACTTTATATCTTAAAAAAATTAGTGCATCAAATTGTAATATTACATGTTAATTTTCATTAGAAATTAGGCTTCGCTCGCCTGATTATTGGAACGAAGTTAGTTATCGCCCGATATACACTCTGAGTGGATGGGACGGAGACCGAAACATGTGTAACAAGACTTTTTTCCGACACAGTTGGCTCGTTGACGCTCACATCTTTTTCATATATCATATATATAGCAAACGTCTACCAAAAAGCGAAAGGAATTTCGTTCCGTCCGGGGTCAATAGACCCCTCACACCATATTTTTCTTATTTCGTGTTCCTCACTTTGAAAATAACGGACTTTCCTACAACCATTGATCCCTTATTTTTTTTTTATGAAAGAGGGGGCAAACGAGATGACAAAATTTCAAGTTTATGGCCCCAGCCGTTTAGGCTCAGCGTTGATGATTTAGTCAGTCATTGCAAGTAATGTATTTTATAGAGTACTTAGGCATTTATATTTATAGATAAGTTTTGAGAAACTCATTTGTTCTAGACCTTGCCATCAGCCGACACGTCGCAAGCTTCAGCAATAAAGCAACAACGGCCGCACAGACGGACCGCCGTCGCGTTCAAGGAACCGCCGCGGAGACGCCGCGACAGGGACAATGATGCCGGTCAGTCTTGGATCAATCCTCACTTAATATCATAAATGCAAATGTGTGTTTGTTTGTTTGGCAAGCCTTCATGCCTTCAGTATTCAATCGATCATTAAATTATATCTGATTCCAAAATCACCAAAACATTGTATAAGTGCGTAGAAAGGCAACCACTGACTGTACTTTAGCCATTGTCCATTGTAGAGTTTTGACCGAATATCTAAATATCTTGTTTAATTTCATTGCCCAGAACAACTTGAGCAACCAATATGATACAGAAGTATAGATTTGTTAAAAATTGGTACAAAGAATTTTATATTGATACAAATAGCCTGTACATCTTCGATCGGCTCGATCCCTTGGCGTTACGTAGAGATGTGGCTTCACTTTGCATTCTCTATCGCATATATCATGGAGAGTGCTCCGAGGAATTGTTCGGACTAATACCAGCCGCAACTTTCCGCCATATTCTATCTGCGAATGCCTGTCAATACCAATGATGTTATTAGGCTTAGTTTCTAGAAAGTGTATTTTATGCTGTTGGTATTCCAATGATAATAAAATAAATAAATAAATAGTGCCACACGGCTAAATGTTCATTATCATCACCTGGATAGTTGGCGCTCCACTACTGTGCGCTTTTCGAGGCACTTTTTGCGCCGCACAACCAATGTCTGGAAGGGGTTATCAGCTGCAGTATTGCCGGACCGATACGACCTTCAAGAAAAGAGACTACGCTTTCTTAAAAGGCCGGCAAAGCGTTTGTGACTCCTGAGTTGCAGACGTTCATCGCCGGCGATGATCACTTTCCATCAGGTGACCCGTCTGCTCGTCTGTCCCCTCTAACATATAAAAAATAAATAGATAGATTTATCTATCTATTTAGAAAAAAAAACTGTATGTAATAGATTTTTTTTTCGCCAGAACTGATAAATAATTAAAACCTAAAAATAATCCAGGTGCTGCTACAGATTGCCAAGATTCCTCAGACGCTACCACTGCTGATGAAAAACCAAAAGAAAGTGTTAATGGTAAATAAAGCATATTTAAATTTGATATTAAAAAAATATATTTAAGCTATGGAATGATGTGTCAAGACTCATAACTCTTTATTTATTTCAGGCCATGGTCGACGTAGATGTTTTACAAGATTAAAATCTGCTTCGACGTCGCGGTTGAATTATTCACCCAAGTAAGTTATATTAAAATTTGTATAGCAAAGAAACATGAAAACAGCACTAAAAAGAGAAGGAAAACTTGACACAAACCCTATATTAACCCATCTGGCCAGCGTGGTATAGTAGGCCAAAACCTCTTTTCTAAAGAGAGGCCTATGTCCAGCAGTGGACTACTAAAGGCTGTTGATGATGTTGATAGCAAAGTATCTATTCATTTATTTGTAATATCTAATTCCCTCCATTATCTTTTTTTATTTGATTATTTAAAAAAAAGTGAATAAAAATTGTTGACAGCTTTCAAATTGATTTAAGATATATTAACTGACTTGAAAAATATTTAGAATCGTGCACCTTTATTTTTATTTAGACTAAAATAATAAATATAAAATTCAGTAGGGATATGCAGGGCAACACTTAAGTACCAATATCCTAAGCGTACTAAAACTAAAATACTGGATTCAGATAATTATTCTGAGTTTAAAATGAAAATGAACGCATTTATTATCCTCTAGACGCGGCGAAGGATGGTCAAGTCCGCTAGAGTCACTTCGGCAGCAGTTACGCAAACTGGACGATTTAGAAGACCAGTTCCCTGACCTGGCGTGCCAGCCATCTTACAGTTTGCGGTATCCTTTCGCTGAATTAGGTATGTTATAAGTTGAATTAAGAACTTCGTTTAAAAATATATTATTTTAGTTTTCAATAGGTGATTCAATAATTGAACAGAATGAGTTGTAATAATCAGAAAAAATGTCTTTCACGATATTTTAGGTAACATTGTTATGACCATGCAGGTTATTAAGTAGTCTCTGAGTTTTAGACAAGTATTTAAGTTTATTTCTGATTCATCCAATTTGTCTGGTTAAAATTCCATAATAAGAAAAAAATCGTCTAACTTTAACTTTGCTCTCGTAATAGTTAGTAGTTTGCTGACAACCAACTATTGGCCTTTTATTCTTATCTTTACATAGTATAAAATGAAGTCGTTTTTTTTCTTGTACGCTTGGATCTTTCAAGCTGCTTAACGGTAAAGTCCGTTATGCGGTTTGCACCAATAAAGAGAGTGGTTCCAAAGGCGGGTTTATATGTATAATAATGTATAAAATGTATAAAAATTGTACTAGATGAAATCCGAGAATTTCAAAGTTTTGCAATGTGAAGATGTAAAAACATGTTTTGTGCGATTACAAACATTACATGGCAAACGTTGGCTAAACCTTAGAGCGAAGCCACACGATGCGTTGACGGTGCGGTACGGCGCCGGCGCGGCGCCATACCGTGTCACACGACTTGGCGCACCGCGCTTGGCGGGACGGCGGGACTCACCGGGAGGGATAATTCATTGCGGCGCCGGAGTGACGACGTGCCGCTACCGCAGTATTGTTAGTGTGTCGAACGTGAATAATTGTGTGCCACAATTCTTTAACTATTTTTGTCATATGATGAGTACCGATAATATAATAATAGTAATAAAATACGTTTCGTTTTCCCCATAATCGTTAACAGACTGAAGTAACCCTGTCCGTCTTTAGAATTTATACGATGTCTTCCCTGACGTGTTTCTTATATGATTAGATAGATGGCGTTGAACTGATCATCTAAATCGCACTATAATATGTTAACGCTCATATTATATACGGTAAATAAAATTACATTTAGCAACATAGTTCTAGTGTTATATTGTGAGTCTTATTGTACCCTTGGAATCGTGTTAACCCTGTATACACAGAGTTATTGACGCAGTGCACCGTGACAAACAGCGGTGCACTGCGGTGCTGCACCGCCCTTGCAGAATTGACAGAAACAGAATGCCCGTGAATTCTAAGGTGCCAACCCTATACTTCGTTGGTCACACTGACGGCGCTGCACCGCGCCGTTAACGTATCGTGTGGCCTTGGTCTAACGAGATAAATCAAAAAATGTACCACGGCAAAATATATCTTAAAGAGATTTCTAACCATATTCGATGTCCTCGTAGATATTACTCGGAATAGTTAGTCACTAGGAGGTTATTGCACACGAATTCTATTCGAGTATAATTAGCGAGCGTGTATCGGTTCGTTAGGGGCGATGGGCGTGGCGGCGGCGGACACGGCGGAGCTGGAGTTCGTGCGGCACCGCGCGCTCGTGGAGCGAGAGGGCATGCGCCGCGCGCGCGCCGCGCTCAAGCGCCGCAGCGACGCGCTGCGCGACACGCACCACGCCGCGCACCCGCCCCGCGCGCCCTCCGTATGTACGCCCACTGCTCTACGCCTCACACTACACTCTATACACCTACACCCTACTCTCTACACACTGCGCTCAAGCGCCGCAGCGACGCGCTGCGCGACACGCGCCACGCCGCGCACCCGCCCCGCGCGCCCTCCGTATGTACGCCCACTGCTCTACGCCACACACTACACTCTATACACCTACACCCTACTCTCTACACACTGCGCTCAAGCGCCGCAGCGACGCGCTGCGCGACACGCGCCACGCCGCGCACCCGCCCCGCGCGCCCTCCGTATGTACGCCCACTGCTCTACGCCACACACTACACTCTATACACCTACACCCTACTCTCTACACACTGCGCTCAAGCGCCGCAGCGACGCGCTGCGCGACACGCGCCACGCCGCGCACCCGCCCCGCGCGCCCTCCGTATGTACGCCCACTGCTCTACGCCACACACTACACTCTATACACCTACACCCTACTCTCTACACACTGCGCTCAAGCGCCGCAGCGACGCGCTGCGCGACACGCGCCACGCCGCGCACCCGCCCCGCGCGCCCTCCGTATGTACGCCCACTGCTCTACGCCTCACACTACACTCTATACACCTACACCCTACTCTCTACACACTGCGCTCAAGCGCCGCAGCGACGCGCTGCGCGACACGCGCCACGCCGCGCACCCGCCCCGCGCGCCCTCCGTATGTACGCCCACTGCTCTACGCCTCACACTACACTCTATACACCTACACCCTACTCTCTACACACTGCGCTCAAGCGCCGCAGCGACGCGCTGCGCGACACGCGCCACGCCGCGCACCCGCCCCGCGCGCCCTCCGTATGTACGCCCACTGCTCTACGCCTCACACTACACTCTATACACCTACACCCTACTCTCTACACACTGCGCTCAAGCGCCGCAGCGACGCGCTGCGCGACACGCGCCACGCCGCGCACCCGCCCCGCGCGCCCTCCGTATGTACGCCCACTGCTCTACGCCTCACACTACACTCTATACACCTACACCCTACTCTCTACACACTGCGCTCAAGCGCCGCAGCGACGCGCTGCGCGACACGCGCCACGCCGCGCACCCGCCCCGCGCGCCCTCCGTATGTACGCCCACTGCTCTACGCCTCACACTACACTCTATACACCTACACCCTACTCTCTACACACTGCGCTCAAGCGCCGCAGCGACGCGCTGCGCGACACGCGCCACGCCGCGCACCCGCCCCGCGCGCCCTCCGTATGTACGCCCACTGCTCTACGCCACACACTACACTCTATACACCTACACCCTACTCTCTACACACTGCGCTCAAGCGCCGCAGCGACGCGCTGCGCGACACGCGCCACGCCGCGCACCCGCCCCGCGCGCCCTCCGTATGTACGCCCACTGCTCTACGCCTCACACTACACTCTATACACCTACACCCTACTCTCTACACACTGCGCTCAAGCGCCGCAGCGACGCGCTGCGCGACACGCGCCACGCCGCGCACCCGCCCCGCGCGCCCTCCGTATGTACGCCCACTGCTCTACGCCACACACTACACTCTATACACCTACACCCTACTCTCTACACACTGCGCTCAAGCGCCGCAGCGACGCGCTGCGCGACACGCGCCACGCCGCGCACACCGCCCCGCGCGCCCTCCGTATGTACGCCCACTGCTCTACGCCTCACACTACACTCTATACACCTACACCCTACTCTCTACACACTGCGCTCAAGCGCCGCAGCGACGCGCTGCGCGACACGCGCCACGCCGCGCACCCGCCCCGCGCGCCCTCCGTATGTACGCCCACTGCTCTACGCCTCACACTACACTCTATACACCTACACCCTACTCTCTACACACTGCGCTCAAGCGCCGCAGCGACGCGCTGCGCGACACGCGCCACGCCGCGCACCCGCCCCGCGCGCCCTCCGTATGTACGCCCACTGCTCTACGCCTCACACTACACTCTATACACCTACACCCTACTCTCTACACACTGCGCTCAAGCGCCGCAGCGACGCGCTGCGCGACACGCGCCACGCCGCGCACCCGCCCCGCGCGCCCTCCGTATGTACGCCCACTGCTCTACGCCTCACACTACACTCTATACACCTACACCCTACTCTCTACACACTGCGCTCAAGCGCCGCAGCGACGCGCTGCGCGACACGCGCCACGCCGCGCACCCGCCCCGCGCGCCCTCCGTATGTACGCCCACTGCTCTACGCCTCACACTACACTCTATACACCTACACCCTACTCTCTACACACTGCGCTCAAGCGCCGCAGCGACGCGCTGCGCGACACGCGCCACGCCGCGCACCCGCCCCGCGCGCCCTCCGTATGTACGCCCACTGCTCTACGCCTCACACTACACTCTATACACCTACACCCTACTCTCTACACACTGCGCTCAAGCGCCGCAGCGACGCGCTGCGCGACACGCGCCACGCCGCGCACCCGCCCCGCGCGCCCTCCGTATGTACGCCCACTGCTCTACGCCTCACACTACACTCTATACACCTACACCCTACTCTCTACACACTGCGCTCAAGCGCCGCAGCGACGCGCTGCGCGACACGCGCCACGCCGCGCACCCGCCCCGCGCGCCCTCCGTATGTACGCCCACTGCTCTACGCCTCACACTACACTCTATACACCTACACCCTACTCTCTACACACTGCGCTCAAGCGCCGCAGCGACGCGCTGCGCGACACGCGCCACGCCGCGCACCCGCCCCGCGCGCCCTCCGTATGTACGCCCACTGCTCTACGCCTCACACTACACTCTATACACCTACACCCTACTCTCTACACACTGCGCTCAAGCGCCGCAGCGACGCGCTGCGCGACACGCGCCACGCCGCGCACCCGCCCCGCGCGCCCTCCGTATGTACGCCCACTGCTCTACGCCTCACACTACACTCTATACACCTACACCCTACTCTCTACACACTGCGCTCAAGCGCCGCAGCGACGCGCTGCGCGACACGCGCCACGCCGCGCACCCGCCCCGCGCGCCCTCCGTATGTACGCCCACTGCTCTACGCCTCACACTACACTCTATACACCTACACCCTACTCTCTACACACTGCGCTCAAGCGCCGCAGCGACGCGCTGCGCGACACGCGCCACGCCGCGCACCCGCCCCGCGCGCCCTCCGTATGTACGCCCACTGCTCTACGCCACACACTACACTCTATACACCTACACCCTACTCTCTACACACTGCGCTCAAGCGCCGCAGCGACGCGCTGCGCGACACGCGCCACGCCGCGCACCCGCCCCGCGCGCCCTCCGTATGTACGCCCACTGCTCTACGCCACACACTACACTCTATACACCTACACCCTACTCTCTACACACTGCGCTCAAGCGCCGCAGCGACGCGCTGCGCGACACGCGCCACGCCGCGCACCCGCCACGCGCGCCCTCCGTATGTACGCCCACTGCTCTACGCCACACACTACACTCTATACACCTACACCCTACTCTCTACACACTGCGCTCAAGCGCCGCAGCGACGCGCTGCGCGACACGCGCCACGCCGCGCACCCGCCCCGCGCGCCCTCCGTATGTACGCCCACTGCTCTACGCCACACACTACACTCTATACACCTACACCCTACTCTCTACACACTGCGCTCAAGCGCCGCAGCGACGCGCTGCGCGACACGCGCCACGCCGCGCACCCGCCCCGCGCGCCCTCCGTATGTACGCCCACTGCTCTACGCCTCACACTACACTCTATACACCTACACCCTACTCTCTACACACTGCGCTCAAGCGCCGCAGCGACGCGCTGCGCGACACGCGCCACGCCGCGCACCCGCCCCGCGCGCCCTCCGTATGTACGCCCACTGCTCTACGCCACACACTACACTCTATACACCTACACCCTACTCTCTACACACTGCGCTCAAGCGCCGCAGCGACGCGCTGCGCGACACGCGCCACGCCGCGCACCCGCCCCGCGCGCCCTCCGTATGTACGCCCACTGCTCTACGCCACACACTACACTCTATACACCTACACCCTACTCTCTACACACTGCGCTCAAGCGCCGCAGCGACGCGCTGCGCGACACGCGCCACGCCGCGCACCCGCCCCGCGCGCCCTCCGTATGTACGCCCACTGCTCTACGCCACACACTACACTCTATACACCTACACCCTACTCTCTACACACTGCGCTCAAGCGCCGCAGCGACGCGCTGCGCGACACGCGCCACGCCGCGCACCCGCCCCGCGCGCCCTCCGTATGTACGCCCACTGCTCTACGCCACACACTACACTCTATACACCTACACCCTACTCTCTACACACTGCGCTCAAGCGCCGCAGCGACGCGCTGCGCGACACGCGCCACGCCGCGCACCCGCCCCGCGCGCCCTCCGTATGTACGCCCACTGCTCTACGCCTCACACTACACTCTATACACCTACACCCTACTCTCTACACACTGCGCTCAAGCGCCGCAGCGACGCGCTGCGCGACACGCGCCACGCCGCGCACCCGCCCCGCGCGCCCTCCGTATGTACGCCCACTGCTCTACGCCACACACTACACTCTATACACCTACACCCTACTCTCTACACACTGCGCTCAAGCGCCGCAGCGACGCGCTGCGCGACACGCGCCACGCCGCGCACCCGCCCCGCGCGCCCTCCGTATGTACGCCCACTGCTCTACGCCACACACTACACTCTATACACCTACACCCTACTCTCTACACACTGCGCTCAAGCGCCGCAGCGACGCGCTGCGCGACACGCGCCACGCCGCGCACCCGCCCCGCGCGCCCTCCGTATGTACGCCCACTGCTCTACGCCTCACACTACACTCTATACACCTACACCCTACTCTCTACACACTGCGCTCAAGCGCCGCAGCGACGCGCTGCGCGACACGCGCCACGCCGCGCACCCGCCCCGCGCGCCCTCCGTATGTACGCCCACTGCTCTACGCCTCACACTACACTCTATACACCTACACCCTACTCTCTACACACTGCGCTCAAGCGCCCGCAGCGACGCGCTGCGCGACACGCGCCACGCCGCGCACCCGCCCCGCGCGCCCTCCGTATGTACGCCCACTGCTCTACGCCTCACACTACACTCTATACACCTACACCCTACTCTCTACACACTGCGCTCAAGCGCCGCAGCGACGCGCTGCGCGACACGCGCCACGCCGCGCACCCGCCCCGCGCGCCCTCCGTATGTACGCCCACTGCTCTACGCCTCACACTACACTCTATACACCTACACCCTACTCTCTACACACTGCGCTCAAGCGCCGCAGCGACGCGCTGCGCGACACGCGCCACGCCGCGCACCCGCCCCGCGCGCCCTCCGTATGTACGCCCACTGCTCTACGCCACACACTACACTCTATACACCTACACCTTGCGCTCTATACACCTATACCCTACTCGCTGCGCACTCTACGCACTATACTCTATGCGAAACGCTTCACACATTGCAATCTACACACTACGTTTTTCACATTATTTGCACACTAGAATCCATTCGAGTCGATAAGAAAATAGTTACGCATTGATCAAGTTCCTAGAAATTATCGCGTCATCAAGTATCGGTCAGAGTGTATCGCAGGCTTGATCATTGCGTCACATTTTCTTAACTCGAATGGCCTATTTACAATGCCAATGCAGTAATTTCACACCGTGTTCAGGGTACTTAGTGACATTAATATTTGTCTTTCATTTCCTTTTTATGATGTACAGATATAACATAATTGATATGCTCGTTTGTAGTATTTATAGACTGTTAGTAACTAACCTAACATCTATTATCCAGAACATAAATTTATGAATTATTGAGTCTTTTATTAGGATGCGAATCATAAGATTAATTTTGTTCTTGAATGTGGTAACTATTATGTTACCAGGAAGAACGTGAAGTCACAGAGTTAGAGGTAGCGCTACACCGAGCACGGGCGTTGCTCGGCGAGAAAGAAATTCGGTTGCGACACATCGAGCGAGCTCTTAGACGACTTGCCGACACACATCCACCTCCACTCATACAGGTTTCTGAAGGATACCCGACTCTGCTCGCCTGTTTATATAGCTCAATTTTGGTTCGCATACACACGTTTCAAAGTATTATTTTGCCCTCCGCAATTTGGTTTCTTCGTTTTAATCGAGGATACGATTTTTAATCTCATACCCCTTTCATTTTAAGTTTTTTTTCATCTCGATGTGCTTTTTTTCATATTATTAAATATGCATTTATTTTTCGATGTCGTTTCGGAAACTTTCAAACGATTATTTTTTCTATATATTCATGTCTTCGATTTCATCGCCGTCATTTTAGGTTCCATCGAATCAACGACCTCATTATTAATTTTTATTCGCTAGCAATATTATTTTCGTTTAGCCGCTGGATAATTTCGCTGCAAACTAGAACGCCGTTTAGAACGTAGCAAGCGTCGTAAGCGTGCGGTATGTCCGCAGGAGGTGACCGCGAGCGAGGCGTCGTCGGGCAGCTCGGGGGGCTCGGGGGCGGGCTCGGGCGGCGCGGCGGGGGAGGCGGGGGGCGCGGTGCTGCGCTCTCTGCGCGCGCTGCACGCCGACGTGCGCGACATCTGGCGCGCACTGGACGCGCGCCGCCCGCACACCGGTACCTGGACTCACTTGTGTATTCACTATGTAACTGAATTGTTGTATCGTATAAGGGTACAGAGTGTCACCACCCCCCTCAATACCGTGGGTGCCGTAGGCGCCGACTAAGCGGGCAAACTACGCAAGACGACAGCACTGCAGGGAACCTGTCTGGCCAGCGTGGTACAGTAGGCCAAAACCTAAGGAGAGGCCTATGTCAAGCAGTGGACTATTAAAATCTAATTATGTGTTATGCTGTAAAATGAATTGGTCAATTTATCGAGCTATTTCAATAAAAGCCTAAAAATTCATCAGTTTCTTCTCATTATTATTAAAAACACACTTTTTCTGTTACAGCTTCCCCGGAAACCAGTTCGTGTAACGCAGCAACCACATCACAAACTCGAATGACCATATCGGCTGTAAGTAACTCTTTTGTAACGATATACTCGTCTACCAAATCAGTACTTTGTGTACAGTGTCCCGGACAATTGTAATAGTAGTAATATAGCCTTCCATTCCTAGACTCCTGTTGACATTCGAACCAACGCAATTAGTACTATTGCTCTATCTGTGTTTAAAGCACTAGAAAGATTCGCACTTAATGATTCAATAGGAAGTATACAACGCATTGTAATTATAAGTATGTATATATATATATATATATATATATTTGGCTGGGAAACTTTCTAATCTCCCGCCTGCTCAAGACAGAGGCAGCTATCAGGCATCCATCTCTCTCCTTGCCTGTATCGCTTCAACTTGCAGGCAGCTGTATTCCGTGTTGCTACCATAGAGATATCTCTATGGTAGCAACACAGGCTGTAGCATAATGTGGTGTGGGTTCGAACCCCATCTAGTATACTATTGTCTCACTTCTAATATAAACGTTTAGCTTCGCTGAAGGGTCAACAAGAATATTTAATGATGTTTTACCCACATTGCTTATATTCTTTTAAAAAAATGTGTAATATTTATATAATTAACTAATAACTAGCTATATAGAAAAAACTACCTTGTACCTTAAAGATCGGAAAAAAACTTGTGACGCTTGGGTTACTCTCAAGTGACCCGTGTATTTGTTTGCCCATAAAAAACCATACTAAATTGTCCAATTCAATATAATACATTCTTTGGACCACATCAGAGGAACAGCGGTAAAATATCGGATATTTTTAATATAAAACCTGTTTCCAGCCCGATCCAGTAGTTCAAGACAACTCAGACGGTGGAGTGGCGGAAAGGGCTCGCGGTCTCAGAGCCTGGCTACAAACAGCACCGTAAGGTAGTAATCATCAGGTACTGGGTTACCGTAAACCGGAGTAAGTAGATTCTAAAACTGTGGATATGTAGTTGCCTTGTCTCGAATATGAAATAATTTTATATTTAGAAGACAGCTGTCAGGACAAGTTTCGGGGGTATGTGATAGAGCAAATCTCTTTAAATGATAGGCATTTTTTTGATGTGTAACATCTTTTCTCACGCTCCCATTCATGTAAGAAAAACTTCTTGAAGAGGGACGGAAGTGTGTAACAGTGAGAATAGAGTTAGCCGTCAGATGCTTCGTGACATGTCAGATGTTACGCATCATATGCTGCTATTGTAAGGCTCGCTCGTCTTTTAATTGATAATATATTACGACGGGGTATCTGACATCACTTAAAAAATAAAGATTCCTATAATTGTATTCGATGAATTTATGTAAACAATACAGTTAAGCCTGTTTCATCTTCTGTTTTATACTCTTTTTAAACAGGAGAAAGAGAATGAGCTAACTAGAGCGGGGCAGTGAACGGAGAGAGAGAGAGAGAATGAAAGAGAAAATTAATTATAAATATTATGCATTTATTTGAGATATATTCAGTACAGTACAGTGTTCGTAATGTAAATGCATCTTCAGCCATTTGTTATTGTTTCAATTTTTCTGAAAGTGTGTCAGTTACCCTTTAATGGTAAAATTTATTCTATTAAAAATATCAAATGATCTAGCGACATTTATAAAAATGTATACAACTAAAAATAAAATAGATTTTGTTTTTTTGAAACGATAATTTATTTACCAAATTGAATTTGAATATTGTCTTACAATTAGCCAAATAATACATTTTTAGATGTAATTAGATACTTCTAGTCAATAATATAATAATAATAAAGAATGTGCTAGCCTATGACGTCAGTCAATATATAGAATGACTTGTATTTAATAAATTAATTTAAACATAAATAATAACCGGTCATAAATATTTCTTATTTTTGTTAATGTAAGCAGCAAGTATTTTGCTAATCTCATATAAAGAAAACCTACAAACAACAATACTGTTAACAAAATGTATACGTTCATACGTCTTTGTATGTATTTTTCTGAGAATTTCGTTAACACATCGTAAAATTTGTAATTACCTATAGTTTAAGTATAAAAGAACTAGCTGACCCTGCAAACGTTGTTTTGCTATTTACATTTTTTTTTTTTTTTTTTTTTTTTTTAATTTCTTAAAATCCGTTCTTAGCTGACCTCTACTCAGTGAAAAGAATATTCCTACCAAATTTCAAGTCTTTAGCTCTAATGGTTTCAGAGATATCGTGATGAGTGACTATATACGTGGAAATCTCATATATGTATATAGATTGCAGAAAACTAATTTTTACGTAAATTTGTTTCAAAGTTTCACGGTATAATAACATGAAAACGACTATTATAGAGTGTCCAGTATATATTGTATAGTGCTCAAACATTGTATTTGCCTATACAATGACAATTGCACTTATACTGGCCAATGGGATAAACCATCGTTTTTGCCGAACAAATGCGATCTCTGGGTTTTAATATAATGTGATACTATATTAAAGGTTTTGATATTATATCCCATCTATCATCGATAAGGATCTTGGGTTAAAAGGATATGAAGAAATAATTGGGTAGACGGGGATACATTATTTTCTATATTTGTTATCAGGGAAAGGTTAATAGTTCTAATTGAGATTGTCAAGATTATGTCAAAATATTTTTAAGTATTGTTTTTTTCTAAATATGTCTATCCTTTTTTTATGACCGGTAATTAAGAATTCTATCTTTATCGCACAAAACATTCCAGGCCAAGTGAGAGTAGTTTAATTATATTTAATAAAAATAATTATAAAACACTTGTATTGTATTGTACAAGTTCAATGCATTTATTTACAAGTATTTGTCTTTTGAACATACACATATTTTTATTCCACCGATTAATATTTAAAAATGTTGTAACATTAGCCTAAATACCTAAATAGCCTAAATACTATTCTATTAAAGTATTTATGTGGATTTCTCTTAGAGCATTGGTAAACGAGTAATAAGAAAATTGTATTTATTGAATCGGCATTATGACACTATGTATTCAATTATAGTGCTCATATGAGCATTCAATGAGACTCATTATTTTATAATTTATATTATTATTAAGTGGTCAATACTTCTTATTGGATCTGTTCGTTGCCTGTGGATAATGAAGCTTTAAATTTACGCATTAAACACCGCGTTACGCGTTAAACGCGAGAACGTAAAATCTTTCATGATTGCGTCAGTTAATTAATCAATAATTACCGCTAAATCGTTTGTCTCAGTTTGTCAAACCAAGTTTAAAGAGATTTATTGTGTTTCCAATATTAAATGAAAAGTTTGCGCCATTTAATAAAATAATTCAGCTAATTATCATAAAAGTTGAATTATTTTTTTTTAGTGCAATTCATACTCCTCTGTTTACTGATTCGGCGAAAACTGAATTTGTGGTCAAAATATAGAATCGAAGTGTAAAAATACTCAGAATACAACGTTTTAGATAATAATAATAATAAAAATGGTTTATTACCATATAAGAAGTATAACGTGACATCAGTGTCCTTTGGCCCCACACTAGGCAAGCCTGTCCTGTGGGTACCCGATTAAATTACATTTAATACAACGTTTTAGATAATAATAATAATGGTTTATTACCATATAAGAAGTATAACGTGACAACAGTGTCCTTTGGCCCAACACTAGGCAAGCCTGTCCTGTGGGTACCCGATTAAATTTATTTATCGGGTACCCACTCACACACACGTTTTATGACATTTAATTTTTCATTATTAGCTCGGACAACATTAAATGCTCTAAGAAACTAATTATATAATTAAGTAGTGTTTATCTTGGCCTCCATTGTAACGTTCGTACGTAGTTAGGTACTATTCTATTCCCTCGCTAGGCGGGCAGACTGAAAGATACCGATGTGTTTGAAGGGTGTAGAAAATTCACTGTAATTTTTTTTTATCAATTTCCTAATCTGTCCTATAAAGAGCTCGAGCTTTTGAAATAAATTCATTTTGCTGAGACGCCTTAAGCACCTAAACAAATTGAAATAATAACAGCGCTCATTTCATATTAAGTCTACTAAAAACTATCTTAGATGTACTACAAGTCCTACACATTAAAACACATAAAACGTTTTGACAAAGCTTTCATCAAACCATTTTTGTATTGAAATTTAAAACGGAAGAATTAATATTTAGAAGAAGAATACCGAAAAATGAGTTTAATATGAAGAACAGTTACAGTGAAGATTACTGTGAATTTACTACACTCAAGTATGAAGGCACTGTGATAATAACATTGTTAGGATCGTAATCGTGATTATCAAATTCATCAACCCATTATTGGATTCATTCACATTAGCAATGAAAAAGCACGTCTTTGGTCGGCGAGCAGTAACCCTAAACTATTAAGAACAGCCAAAGAAAAAACACAATGATTTGCAAATGACATGTTTAATTCCATTCTAATATAACATTAACTGTTTTTAAATACTTATATCTTAATTTACTTACAATGTATTCTTAAGACGGCCAACGACAAACATTTTCACATAATTTATAATCAAATATGTGTAAGCCAACATTGTGTGCGTTACCCCAGCAAAATAATGTCGAAAATTGTCATTTAAACGTTATAGATAATTAGTTGCTCCCCTTCTGTAATTGTTAGGCACATTTTTAAATTTGTTTCACTTAAACTTTTTAAGTTATTTCAAAAAAACATTTCCTGCTGGGGTAACGTTTGAAACGTTACCGCAGCCAGACATTTTCTTTTTTAATTGTAATATTGAAATAAATTTTAGCTAAGTAATTAGTTATCTAGACTAGGTAAATGTTACAACTTATTTGGTATTTGTATTTTCTTCGGCTGCGAAGTTATTCGAGATCCTGCTGGAGTAACGTTTGTGGGTTTGCTGGATCTCTAAAACGGGTAAGCGGATTGTAACCATCTTTTGTACATAACTTCTTAAGGATTAGTTTTTATTTGTTCGACAATAAAATAACAAAAATAATGGACCGTTTAAAAATTATTTAGGTAAGTATGAAAACACTTCAATACGTCTTAACACTTTAAATAAGACCTCTAAAGACTTACTTCAAACGTTATTCTATTGCTTGTAACTACCTTCAAATGTATACGAATTTTCGTAAGAATACTGTAAGTGACTAAAAAGTTATGATGAAATGTAGCTCTCCACGTTCACGATCACAATGTGTGCGGCCTTTTTTGGCCATCGATAAACCTGTGTGTGGATATATAAACTGAATGTTATGCCAATAATTAGTTGTTTAGTTCAGTTGTCTACCTGTAGAATTTCAGCGTCGTACATATAATAATTTACGAGATAATTAAATAAAAGTCATTAGAAGGTGCAAGTCCGTGGTAATCCGACCATGTTTAGGTGGTTACAAAAAAGCGATCACCCAGTACATTGCGCTGTCTTTTAAAATGTTTAGTGTAATACACCACACCACAGTTAAATACATTCAATATTTATTCATTATTATTACCTATTATTTATTTTGTTTTTTTTTTTCCTAATTGATCTTAAGCACTAGTTTCTTTACTTAAAATTTCTTTAGTCTTTTTAACTACCGGAGCTACAATCAACAGAAAATCTGCACTGGTCCGCTGAAATTATAAATATGTAGATACATGTATGAACGATTCACCTGACTGCAATAAATCGAAAATTTAAACCAATAAGAAATCGTTTCATTTATTTGATTTTTTTTGTAAAGAAATAACACTAAAGTAATTGTATTTTATTTTGAGTATAGAGCTTAGACTTGAATGCATCAAAATATTTAAAGCAACAAGTCATCTACAATAATTTAAAATAGACCGAATAGTAGAAAAATACATTTGTAAATTAGAATGCATCAACATTGCATCGCCCAACAGTCGTATACCCCGTAAGAGTAGGTAATATTGTTCTGTGGTCTATACCGAGAACCGAGAATTATCTATACCTATGTACCTACCGCTAAGCGTTGAGCCCGTGACTGTTGATTTCTGTTAAAAACGAACAGTTTTTGAATGATATTTTGATATAATAACGGTAATTTAATTTATCGAGTGAAAGTGATACATTTTTATAGATAAAATTATTGGTCAGATAATATTTGTCAATCAAGAATCGCCTATAATACGTCCTTCGCTAGAACGCGGGAGGGGAGGGGCGAAGGGATACTTCATTGTTTGCAATTTGCATCTAGTGCACTAAACTTGACCCTTAGGCAGATAATATACGTCTTGTAAAGTGCGTGTGCGCTTCCGCTTTCTATTTTTGCAAAAATAATATATCGTATTCTTGAGAGTTCTTCAATATGTGTGTACCTAATTACTAATAATGGGCATTAATGCTAATTCGATTCAATTTAAGTAATTGTCAATGCTTGTCTTAGGATATTAATTACTATTGCTTATATTGAAATTTAGTTCGGGGTGAACAAATTAAAAACGATCGTAACTTGTAGGTAGGTATATCACTTATTACTAATTTTACATAAATAATTTATTTTATTATAATTTAACTCACCGCGATTTTGTGATCAAATATTTTATTTTCTCCAACATTAGTACAGCCTAAGTCGATTCATCACTTAAAAAAATCCCCATCTATTCACAAAATACCTATTTACAACGCACACGTTACACTCTTCAAAACTTAAATTACCTATACCTACCCTAAAATTAAACTTCAATTAACAAATACTACACAGGTACCAATTATATGAACAACTATAAACAATTCACCTAAACATTACGAGAAAACAAAAGCATTCAAAACAATACCTAATCTCCCGGCTGATTACTAATTATGCAATAAACAATCCTAAATAAAAATTATTTAAAAAACATGTAGTTTTTTGTAACACTTATGTACATATCCGTAGTAAAGTTGCAAATAATATCCTACATATTTTAAAAGCCAGCACAATGTACTGGGTGATCGCTTTTTTGTAACCACCTAAACATGGTCGGGTTACCACGGTCTTGCACCTTCTAATGACTTTTATTTAATTATCTCGTAAAGTATTATATGTACTACGCTGAAATTTTACAGGTAGACAACTGAACTAAACAACTAATTATTGGCATAACATTCAGTTTATATATCCACACACAGGTTTATCGGTGGCCAAAAAAGGCCGCACACATTGTGATCTTGAACGTGGAGAGCCACATTTCATCATAACTTTTTAGTCACTTACAGTATACTTACGAAAATTCGTATACATTTGAAGGCAGTTACAAGCGATAGAATAACGTTTGAAGTAAGTCTTTAGAGGTCTTATTCAAAGTGTTAGGACGTATTGAAGTGTTTTCATACTTACCTAAATAATTTTTAAACGGTCCATTATTTTTGTTATTTTATTGTCGAACAAATTAAAACTAATCCTTAAGAAGTTATGTACAAAAGATGGTTACAATCCGCTTACCCGTTTCAGAGATCCAGCAAACCCACAAACGTTACTCCAGCAGGATCTCGAATAACTTCGCAGCCGAAGAAAATACAAATACCAAATAAGTTGTAACATTTACCTAGTCCAGATAACTAATTATTTAGCTAAAATTTATTTCAATATTACAATTAAAAAAGAAAATGTCTGGCTGCGGTAACGTTTCAAACGTTACCCCAGCAGGAAATGTTTTTTTGAAATAACTAAAAAAGTTTGAGTGAAACAAATTTAAAAATGTGCCTAACAATTACAGAAGGGGAGCAACTAATTATCTATAACGTTTAAATGACCATTTTCGACATTATTTTGCTGGGGTAACGCACACGCCAACATTGGTAAGCCAACCTGTGTATCAACTTCTATGTCTCTTACTATAGTTATGTTCCTAACAAAAAAGACAGATTTTCAGCCTTGGAAAATTTATAAACATATATTCCTTGATGTATGTTTATAAATTTTCCGATAAGATATTGTATATGTATTTGCTTGCAAGAAAATGTGAAGAATTTCTTAATAAATGTATAATTACATTTCAAGATATGTTCGGCAAAACGATGAAGTATCGAAGTGCCATTTTATTGCAAGCAAGTTTTATTTGACCTAGTCATATTTTACATATTCGGCTAAACCTTTAAGGTGTTTTTTATTATCTCGTTTAATGATACTTAGAAATGTTACGTCCAAAATTTATTTACAATTGTAGTCTCGAAGATATAGATATTTAAAGATCGATTATAATTTTTAATCGTGCACAATGATTATGGGCGACTTTTACCATAATATTATATCTTATTAAAATAACCTTAAATGGGAAAGGTCTTCCTTTTGGGCACGTTAGGTTTTATAACTGCACATATGACTATATTAACATCAATAACTATGTATAACAGAAAAAAAAACGTAATTTATACGCGTAATGACCAAATGCTAAAAAGCTACTCAAACTCCAAAAACATCCTTGTAAGTGACATTTGGAGACGTAACGACGTATATACGTCGTTACGTCCTGAAATGTCACTTACGATGCATTTGAGTATTTGGTAAAAAGTTATGTTAAATGTAAATCTTTAATAGAAGCCAAAAATAATAAATTTGATATTAAAAAGAAACTGGAGTTACGTTATAATAAACTGTTGGTCTCTATTTCTTCGTAACAGTTAATATAGCTTGTAAATAAAGTTTAATGTAAAGAAGCCGTCAAATTTATTAATTTTATCAGTCAATTTTAACTTTGTATAATATCGTAAACTTAACACAATAATAAAAATTAAACAGCTCTGCTCAAGTTTTGTAACATTCACCATATGTAATTGATATTATTTATATATTCACATTTTATTTATACCCACTTTGTAACTTCAGTTTTAGAATACAATCGTTCACAACGATAATTTGCCAAAATAAAAAAAATTAACAAATCACAACAATATTTGGTTTTATTTAAGTATTTGATCCTTTTGGTTCCATTGCCATCATCTCAGTAACAGTATAAACATTACAGCTGTGAACACCATGTTTGTTATATCTGAAATAAAAACAAAGGTAATACAAAAATAATATTAATATGTTTCATTACACAATTACAGGCACAGAGTATAGACACAGGATTCACTCTCCAAAATTATTTAAGTCAATAACGATTCTCGCTCGGACACAATAAAGTGCAATGTTGGACGCGCATCGCCGATTAAATACCTACAGATATACACCTGCAGTTGACTCTCTTTCTATCGCTTTTCTTATGACGAAATTGTCTGCTTCAAAGAATAAATAACCTTAATATTGAATTACCAGGAAGTGGTAACCTAGTAGGTTAACACATTGCAAAGTTAAGCAATCTCAGCCAGGTCAGTATATGGATGGGTGAGAAATGCTTAACATCTTCAGACCCCTCCGTGCCTTAGAGAAGCTGTTGCTGCCGATCTTCAAGATACATAGAGTTCCATAATTACTATCGTGATGTTTAGATGTCAGATAGTATTTTTATTATGTTTACTATTGGTGTATCTATAACGACATTGATAAAATTAAAAAAGAAACCCAGAAAGGTCAGTACAGTTTTGTATAAAATCTAGAATATTGAGTGTTATACCTACTTCTATCCCGATAGAATGCTAATAGATATGAGTCACGTGTGGTGACGGATTAAGAATACGGAATGTCACCACCCCTATTCATCCCGTGGGTGTCGTAAGAGGCGACTAAGGCAGCAAACTACGCAGGACCACAGCACTGCAAAGAGAAGGAAAACTTGAAACAAGCCCTATATCAACCCGTCTGGCCAGCGTGGTATAGTAGGCCAAAACCTCCTTTCTAAGGAGAGGCCTAAGTCCAGCAGTGGACTGTTATAGGCTGTTGATGTGATGTGAAGAGTCACACACTATACATTGCATAACTTTAATTCAATAAATAATTTTAGGCGCTGAACTAGTTATCTAAGGCTTCAAAAAGTGTGTTAATAAATGGCTCTCTTCTTCTTCGATCGGGTCGTCGTCTCCTCTATTAGGGAATCGCACTATGCCGTGCTTTCGAGTTCGTAGTGGCAACTTCAGTTTTCCCAGGAATTGTTGGTTCTCTTAACTATAAATGCACGACTTTTCCATCTCTCCAATGGTAAACGTTCGGGTATGTCACTTGTTTGGTTTAGTTCATTATATAAAAGTTGAATTACCTCATTACCTTTTATTCTTTCAGCTGAACTGTAAGTAGCAGAAGCTCCTATTGTAATTTTACCATCTTTACTGATTTCTGGTATACAAATGGCCGAATGTTCATCTGAATATGTGTATGACAGGACTGACCAAACATGCCACAGCTTGGACGTGGCGTTCCAAAATGTGCCAGTGAAATCTGAAGGTACCTGGGAAGGTATCAAATGTGTTTTTATTAACATGGGGTTATACAACAGCTATGCTTCGGCAACAGGAGCTGGCTCAACAGAAGTAATATCTAATAGTGGGATCATGAGAAAATTGACTCATTGGTAGGTGATTGACAGCGTAACTGGCAGCTGAGTGAGTGAGAGTATAACATTATAGTAATTATTGAGCTGATAGTAGTGATATGCACATGCGTCCGTATTGGTGCTGGCCATTAGTTGCACCCTATAAATTTAATTTGTTCCGGTGTCTGGTTGCGCCATAATAGTGGCTCAGTAGAACTTAATCCTTGACTTTTGCCGACTGTTCTTTTTTGAAATTTACAAACCTTTTGCTGACCAATCTGCCATACTAGCTGTGGTGCGGGCAAGCCACTTGAGGTGCAGTTGAGAACGACACGTCCTGAGTCTACATTTATTGGTCCTTCTTGAACAACAGCGTCCGTAGGCGGCACTGTAATGTAAATGCCCATAAAACGCTACTTGAGAAAGAGTAATATTTATCTTAGTCCAACTTAAAAGGTATTCGCCCGCATAAAAAGGTTTAGGTAACGTTTAAAGATACTTTTTCTACGACTTATGACTACATATGTTTCTCATACGGAAAACAGAAGCTAGATTTAAGTGAAAATAAAATGATTATAAATAATAGGATTTCTAAAAGATCTCACCAAATGCATTAATCAGAAGATTTTCCTTCCGCATCATAAACTTCGGTCTTTCGCCGGACACCTCGCAACTGTAGGTGAAATCTTTGGTCATTGGTTGGTACAACTCGATGGTCAATACACAGGCACCTTCCACACCTCTAGCGTTTCCTTTAGTGCATTCCACCAACATCATATCTTCTGGACGTCGAAATACTTGACTGCGGGTCTCACCATTGGCCTATGAAAATGTAACAATATTGTATGTCTTTTCTCTTAACAGTCATATGTATATCTGCTCACTTATTCATTATCTCTGTATAACTGAATTCTAACCGCCAGGGCTTCCATTTAAATGAATGGATCATTAAGGCACTTTAATGTTGCAGCTGGCAATTTGTGCCAATTATTTTTTTACATTTGAACTTTAACTCTTCACAGTAGGTATATAGTAAATATGACCGGACGACTAAGAATTTAGTCCTTGGAAGCCAGTACGTTGCAAATAGAAGTTTTTTTGGAAAATAGATAGACATTTGAAACGAACTGGTTAGGTCATCGGTCCCAGTTTCAGGAATGCGTGGATCGAAAAACATATTACCTACGACAAATTTAACCATGTATTTATCCTTACAATTACTATTTTGAAATAATGGAAACTTAATGTTTTATAAAACTAGTCAACAAGGGTCCCCATTAGTAGCTATCATAAGCTATAATATCATGCGTCAGCTGATAAAGAAAAAAAGGTTCCAAACCCGACTATCACCATCCGCTAGTAGTTTTGACTGCAGTCATAACAAAGTTCTAGTTACTACTGCTGCTAGTTCCAGACTGTTCTACTTTTGGATAATGTGACGGCAAGTATGTACTAACAATATTTAGTGCTAGAAACTTTATGGTCTATTGTACCAAAACCTTTTCAATTTCTTCAAGCAGGTGGTTTTTTTCACGAAATACCATGTTACTAGTCTTTAGTTTGAGTGTGGTAAAAACGTAGGTACGTCTCGTAGAAAAATCTGATCTGGTTATTGAGATGCCGTGTCACTTATAATTTCCTTAAAGAGTAGTCATTTTTCGCACATGTCCCACGTGATTTCTTAAGATTTTTGGCATATTTATTTTGGATAGTGTCGAGAATCAAACCTCGATCCTCGACATCACGGTTTGCCGGTGCTTACAAGCGGCTGAACCGCTAGCAAACGGCGTGCGGCGCGGGTGACGGGGAGGCAGCGAGAAGCGGGGGCGCGGACGCACCGGCTCGCACCAAGCTATTATGTACTTCCACTCGCTTTATATACTCGAACGGGATCACTGCTCCTTCAACGTACCCCTAGTGAACATTAAAAACCAGCGCAACATACAGTCCCCTTTTATTTATCATCTAACATCGAGACCTTAACAGATAGTAATGCGCATTCAAAGCATCGCTGTCGTCTACTTGACCTCGAAGCGTCACGTGGTACATGTAATATTACTTAAGGTATGACTGGTGAGACTTAAAGGGCGCCAAGAAAATTGTTATTCTGAAGCTTCAGGTGTCCATGTAGGACGGTAGTCACTTACTATCAGGTGATCCGTATGCTTGTTTGCCCCTATACCATAAAAAATGTTCCACGTGTCTCTAAACATACGCGCACTGCTTTCGTGCGCTTTCGATATAATTCGATATCAATTTTCGTGTGACTAGTTTGATCGTTTCAACTGCTGATTTATATTCAAATCAAATTGCCCAGTTCAAAACAGGATTGGATGTATCGCAGAACCAGTTGAATGAGCTAGTGAATTATCTGTGTGCAAGAAAAGGATAGAACTGATGACTACATGATTGCTAGAAATCAGTTTGAACGGGTAAAACACAGTGCTCACTGAGTCTGCCTGTTTTTTGAGCTCGCTTTATCTAATTAAAAGTTAATTTAACAAAAAGAAATAAAAAAGTTTTCACAAAGTAATACAAAAGGAAAGATAAAAACATAGATCTTTTATGTCATATCCAGTAGGTAGTAAGAAGATTACTATCTTCCTTCATTAATACCTTCAAATCGAGTTTCGATGTTTCTAGGCACTATGTTTAAACGTTGTGAGACCATCAATATTTAATCGCCTAAACTGCTTTGTTATGTCCATGTCGCTATTTCGATTGTCAGATGCATAAACGATTTTAGTTGTACGTATGGATTTAGTGTTATTTATTCAGTGCTAGCTATGTTTAACTTACGCCAGTTAAAACTAGTCAAGTTTAATAAATGTTATCATTGTAGGAGTATAGGTTCAAACAGGAGGTAGTTGTCATAGATAAATGAGGATCAAGTGTTGCAAAAATTAACATTCTGTGTTATAAGTGTGTGTGTTTTATGTCCACAAGATTAGTTTTTAATTTAGTACATTATCTTCGGTGGTAACTCAATTAATAAAGTGATGGTCTTGAAATTTCAAAAACGAAGTATAAGAGAGTTTGGATCACAAATCACATAAAATATTAACGCTACCATCACTATACATCTACGATGTTGCTGTATTTGTATCTCACATCTCTTTCGAAAAATGTCCGACGTCACTATACGCAATCGCCGTGACAATAGTAGGTTATGTATGCACACAGCAAAAACGGCACTACTTAGCAAGATCGTTTTTTGTATGGCTCCAAAAATTTACAATAAAGTACCTAATATAAACAAGGATCTTAACGTTATCTTGTTTAAACGTAAGTTAAGTAACCTTTTGAGTACCAAAATTGTGTAGATGAGTTCCTTAGTGATAAACATTTAATTTAACTTTTCTCAGATTGAAATATTTTTCAGGTTAATTTTCTGTTTAATTTAATGATAGAAATGTGTGATTAAAATTTTCTCTACTACCACTGCGATTTAATTTAAGAACTATATAATGTGTAGAATAAAAAGTTATCAATGAATTTATAATGAATTAATAAATAATTGATCTGTATTATTATAAGTTCATTGCATTAATTTGATATCTTATTTTTTTATGTTATTCTATAAGGTATGCAGAATTTTACAAGTGTAGTGACACACTTGTATAATTCTGCATGCCTTACGGTAGAAGCACTTCTAACATACCTATAATTTTATAATAGAATTGTAACAGTGTTTTCTGCGAATTAAACAATTTGAATTAGTGTTACTGTCTCTTTCGTATACCCAATTCAATATTTATTTATTCATCCATTTCATTTATTTAGGACGACTTAGAAAACATACACTAATACATAGTTTACAAAAATGTGCTGAGTGTTGTCTTACTTACAAGTTGCCACGGCATGGTAAGGGACAGTTACATCTAGGATTATACAAAGCAATATCTATAATAATATACAAAACATACAGAACATCGTCGAAATTAATAAGAGACAGTGATGCATTTAAAGTAGACTTGCAACGAATATTCGGTTACTATTCGGTATTCGGCCTATTCGGCTGCTTTTATTATATTCGGCCGAATACCGAATATCTACATATTATTCGGCCGAATACCGAATACTTAAATAATATATTTTGTCATTGAGAAATAATTGGTAAAATGAAAAATTAAAATCGATTGATTACGTATATATTCATATTTTCATTTCTGTTTTAATCATTTAAGTAGTCATTGGTGCATAACACAGGTACATAATCATCTTCTGAATAGGAAAAATGGAGGATTCTATGTATTTGAATTATTGTGGTAATCAAAATTTAGAAGTGGTCTAAGAAGGTCTAAATGACGAATGATAACAAATCGGTGTTGTATGTGATTTAATCAATCACTTGAACGAATATAATTTATCTACTTAACGAATAATTGGTTGTGTGAGTGAGCTTTGTAAAGTAGTTAAAAAAAATAAAAGCCGTGTGGTGTCGTGGGACACCCGATAGGAACGAAGTTGTAACGATCGAGTAAAACTGATTCGGCACATTTTAATTTCAACGCCATCTATGAAAGCGGCTTTTACCTACATATTTTTCAGTTGGTTTCTAATTAAAACAATTTATACATTGGAAAAATCTCCCTGAGAAATGATTTCCTATCTATTCGATAGATAGCGCTGAATGACTGACATAAAAAGATAGAAATGAAAATGTCTGGCTTGCTTTCTATAAGAGAGAGAGAGACACACAGAGAAACATGCGACGCCGCACAGCTTACAATAGCTTACTATAGCAAAAAGCGTCGTGATTCAATTTTCGTAAGAATTTTTTCCTTTGACTTGATAACGATCGCTCAAAAGGCCAATTCTCGTAATAAAAGTTCGGTCACAATTCAGTTTCGATCAACTCTCGATCTCACAACTGTCATAGAAGGTATAGTATTAAAGATCGAACGTTGACTGTAATGTGATAATATCGTATTGTAACCGAAAATTGAATCGGTAATCTGCTAGTCTTAGTAATACTACTATATAACTTTTATGACTGAATTTTGACGGAACTTTTATTACGAGAATCGCCCTTGTCTGTTGATTCACTTTTACCCTAGAGTGTATTAATTTTTATGCATATTAGTACCCGTAGCCCAATAAAATAAAAAAGTTTGATGTCATCAATCATGAAATTCTTGTATATGGCTTTGGACGCTTAAATACAGGTAGGTATTACTAGTTTTAAAATAAATATTTAAATTGGTAGTTAATGTTAGAAATTTCTATTATGGTATAGGAGGGCAAATAACCAGACGGTAAGTGACTACCGACACCGCTACAAGTGTACCCCAGAATCTGGGGGAGAGAAATAGGATTGGGCTCCGGTGGCCTCACTCACTGAAAAGCAACGAAACAATTGCTCAATACCGGTTTTCTGTGAGGAAGTGGATGTTTTCTACTGTCTAAATTGGTATCCGAATTTACGCGCCCATAATACTCTCCTACTAGACGCAACATACACGCGTATTATGCGCGGGTGATTCGCGGCAAATTTGTCTTTTCTCGACAAGGCCTTATGGACAAGCCCTGAGATGTCCCTCTTCAATTACTATTTTCCGTTAAACGTAACTAGATGGGGTTTTTTAAAACTTCTTAAAAAAATATTTATGACTGATATTGGGTTTCAATGGGCTAAAAATGGATCAACTCACTCAAAATAGCAAGGTACGACTGGTACGAATAATATTTTAAGCCCCAATAACCCTATAAATAGCTTATATTATTTTGGATCATAATGAAACCTAAATGGATCAGAATGATTAAAACTTTGTTTACAACACCAAACATCCTGTAGACGTCATCTCTTTTGTCGGCTGTTTTTTAATTACGCTGGATTAGACTGTTTTGAACGTTATTCGTGTAATTAATTTTGAGCAGTTGTTTGTTACATTGTACCTATTTAAAGTCACATTCGCGACTTTGAACCACTAAATAATATTAATATTTTTGGACACATAACACACAACGTTATTCTAGCAACGCTAATCTAGTTTCAAACTAAGCAGAGCTTGCTACTACTATGAAAGCTAGATTGACTTTACTTTTTCGTAAATATATACATATTATACATAGAAAACACCCAAACGCCGAAACAAATATTTGCAGATCATGAAAACATTTGGTCCGACCCGGGTACCGAACCGGAGACCTCAGGACAGCAGTCGCATATGCTACAACTGCATTAGGCAATAAATGGAATGATAGATTCTAAGTTGTTTTCAACTTTAACGATTGATTTTACAGTAAAATAACTCATTTACAATCACAATATTTACTTAAAAGACAATAATATTGAAGCGTCAAAAAATAAAAAAATAAAAAAATTGCATTGTATATTTGATGATCATAAGGATTATCTGTGTATGTGTCTGACTTGATCGAGAACGTTTTAGCTACAAGTAATATAATCCAAGATATTCAAGATATAAATTAGCTGTATAATTCAAGAAAATCCGATATGATATCTGATCCGATTCTGAGAATTAATCGTTTTTTTCTAATCGTTATATTTATTTTGGAATCCGACTTTTTAAGTTTATAGCCGGTTGTGTATTATCACGTTGAACAGGCTTGGCTTATCACAGATTTTGTGATATGAGTTTGAAATCGAGAATTAAAAAAAAAAAAGTTCGCTCATCGTGTAAAAAATGTGTTGCAAAACAACTTTTGTTCTTGTTTCCTATAATCCTTTGGTTATGCCCAAAGGATTAATAGGAATAATAGTGAGGCATCGATCAAGTCCCGCACCCTAACCAATCAGGTTCCAAGCTTTCGTACGAAACGATTATTTCCTGGAACCTAATTAGTCAGGGGGCGGGGCTTGATCCATGCGTCACTATTTTCTTATGGGCTATAGTATACATTGACGTTAGGCGGGCCGTATGCTGTTGCCAACTTAGTCCTATTAAAGGATATGGTAAGGCTTTTCGCTTACCTCTGGTCTATATATCATAAACTGTCGCTCGTTATCGTACAGCCTGACCGACTGTAGTGTGTCGTTGTCCACCAACTTCCATCGACATGTGATTATCCATCCAATATCTGGTTTCCATGTACTGTCCATTTGTACGTCTATAACTTCTTTACCGCCTACTAACACTGGAAATATATGATAATAAAATTAAAGGGATTATTTGTAAACGTAATAACTGCTTTTCACTAAATGCATCCGAATGTTTAAACGACACTTACACCAAAAGATAATCGTATTTTTTTGTAATTTGTCTTTTATTTGTTTGTATTTCTGGACTAGGTGGACAGATTTTTGTATAGTAGTAACTTCGACTACTTTTATTTAAAAAAAAGGTAAGGGTTCCAAGTAAAAAAATATAAGTATGTGTACACGCGAGTGAAGCGATGTCAAAAGAATGAATGGATTCTCATTTAGCCATCTTTTAAGTCAAAGTCATTTCCTCATAAAGTAATGGCGGCGGAAATTCACTATTGCTTCTGACTATTACGACTTCCAGATAGAGGTTTTCCGCGCTCAATCGTTGTTAATACAGAAAAATGCCTGTTAGCTTGAACAGCTCAAATAAGGCGTAGTTCTGTCTAGAAAGTTCTATATAACCTTACTCATCTGGTTGGAACCATACCATATACTTAAGTGAAGATAGTTTACGACGTACAACGAAAAAGAGATATCAATACCATCAAACTACATCTATTAAACCTGCATTGGGTAATGATTGTTTTCGAGCCGATTAGTATATAATACAAATTATCAATGTCATTACTGGACTGTGGTTCACCAGGCATATTCACTTCGCCTGATCAGAGTATCCTACCTTTGTGGATGAGGGACATAACACCCGTTTCTCTACATTTTATTACGATCAAATAAAAAATACGCTTTTGCTTTTAAACATAATATATATGTAGATTACAAATTAAGCGGTTAGGTACTGAAGTTTTTCAATGTCAGTTAACATCATGCTTTTAAATCATTGTTATGATCGTTATTAGGTTCTACGAGTATAAGTAATTGTTCATTTAAAACAAAATTAAACCATTAATCAGCGGAATGCATGGTCTACCACTTTAAAGGGTAAAGTCACGCAGTGCAATGTTATTTAAATGCAACGTCATTTCAATCTTGATAACTCAAATGTGATTAAATTTTGTTTTGTATAGAAAATTATTGTTTTACTTCATACGGCCTTTGCAAGTTGTATAAGGGTTCTTTGGTTTATAAAATAGCTAGTATTAAACGTAGTTATTACTACGCTATATTGAAAATACTTGGTAATAGTTTAATTGTGTGTTTATAAAGGGCATTAATGAGGTAAACAATATGCCTTAAAAATTAAATATAAAGGCTACGTCATGCTACAAATGCACGGATGGCGCAGTGGCATAAGCAGTCGCCACGCCGCTCACTACTACGCTGAGTGCTGTGGGTTCGATCACATGGGACGACACTTTGTGTGATTCACAAATTGTTGTTCAATCATATCACAATCATGTATGTTTATAAAGTCCCCCGCGACACAGGATTTATTCCTAGTACGGGAGTTGTCTTTAAAAAAAAAAAATATACGTTTTACGGTCCCTTATAACTATACGTCCAGTATATACGTTTACCTTACAGAGTACACAAGTTACAATTACAGTTTAATAAACAAAAAATGAGTTGTGGTTATAATTCGATCACCATGGGATCTCTATTTTAAATGAAGTGTTTGTGTTTATTGCGAGTCAAACCCTAATCTGAAGTTTTGTCTAATCTGAAATTTTGTCTTAAAATGTCAATGCCCTAAAATATATTAGGGTGGGAGAATTGCTCCCACCCTAATATATTATAGGGCCCGTATGTTGATTACAGTTCTATTGTTGTTGTCAAAAAGCATAATATTGCAGGATCGTTGGTTTGATATTTGTTAACAATCGTGCTACATTTTCGTCAAATTTGTTTAAGTATTTTTAGAATAAGTTGAACACTGCTGCCACATATACTGAGGATCTGAAGACTGTTAAACTGTACTGGAGCAGTGTGGTTTGGGAGACGGTTGTGATGTAGCGGTTGATTGATGTCTGGGAAATAAAAAACACTTTACATTATGATAACTATTCTTGTTCATAAATATGGTCTAGTAATGTAATAGTATGAAAATGCATAGTCTGTGTACCAGGTACTGTATTTTTTTACAAAAGAACCATTAAATAAGCTAATATCTATATATTTTATGAATGCGGGCGAAAACAGAGACGGAAGTAATCTTTCATCGGCAATTGTTAACCTATCCAAAAGCACGTAGCAGTGCCGAAAGCTTGTTATGTTTTATATTTTTAAATTAGACAAATTATCTAGTGGAAGGGAAGCGGTCTCCTAATTTCAGTTGTTCGTTACGAACTTCGATTGCGTCACTAGCTTGTCAGTTACAATTAAGCTAGCTAAATGTATTCTGAGTTTGTTTATAAAAAGGCTCAATCTGTTTAAAAAAACTGATAGTGAACTGACTTCATTGACAGATGTGACCATTTATAGCTGCAAGCAGTGCAGAAAGCACGCAAAACATTAAACAATATGTTACAAAATTACATGAAAACGATACACGCGTTAAGTATATATTTTGACGTCATGTTCTGTTAGTCTATATTTATAATGAAAATTAAAAATATACTGTGCTGTGTGTAATAACTCAAAAAATTAAATTGAATCATAGTTATAATGCGATCGCCATTCTATTTTAATATGAATCAAAAAGCAATAGTCTCGTTAACTTTCCTTAAAATAGTCGTCCACTGACCTGTCATTACGCTGCTATAAAATAGAATACCAACATTAGAAATGGACAATAAATTTAATGAAAGTAAGGAGCGTCGCAAACAAAGGTCTACTCTTATACTAAACACACGCTAAGTCTTATGAGACGGTTAATTTGCTCAATTGGTCGGCCGGGCTTCGCTTAATGTGTAATGTAGCATATTTGGGACACGGAACATTGTATGCGTAGACTCGTACAAATTTGTTTTATTTTGCTTACAATTTTATTGTTGTAGATATAGATGAGGTGCAGACGGCGGCATTCATTACGGAAATGAGCATCTCAATTTCATTTTCATGTTTGAAGAGTTTATTGATATCTCTTAAGAGACTTACCTCAAAATTGACGTTTTAAAGTACGTGTCAAACTTTTTAGCAAAATAATTTTGTATTTTCATAAATTTAATCTAATCTTATCTTTGTCTGTCTATTTGTTACGCTTTCACAGCTAAACCGCTGAACCGATTTTAATGAAGTTTCGCATCGAGATACTTGAGAAAGGATATAGGTTCCCTTTTACCGTGATAACTGACATACACGCGGGCGGAGAAACGGACAAGATCTGCTAAAAAGTGACGGATACGGATATCCTGCACATCAACGGCTGTAATTTACTATTTAATACAGTGGACATCACACACAGCCGTCACACTATGCGAGCGCCTGTAGTACAATTCACAACCAGCTCACCACGCCCGCTGTCTTGTCCAACCTTTATAATTGGGCGTTTACCGAGCTTAGACGTATTACCGAATGAAGGCTGCGAGTTATTAGGTATTTTGTGATCCTATCTTTTTATACTTTTAAAACACCATTTTAGCCAGTGACGTTGCTTGTGTGTATCGACTTTAGAACTCTTTTTATAGAGCTCTGATGTCTGTAGTCAGTACCAACATAGAATACATAAAGACATTTGAATAAAATTTAAGTTAATCAACAACCATGGGAGAGCTTTGGTATATTAAAGACGGCTCGACCGAAGTGTTACCACGGTGCCACAGAATGCCACTATTAAGCGGTTTAGCTTCGGTATATTTAGGACGGCTCGACCAGAGTGTTACCGCGGTCCCATAGAATGCATCTGGCATTCTATGGGACCGCGGTAACACTCTAGTCGAGCCGTTTAACGTTACGCTCATGAAACGTTTCCTTACGTGAACCATTTGTGTGTACAATTTTATTTGAATAAAATTTTGGTTAAACAACAACCGTGGGAGAGCTTAGGTACAATAAGGACGGCTCGACTTGAGTGTTACCACGGTGCCATGGAATGGCACTCTTAAGCGGTGTTTTTGTAGCTTTTTATCAAATGAGTGATGTAACTAGGGCCTAACCCTCCCTCTCCCTAATTCTGTTGGGAGGGCAGACTTTTGTTGTTTTGTTTTGTTGTGACTCCTGATTTGTAGGTCTCCATGGGCAGTGGTAGTTACACACTATCAGTCGTCGTCTGCTCGTTTGCCTCTATTAAAAAAAACCCAGTACATGAATCAGAACCGAAATCTGACACGGTGCTAATAATAACAAAGTAGATATTTTTAAAATGTACTCTATTAAAGTTTATTTACGATTGCAACACAACACAAAATGATATTAATGCGTCCCATAAACGGTACATAATGCTCCTCCATGACTCCATACGAGATATGATGTAATTGTTTTTAATTGGCGATGATTAAACAAGTGTGTATGGCGGGTGTGATGGGAAAAAAATGTGCAACTGTCCATTTGTAAACAGTCCACTTGCCATTATAATAGATGGGCGAATCATGTGATTGTATAGAGGAAGATAGCCTAAAGGGGGTGGTCCACTTAAAGCTTGCTTAGAACACACACATATACACATACATGTACACTTGATTTAGGCAACATTACTTTAGCCTGCATTTTCTTTTTAAAAACCTTATTGATTCAGATCACATTTGCTCCGTGATTTACAAACATATATACACTTACATTGCTGTTACTGCACTTACATTGATGTGAACGTCTATCGCTCACTGACAATTGAAAATTAACTCAATAATAATTGATATTTTAATTCTAGGCGATTTTAATCTATGTTTACATACTCATCAGGCACACACGCACATATAGAGTAGATTAAAAAACAAAACAAAAACCTAAAACAATGTTAACGTACAGAGACAATAGGGACGGTATCACCTTACGTCTTTTGTGTAGATTTTTAGAACAACGAGAACGAACCGTATTGTAAAGGTTTATGAACGAATCTAAATGTAGAGGTTTTTGACACTAATTTTAGAGGTAGTTGGTCACAGAGTAACAATGATAAACGCTCTTATTACAACGGCGCAATAACTGAAAGCTAGTTATAAATACCATGGAATATCTATCTAAAATTATTAGATAGATATTCTATTAAACAAGTAATTTCTGTATTAAATATAAATAATATATATATCTATGCAATACTTTATACTATATTTTACTAGCTGTTGCCCTCGGCTCCGCCCGCGTGTATGTCGGTTATCGCGGTAAAAGTAGCCTATGTCACTCGCTGAGAATATAACTTTCCATTGGTGAAAGAATTTTTAAAATTGGTTTAGTGGTTTAGGCGTGTAATCTTAACAAACATATGATGATGATATTGCAATGGAAGATGCCTATGTCCAGTAGTGGACTGCGATAGGCTGATGATGATGATATAAGATATCACTTCTATATTGAATGCATAGCGAATCAAAAGTAGGTAGTGAATTATCTGAAGATAATGAAAATCAATACATGCTAAGTTTATTAGGACTTTTCTTTCATCTGAACAATTAATAGATTATTTAATGTTACTGATGAAATATACAAACTGTTTGCCAAATTAATAATTTTACGACTAATGTGTCACATATACAAATACAACCTTGATTTATTTAACAAGTGTCGCGGTAAATCCTGAGGTTCCAGCCGATAAGGTAAGGACAAAATCGAGGCTCTTCCAAAATATATAGGTGAGATTTATAGTTAAGTAGTGACATTTCGCTAATCCGTTATTTATGAGCACTGGAGTAACCCTTTTCCCCTTTTTACGACTTAGTCGAGAGATCTAGTTAATCTTGTGTCGTCAGAATGTGCGTGAAAAGTTGTGGCAAGAAAACTTGGGATTTTGTTTTATGTCAAAGCTTTAAACTGAAAATAAATATTTTGTTTACGTTATGATAAAGGTTTTAATTTTTGGATAGTTTTTCTTTTCAGTTATTGTATTAAATTAGTTAAACTGCTATCTAAATTTTTCCTGTAACCTACGATCAAGATATAGTGATGTTATCTTCTAACTCAATTTTTTCTTTACTTTATGTAAACTTTATTTTAGATTAAAAAAATCGTATGTGTTGCTCATATTAATTAAAAGTATATAGTTTTACTCATGTGTGTGATGGTTAATATCATCGCGGCAGAATTATTTACTTCTTGAAAAGGAGCCCCGTCACGAAATTTCATGTTTTACCTCGTCGGTGTGGTGACGGATTAAGAATACGGAGTAAGAGCGCACTAAGGGAGCAAACTGTACAGGACAACAGCACTGTAAAGAGAAGGAAACTTTGACACAAACCCTTTACCAATCTATCTAGCCAGCGTATGTTATTACTAAAGGCTATGATTATAATGAAGTTTTACCGCAAATACATAAAATTATGTAGTCCTAACTATTTGAGTCCTGCTTTATATAATTAGAAGAGGCTACCGGTATAGTTCCACTTCAATCAGGTATTTTATGTACAAAACGTATGTACTATACGTATATAGAAATTGTAAGCTAGTAAACGGCTAGTAGCATAGCCACGAAAATTGCATTTACCGTTTTAAATTATTTTCTCGCTATTAGCTTTTTAGCACTCCTTTCCACTTGAGTATAGAGCGAGCAACTGAGTTGTTACGCTTAATAGCCGGTGCTGCTATCTACCACTAACCATAATTGTGCAAAGATTTCACTACATCTGAAATAGGTTCTTTCCATTAATCAAACGTTAATAAATTGTAAGTCTTAGATAGTAGTCAAATATGTGTTACTACCAGTGATTTCTTCGTCCTTACTGTGAATGTTTACTGTTTTATATTTATAATCCAACATAACACATTAGACAATCTCCTTTCTAAGTAGAGGCCTATGTCCAACAGTGGACTACTAAAGGCTGTTGATGATATCATAGATGGTTGCGGGATTGCGATTATTAATTTATGTGAGTTGCTTTATTCACATTCGATATTTACGTACAGACTGCGTATTTTACTTAGATATATTGTCAAACCCTTATTAGGTGCTAGCTGTCCCGCACAACTTCTGCGTCTCTCAAAAGAAATAGATTTTCTCCGTTTTCGGGACACCTTTCTTTGATGCCCGGCTCCTGTATAACCTCGAAAAATCCATTAAAAAAATTACCATTCAAACCAGTGGTTCTTGAAATTAGCGTGTTCAACCAAACAAAAAACAAACTCCGTTCTTTTATATTTGTAAAGATTAAGATATTTTTTTTATTTTTTTTTATTTTTTTTTACACTTCCTGCATTACAGTTTGCACGAGGCGGACTTAATGCCACATGGCATTATCTTATCTTATCCAGTCAACCTTAAGATGGTTCAGTAAGGGGCATGGCAGGTGCACATATATTATGTAATAAGAAGAGAAGCTATGAAAATATAACATTAATTTGATAATACTATTTGAAAAAGATAGACGAATACATAGACAACTATTAATATATTATACATACGGAATATAATAAATACAATAAAGTTTGGGTGATGATATCATGAGGATATTTCTGCTAGCTGTTTCCTGTACAATTCGCGGCTTTGAACGTTTATGAAATATACGTTACGTGAAATTTTATCAGTCACCATTATTTTACTTTATTATACTACTAATCCGTATAGCCCCAGCAAGGTTAATCATCCCTTGAGGGTTCCTACACGTCGAGAAAGAAAAGAAATTACTTTCATATAGCATAGGTAGCATATCATCATCTGCCTACCCTTTTCCCAATTTTATTTGGGGTCGGCGCAGTATGTATGATTTTTCCATTCTACTCTGTCATGCGTCATCTCACTGTTTACTCCCTTCCTAGCCATATCCTCCCTCACGCAGTCTCTGCCTCTTCTCTTGTACCCTTCAACTCCCATACCTAAAACTTTCTTCGCCACATTTTCCTCATCCCTCCGCATGACATGTCCATACCAAGATAACCTATTACTTTTCATCCAGTGGCGCTACTTTCAGACTCCCTCGTATATACTCATTCCTAACCTTGTCCATCTGAGTCACACCACACATCCATCTCAGCATTCGCATTTCGGCTACGTTCAGGCGTCTCTCATCCGTTCTCTTAATGGGCCAACTTTCAGAACCATACAGAACGGCAGAATAGGTAGCATAATAGAATATAAAAGTACCAATTAAACTGACCGTATACTATTAGAACAAAGTAACTCAGTCAGTTTTGTCTGTGAATATACTATAATGGACTACAACACGGAAATGCTCGTCTATTAGCCTATTAAAGAAGTCAGCCTAATAGTTAATGAACGGTCTCACTAACATTCGTCTCGTAAATTCCCTCTAAACGTTTTCGTCTTGGATATTACTTGCATCGAAGTGATAGCATTCAATTCTTACCGTTCTACTATATCTATTAACATTCTTCATTTATTGCTTTAAAGGTATATAATTGGTCATCGCAAAGATACCTATAATTTCTTCTTAAAATATCGATAATTCTGCTAATCTGCAGGGTCAGACTTAGTCATGATGGAAAAAATATTTATTTATTTATTGCCATAAATATATTATCTTTTTTCTTATTGTTGTATCAAAAGAACTTCTTGTTTTTAGGATTGATTGGCAATGATACCCTTTTACTGTTAAACATGCCCAAGAGCTCTCGGGATGAACTGACTCAATGTAATTATAATCATAATCATCATTTATTTGCGGCAACATAGGTTAGTTACAAGTCTGAGTTTTATGTTAGAGGTACACTATGTATTATACAAGTCGTATTTGTGCTTGGACCGAATTAATTAATAATGATAATCACTGCACACATTTCACCCACGGCAGTCTGATCCCAAACTAGGCAGAGCCTGTGCTATGGTGACCAGACTACTGACAAACATACTTATATGCACGGATGACTGCACGGATGGCGTAATGGTTTAAGCGGTCGCCACGCCGCTTTCTATTGCGCCGAGTGTTGTGGGTTCAAACCCCACATGGGATAACACTTTGTGTGATCCACAAATTGTTGTTCTGAGTCTGGGTGTACTTTGTGTCCGTTTCATGTATGTTTGTAAAGTCCCCCGCGACACAGGATTTATTCCTAGTGCGGGAGTTGTCTTTTTATGAAAAAAAAAAAAAAAATTAAAAAAAAAAAAAAAATATATATATATTTTTAAATACATACATATTATAGATAAATTACACCCAGATACAGAACAAATGATCGTGCTTATCACACAATATTTGTCCTGGGTGGGAATGGAACCCACAACCTCTGGCTCAGCAGTCAGGGTCACTGACCACAGGCCAACAGGCCCAACATTTATTTAAAATAATTTTACTTAGTTCTTAAACTATTTTAAATCCATTCCACTGTTATCTTCAAAATCCTATGGAATGTTTACAAGACAAGTTACGGACCTCAGTAGAATTTAGGTTTAAAAATATCATTCACAACAACATACATATCTACAAATAAGTGTTTGATATGACCAAGGGGTCAAATTGAATATTGTTATCAAAAAGTTATTATTTTAATAAAACACAATTTGTTATAAATACAGTACCTATATCATAAACATTATGGCCTACCTAGGCATTTGATTTTTAAATTATCACGATATATTTGAATTTTCATCAGAATTTACATTAACTATTTCCAACATAGGGAGTTTTATTAATCTAATTCACTTAGCTAGTCACTTACTTATCTCACGTTCTGAACTACCCATTTAATTTACATAAATATTGCTAAAGAAAAAGTAAACGTGGTATCGCAACGTTTTTTTAAATTAAATTCTAACAGCTTTATTTATAAACATGTTCTTATAAAAACAAACTTTTTACTCACCAATAAAAAAATACAAACACGCAAACACTTTGCATTCCATTTTGTTACACATAAAATTTACGATCACTAAATGTACTATTATTTCTACTATTGTATTAAAGCTATACTTTAAAGTACATTAAAACATTGTTTAGGTGCGCGTGACTCGATAGTTTTGAGTGTACTGGTCCGAAGGATGCGCGTGCGATGATAGCAGTTAGTGGAATTACGCGTTCGATAAAAGAATGAGCGATGCTTTTTTCGGGTGATCTCTTATTTCTTTCGTCACTGTAAAAGGCTTATATTTTAACTTTTAATTATTGCCACTATCGTGATAGTTATTAAAAGTTAAAGTATAGTTAACCAATACTTTGCCATAGTTCCATAGTCACTATTTTTTTTAATTTGACGTAAACAAAAGCATACCATCCAGCGATCATAATCGAAACCGCCAGTGGTGTCGTTGGTATGCTATTGTATTGTATATATTTGCATATGTTTATGTTGGCCTTGTTTCAATCAAAATTCTAACAGAATAAAGAGAATCCGCTGTCAGAGTTAAATCGTTATTGGATCGTGTATAGAGAGGGAAATATTTAGTAGTAACAAAGAGTCTTGGAGACTAGTTAAATGAGGGCATTTACACCTGTGTTAATCGCGTCATATGAAACAGGAGTGGCAAAATAAAAAGTTACGTGAATATTATAAGTAATATTTTCGAATTGGTGGTTCAAACGATCAAAGGGCGAAGCTTTTAACATAATAGCCGATTTAGTCGACGCCCTCTAATTGAATGAACGTACAGTAATCAAGCCGCTTCTGCTATGATTTTAGTTCTAATAGATTTTGTTCACGCCATAACAAAACGCTTTAATACTCATTGATTTTAATTTCATCATTCAATAAGTTGATGAATGGGGACAATGGTGTATAGACAGATTTGAATTGAAAACCTCCTCTTTTTTGAAATAATTCCTATAAAATATACCTAATTCTTTATTAGAAAACTGAGTTAAAATTTCAAAGAACAGCTAATAAAACTGACAAAGCAAAGAAAAACATTTTTTTGATTGTTAAAAATGTGCAGTAATTGTAATATATATTATTTTTAGTATATATTACAATCACTTCACAGCTTTAATTATATTACAAGGATAGTAATTACATTAAAATATATATAGCACACGTGGGCCAGTTCGACCGGCGTGATATCACGGGCTTACAGAAAACTGGTGCAATGCAAATTTTTTTTTGCATTTTACCGAGTGAGTGTGTCTACCGAAAGCTCCCACTTAATTTATGGCTAAAAAGATGGCAACGCAATTGTGACTCGTTGTGGCTCTTAAGTCGCAAGTGTCCTCAATACTCAGTATATTTATTCATCATCATCAGCCTATCGCAGTCCACTGCTGGACATAGGTCTCTCCCATTGCACGCCACTTACATCGATTTTGGGCTTCTCGCATCCAGCTCCTGCCAGCCATCTTGCGCAAATTGTCACTCCACCTGGCCTGTGGGCGTCCTACACTACGTTTACCGAGACGCGGTCTCCACTCAAGAACTCGTTTTTCCCAACGGTTATCGGTTCTGCGGCTAATATGGCCAGCCCACTGCCACTTCAGCTTGCTGATCCGGTAGGCTATGTCGGTGACCTTGGTTCTCTGCCGGATCACCTCATTTCTGATTCGATCCCTTAGAGAAACGCCGAGCATAGCCCTTTCCATAGCACGTTGAGCGACTTTGAACTTGTGGACCAGCCGTACCGTAAGTGTCCACGTTTCAGCTCCGTATATCATGACGAGTAGGACGCACTCATTAAAGACTTTCGTCTTAAGGCACTGTGGGATCGACGATGAGAAGACTCGACGTAGCTTCCCAAACGCTGCCCAACCCAACCGAATTCTTCTGTTCACCTCGTCCTCGAAGTTGTTTCTACCTAACTGCAATGTTTGCCCGAGGTACACATAATTTTGAACAACTTCGAGAACGGCACCGTGTACCGCAATCGGTTCCGGTAGTACATGTTCGTTGAACATAACCTTGGTTTTATCCAAGTTCATCCGTAGGCCGATGCGTACAGAAGTGTCAGCTAGGTCATTCAGCATTTGCTGTAGGTCGAGCAACGTCTCTGCCATGATGACGATGTCGTCTGCAAATCGCAAGTGAGAGATGTATTCGCCATTGATATTGATGCCACGCCCTTTCCAGTGCAGCGTCTTGAACATGTCCTCCATTGCATTTATAAATAACGTCCCCTTGTCTCACTCCTCGATGCAATGGTACGGGCCTTGTTTGCTGATTCTGAACTTGGACGGACATGGTGGCGGCTTTGTAGAGACATCTCATCACTTGGATGTATCGCCAATCTACTTGGCAACGTTGCAGGGACTCCAGAACAGACCAGATCTCGATCGAGTCAAAGGCTTTCTCATAGTCCACGAATGCTAGACACAGGGGCTGATTATATTCTTCGGTCTTCTGTATAATCTGCCGCACTGTGTGGATGTGGTCTATGGTGCCATATCCGCTCCGAAACCCAGCTTGTTCCGGTGTTTGGAATTCGTCGAGTCTTTGCGCAAGACGGTTCGTGATGACTCTCGAAAACAGCTTGTAGATGTGGCTTAGAAGGGATATGGGTCGATAGTTCTTCAACCTGGTCTTGTCACCCTTTTTGAAGAACAAGACGACCACACTCCTACTCCACGCTTCCGGAGTTCTCCCTTCAAACAGGACAGCGTTGAAGAGCTTTTGGAGCTCCCTTAGTACAGGTTTACCCCCGGCCTTTAGCAGCTCTGTTGTAACACCATCCTCTCCAGAGACTTTTCCATTTTTCAGCCTTCCAAGAGCCATCTCGATTTCGTCAATGCTAACTTCTGGCAGGTCTTCGGTGTAGTGACGTGTTAATGTGGCTCTAGAGTCCTCATTTTCGGGATCAGGTCGAGATGCATGCGAAGCGTATAACCGGCCATAGAAGCTTTCCACGTCCAAAATGACTGCCGGCTTCGAAGCAACGACTTCTCCACTTTCTGTGGTCAACTTTGTCAGGTGGCTTCTTCCAAGAGATTGTACGAACACTTTTGACCCCCGATTTTGCTCGATCGCTCTTTCAATTGAAAAAGTATTGGAGCACCGGAGGTCGTGTCGTACGAGTTTACTGATCTCTCGGTTTAGAGTCCGCTTTGCCAACAAAGTGATAGGTGGGTTTTCACGTCGTTTCCTCATCAGCCCTAGAGTCCTTTCTGAAAGCTTCGACTTCCTGCCCTTACGCTGCATTTCACAAAATCTCGTACCTTCTTCCCTGAGGATCCGAACCACATTTTCGAGGTTCTGGTTTACGTCGATTGTGGTTTTCCTTAGGTGGTAACTTACATATGAGATCAGATCATCCTGGATCCGATGATCATGGATCATCAGGAATAGATGAGAGAGGAAGAGATAATAAGAATTAATAACAATAATACTTCAGTTTTTTTATGTACATATTTAATTTATTGGTTGCGATTTCGTTCAACTACAGTCGTTTTTGCCACTCAGGTATTAGTTTATGCTATAATAACATTTCTGTTGAAGCCATTGTTTCAATCTATTTATGAATTTATCGAATATGGTTTCATTTCTAATTCCTTTGGGTAATTTATTATAAATTTTGATAGACATTACTTGAGTCCTATTTGAATGAATTTGAAGTTGGGATGACGGTACGTTTAATCTAGTCCTATGGCGTTGTGTGTAGTTTCTTTGCTTATCCGTGTAGGAATTTGCATATTTCCAAAATATAAATTGCTGGCAGTGTTAGTATGTTATGTTCTCTAAAGTATGGTTTACAGCTATCGGTGTGATCTATATGGACCATGATTCTAATTAGGTTTTTGAAGTGTGAAGAGTGAGTGAGAGTGAGAGAGAGCGAGCCAGCGAAAAAACTAAAATTACTATTGTTTTGTGTTAAAACTGACTGTTACTGAAACTGGTGTCACTGTCATTAATTAAAGTTTTTTTCGTGATTTAAAAAATATTTTCTAATTTAGTTTGTCTTGTAATTAAATAATGAAGTTTTTTTATTTCAATATTTTCAAGTTTTGTATCGTTATAGGTCTTTGATACGTGTTGTGACATAGATAGATACAGGTCAAGCTAACGACTAACAACAACAATTATAAAACAATACAATTCTATTTTTGTACGAAAGTGACGCATGCGGGTGGTAACAGCTAGTGAATTGGTAATAATGGTAAGATAATTTGTACTACGAAAATATAACTCCTGTTGGTCTAATGGTCAACGATTCTGACTGCTAAACAGGGCCTCAATTCTGCGTAAAACGTAATATTTTTTTCAAATTATAAGTAAATGATTTATTTATTTTTCCTAATATGGCAATTTTTTGATATCACCACTGATGCCATTCCATCGCCACTGTAAAGACACTGAGTTAGTGTAGACTAGCGATATTTATACCGATGCCAATGACCACACGATGGCATCTCAATAGCGTGTCCGTGGTATTACAGTGGCTTGGCGTGAACATAAAATAGCAGAATTGAGGCCCAGGTCGCGGGTTCGATTCCCCTAAGACAAATATTGTGTTATGAGCATGATCATTTATTTTGCCTGGGTGTAATTTTATATATAATGTGTATGTAATTAGTAACATATTGTAAAGTTAAGCAATCCTAGTCAAGTCAGGCTATGGATGGGTTATCATTCTTAAAGTACTCTCCGAGGCACCCCTACGTGCGTTACGTTACGTTAAGCCTTCCTTCCCGGTTGCTATACGACCATCTGTGGCAATCAACGGATAGTACCACAAATCACCAAAACACCGCCCCACTGTACTGTTCCTATTCTAGCACACGTATTGGTGACTTGTTGCGTTCTTGAGCCTTCAACTATTCCTTTCTCTCTTCCTCTACTACAAGTTGTTTCACAAATACATCCTCTCTATATGTGATAAGTATAAAGAAAAGTTACACACGAGTAAAACAATAGAACCTTTGTTAATACTTTTGCCGTATTCGGTTAAGTATTATAATCCTCGGCAGTTATTTAAACCGCTTGGGTTGT